GTGAAGAAATTTGAAGACCAAGCTCTTTTCCACATGTTAGTCCGCTGTCAATGTTTCACCAAAGGCATGTGATTGGGCGGAGCGGGGAGAGGCCAGATGCGAGATGGCTGGGCCAGGCGATTGAGACATGTGCCCTCGAGAAGCCAATAGCATCGGCACGGCGGCCCTCGTGATGGCGGTCGTGGTTGGCTGGAGGGCTGCAAGGCTCTGCAGGGATGCTTTTGGATTTTGGTGCAAGGGACTGCGAAAGAAGGGGGTTCCACAGGCCGTGATGGGTATGCTGCAGGTGAGTTTGGTGAGGTTGTGGAGACTCTTGGACAGAGTTAAGCGACAGACGGGAAAAGCCTCATACTAGTGTTGATAGGGCTTTGGGCTGAGGATAGAGTACCCGAGGGGGAGAGAGGGAAGTATGTTGAGTCTAGAAGTTGAGTTGAGAGCTGTGAAGTCTGTTCCATGTTGTGGCTTTGCTGGATGAAATAGGGTCATCGAGTCATGTAAGTTATGTCGGATGATGTATAACGCAAGCCGGGTGAGGCTGAGAAGAGCTGAGATAGGCTCCCGAGTCGGGCCTCCTCACTCAGCCACCCGCGAAAATCAAAAATTCAAACCCCCAAGATAACAGATCCTTGAAGCTTCTTCTTCTTAGCCGGCGTCTCGGCCTTCTGCTAGTCCCCAAACATTGGATAGCTTCCTCACCAACTCTGTGGGGCCCTCCGCCAGTCCCAGGAATCGACAAATCAAGGGCAACGTCCCCACGTGCTGGTCAGTGCTCGGCAGTCAATGCCGACCAGCAGTGACGAATCTTCCACGCGTTCTTATACCGATGATGCGATGGTTTTCTTTCATCCGCCGCCCTTGGCTTCGGGTCCTGTCCTCCCACATACCGTGGGACGCGCCATTACCTGACCTTGAACTTCATCCTCCTTGCTTTATGCTTCCTGCTTTCTCCCTTTTTGCTGGGCTGGACTAGTCGAGTTTTTGGCGAGAGATATGATATTGACGATATCTTCTCATCGGAACCTCTTCTAGTTGAAAGCTGAAGCGAGAGTTGAGAGCAAAGGGCGGGAAAGCCAAAAAAATGAGAGGCCAACCCGAGGAGCGTCGTCTGCTCGACGAAGTAGACGGCGGTGATAGCGATGACGTTGCCACACAGCTCGGCATCGACGATAACGAGGTGCTAAACGAAGAGCAAGACGACGTGATAGAGCCCGTCGTCGTCCGCCCGCGTCGAAAACCCAGCTTCACGCTGCTGCTCCGGATCGCGGGCCTCGTCGTTGCGCTGTGCCTGGGCACGCTGGCCGTGCTGCTCTTCGCCGTGAACCGGCACGTCGCCCCGTTGGACGACCAGCTCGCTATTCCTCTTCACCCGACCGAGCACTCCACACGAGATCCTGCCACGCTGACCTTTGACTGGCACGTCACCCTGGGTACCAGAGCCCCGGATGGGGTGGAGAAGCTGGTCTATCTGATCAATGGTGGGTGATGGCCAGACACACTTGACCGAGTCTTACAATAGGGACTCACTTCGCTTCATTGGCTAGCTGACACTTGGAGTGTAGGACAGTTCCCGGGCCCGACCATCGAGGGCCGATCCGGGGACCGCATCATCGTCCGTGTCCACAATGATCTCAAGGACGACGATGGCGTCTCGCTGCACTGGCACGGCCTGCGCATGCAAGGCTTCAACAACATGGACGGCGCCGTGGGGTTTACTCAGTGTCCCATCCCCGCCGGCAGTTCGTTCGTCTATGACTTCCGTATCCGCGACGACGAGTACGGAACCTTTTGGTGGCATAGCCACTCTCAGCTGCAGAGGGCAGACGGCCTCTTTGGCGGTTTAGTGATCCACGAGCCACGGCGCCACAACTCCGACGCAGCCGTGCAAGATGAAGCTCTGCTGCTCATCGGCGACTGGTTCCACCGCAAGCACAGCGACGTCCTCGCTTGGTACAGCAGCCCGGCGAGTGCGGGCAACGAGCCCGTCCCAGACTCCATGGTCATCAACGGCCGCGGCCGGTACGACTGCTCCATGGCTGTGCCGGCGAGACCCGTCCAGTGCAAGACGACATCTTTGAGCAACTTCCCGCCGGTTATCAGGAGGTCTACGGGAGAGACGCTGCTCAGAGTGGTGAATACGGGCACAATCGCCGGGTTGACGCTCGGTGTTGACGGTGCTTCGCTTCAGCCTACACAAGTCGACGGAGGCTGCAAGGTAGATTCAAAGCCAGCTGATTCCGTCGGGATTCTCTATCCCGGCGAGAGGGTTGACTTGCTACTCAAGTGGAAGAGTGACCAAGCCGCGGAGCCATGGTTCAACGTCTACCTGGATCATGAGTGAGTCCCCTTCATAACACATCCCGACATTTCACAATGCCAGTTTAGTGGTTGTAGTATCTAACAAGCTGCAGGAATTTCCGCTTCGGCAACCCGGCGCTCAACCCCAACCATACCTTTCCTGCTCTCCCTAAAACAGTCACGGCTCATGATCGAGACCACGCGCCCCTCCTGAAATTCAGTACCAGTCACCTTGACCTTGCCACGCTTACTGCCACACACGAACCAGCTCCTATTGTTACGGCAGAAGAGGAGCAGACGGTTCTCTTTTACGTGTCAACTCAAAAACTCGCGGTGCATGGAAACAAACCTCTTGGCTTTGTAAATCATACCGTCTGGCAACCCCAGTCGGTGCCACTACTGTCGCAAAACCGGTCGTCTTGGGACGACAACCAGCTCATCCCCTTCATCGGCAGCGGATCGAAGCCCACCAAGGTCAAGCTCGTCATTAACAACCTCGACGATGGTTCTCACCCGTTCCATCTTCACGGACATTCATTCCACGTGCTGTCCTCTTTCCGGGCCGACAAGGCTAAACTTGGGACTTATAATCCTTTCGAGACATCGGATGCCGACTCACTAGATCACTGGCAGCGGGAGAAGCCACTTCGGAAAGACACAGTCAGTGTGCCGAGGAGGGGGCACGTGGTGCTCTCGTTTGTCGCTGACAATCCTGGAATGTGGATGCTGCATTGCCACATGCTGGTACACCTGAAAACAGGCATGGCTACCGGCTTTCAGGTCGGAGTACCGGAGGATGAAGAGCATGTATATGGCATGGATGAATCAGCAGCGAGATTATGCAAGGCGTCGAAATAACCAAGATACCAGAGATACCCAGATACCCAGATCCTAACAAACAAATAAACACGCACGATAACGAGATATAAACAAACAGTTTAGTTAAAAAATAACGAGAAAAAGAGACCAAAATATTTGAATAAATGTTTATGAACGGTATTAGTTCAAAGGAGTCAGGCAAAAATATACAGAGAATATGAACAAGGGGGTATATTTGACCAAAGAATAAACATCATATCCGAGACGTAAGCTATCCCTCGACGGGGACGGTTATTTTCATGATAGTTGCCGCAACATCAAATGTAGATTATGGAAATTAATGAAAGGATGGATATCCAAAGCAGGGAATCCGGACACGTCAGACTCCGTGCACCGTTTCCGTCGTCTGCATCAGCGGCCGGGGTCGGGGCCGGGGCCGGCACTGGAACTCCGGTCGGCACCGTTGGTGGCGCTCCGGCAAGAACTTTGTCTCCAGAAGGGTACTGGATGTTCCATACGGGATCTGTCTTGAGGACGTCCGGCACGCCGAGGGCGCTTGGACAGGCTGGCTGGTTGGCGTTGGGCCAGTCCAAGGTGCAAGTCTGGTCGTGTCCCAGCGTGCAGATGGAGTCGAGGATGTTGTACAGGACATAGTTGCTGCCGACCCACGAGTTCTCCTGCTCAAGACAGCTGGCAAGAAAGTTCATGCTGTTTGCCGCGCTGAGAGGGAGCTTGCCGCCCTTTGTATGGATCAAGCTCGCGCAATTGGACGGGTCCACGTTTTGCGTTGTCATCGCGACGGGTCCGCCGGCAAAGGGCTTCTTGGTTGCCGAGTAGCCCGTATACAGGTAGTTCCAGGCATCGTAGCTGATGTCGTGCGCGCCCTGCGACTGGTCGACGCGCAAGAGATAGACTTGGCGGTCCTGGTATTGCAGAGAGACGCAAATGTTGTTGCAGTCGACTGAGTCGGGCCAGTAAGCGACACGGTTGGTGTTGACCTTGCAGCCCAGCACGCCGACGGAGGACGAGTAGCTGTCGTGGGGCGTCGCCCAGACGGTGGTGGAAGATGAGCTGCTGCTGTCGCTGCGAGGGATTGAAGCAGCTTGAACTAGAGCAGGAGTTGATGTTGCCAGCAAGGGCAGTAGAGAGTGGAGGCTGAAGAGCATCGTTGACGAGAGCGTCATCGTAAGGAATGGAGACACTGAGTCATCACAGGCCAAGCATGGGCCAGCGGGTCAGTTGGGAAGGGATTAAGAGAGTGAGAGAGAGAAAAAGGAGCGACAGGCGGCGTGGCGCCGTAGCGGCGAGAAAGGAGGGAAGATGGAGCTGAGGCTAGGAATAGCGCCAATTCGCGTGGGTTTTATGAAAGAGGAAAGAAAAAGAGGGAAACGAAGCGAGAGGGAAAAAAAGAAACCGTTCGACAATCGAGATGCAGCCAAATCTGGGGGAAATTTGGTGGTCAGGGGATTTTCATGCGGGCTAGGCGGGATTGGGGCTAGCCCGAGGCAGCCTTTCCCGATGGAGCCATTCGCGGGAAAAACGTGGGCTGCTCCACCAACAGGCGAAAAGATAAGATGTGGGAATATCGAGCTGATTAATTCACTTGACATTTATATCAGGATAAAGACTGTTAAAATAATGACAATTCATGTATTGAGAAACCAAGAAGAATCCTATTTGCGGCGACCGAACCAGACAACGAGAATCGAGGGCGGATGTGGGGACTTCATATAATACACTTTGACGAAACGTGACACACACGTGCCCCTCCTCTTTATTTGTGCTTTTCTTCTGTTTTTTGTCCCACCGTCCAGATTGCCCATCCGCCAGGTATCATCAGTTTGATGTTTTTTTTATTCTTGTTCGACTTCATTTTGATCTCTGTTTTATTTCTTGAGATGCAGAGCCTCCTTCACTTTGTCCATCGCTGAGTGACGGCGTCCGCCTTGTCCGATCATGGGCTCGGGCTGCTTCGATGTGTTGAGCGGCTCATCTCCCTCGTCGGGCTGCGTCAATGCCTGGTCGCCATGGGCCTTTAGAAATAATAATCAGTGTCGTGTACGCAAATTAGAACGTTAGCGGCTGAGATATACCCTCTGCTCCTCGACCTCGGCGTTGTGAATGAGGTCATGACCTTCAAGGGCCGCCTCGTCGGTGATGCCAGTCTCGGAATGTTTTCGATTCATTGTGGATCAATATATTGAGACTATTCAGTTGAGCTGTCAAGATCAAAAGAGTCAATGGAGAATAAGCATCAGCGTAGTGGCGATGGAGAAAAGCAAGCTGTCTTATAGCTCTTTGCAGAGCTGCCAAACAGAGTTTCGTCATCAGCCTATAGCTCATGATCGCGCTCGCCATCAACGTCATGATGAGGGTCGTCAACTCTAAATGCTCGAATCGCATGCCTGATACCCCGCGTTGGCTACGCAGCCATCACCAGATGTGAAGCGAGACAGTCTCGAGGAGTGACGGCAGACTGTATGGCAAACCGGGCTTTGATCGGCGCTGATCCGTGGCATTTCTACTGTGCTCCATTGTTGGCGTGGTGGCACTTCGTCTGGCGGGGCCCTCTCGATATTTGACACGCGGAAATGAAGGGAAGCTTTCGACTAAAGGGAAAGCTGGAACGAATGAGAAAAAATGGATACTCGTCTTGTCACCGCATTTGGCATGAGATGTCGATGTAGCGTGATTTCTATTATTAACCTCCTCGTGACCATCGACCTCATCCGGATGCCATGGAAGCAGGTTTGATTAGAAATTATGTACACATATTTGCTTGCGATCAGCATGAGATTTGCTTGAGAGGCGACTGAAGCTCATCATCGCTCTTTTTGATGCCATATGCTGATGATGGCATAGCTTTCTGTTGAGCGCATACCGCATAACCGAGCTTGTGCTCACATAGAGTGAATTTTGCGGTCACATCTCCAGTATTTTATCGAGAAAACACAATGATATTCAGAGTGATGAGTTATAAGAGCTGACTTCGGTTTCTAATGACATATCTCGAGATTCTGGTAGCCTGGTAGTCTTTCATACAGCAAGCAAGGCCATGTATATAGAAAAGGAACAGATGCAATTTTGACCTGCAGCGCTGTATTCGGTATGAATCTATTTTCGAGCAACCTCTTGTCAAAACTTGTGACCTCTTATCAAAACTTGTGAGCACTTATCTTATTGAATATTCGTCAATTATCAATCTGGCTTTGGTCGAGTTTGGAATTGCGTGATTCGAAATGGATATGCGACTTGTTGTTCATCAGCTGTAATCGTAATGTATTTGAAATATTGTGAGATTATGGCTTGTTGAATAAAGAAGCCTCTAGAATTTCTGTACGGGATATGAAGAAGGGATATGTAATGAGATATACCGTCCAAATCGCTCAAGCTCAAGCACGTGAGAAGCTATCAGTTATACGTGAATCATCCAAGCATTACTACTAGGTGCACGTACTTAACCCACACATCACCCCAGTACGTAGTTGAACTATTTATTTAAACGTAAAAACAGTCACGAGAGTAAGCTATGCCTTGGGAGATTAGAAAGCTTAGCCTTGAAACCTCACATCATTCACTTGGTTCAAGGGACGTGGATGAGTTCTTAGAGGTCTATCTATGTTACCTCAACGACAACTCCCATCAACTAATAGTTACCTCGTGCAAAACAACCGTTTATTATTCGTCCCTACTAAGATTATGGTGCCTGTAACGTCATGAGATATCCCAAAAGTTCGGTAACCAATCTGGTGATGGAATCAGCTGTATGCATCATGATGTTACATCGCGATGCCATCAGTCGAAGCAGCGGGAAAAGACGGAATATTTTTCAAATGACAAACGCACCACTCAACGATTACAAACGTTGGGCATGAATGACCGCGTTAGTCAATTCGACATTTCAGGTCGAGATGGTAATAGTCACACCGCCAATGACAGCTTGTCAGTTGCACAGATTACATGTAGGATGCCTCCGGCACATCCAGGATTAACAACGCATGAACTGTATGCACGCGTGTTGCTGCAAACAGAAGGTGGAAAAGAATAATGAAGATAAATTTGGTATAGAGGTTGCATGAGGAAATAACAAAATAAGGGTCACTCAACACTAAGAAAAAGACCCTGAAGTTGCTCAGGATTCATGTGAAATGCCGCCACGTGAATGCAAATGCCGAATCATGAGGCGCTTCTCAGACAGCTGCCAAGAGGCTCGTGCTGCGACGACTGGCTGCCAATTCACCTATCCAATGTCCCCCCTCAGTCTTAAGCGTGCAGTTTTCCCATAGCGCCCGAGCACCAAGTACGTGTATTCGCATGGAGCTCCACAGCGGAGGTCATCCACTGTATTCCCCCACAGCGCCGCTGGCTTAGGGCCGCTCAGTCGCTGGACTATGCAGAGCCACAGCGGCTGCATCGCCTGCGTGTTCGCAAAAGTAAAGCACCAGCGCCATGACCGATCTTGGGGAATCTCAGCACAGGGTCTCTCAAAAGCATGGACCAGCTGCACACTAAAATCGACGGAAGCTGGGCACAAGGTCCATCCGATGTCTTAGTGAATGTGCCGATACATGCAGACTCGTGATACTCACGTTTAGCGCTACTAGGTAGGATGGAGACATCCATGAGGTAACGACGCCATCACCACTTTTGCTTTGCCCGATACTTTTCCAGCGTACCTAACGGGTATACGTGTACGTACACACACAACGTGGCGGATGGACCGTGCTCGTTTCGTATAAAACCGATCGGCGCCCCCTCCGGCTCTCACTAACATCGTTCCCACCGATACTAACTTGCTAACGATTCCGCTGATCTGACAGCGTCCGCCTGCCAGATCTGCGGTCACAGTGAGAGATTAAAAGATTCAACCGCTCCACCGTCCCTATTGCCCTCACAAGCAAAACATGAGGCTCCCTTCGCTATTTCAGGCGGCGGCTGCCGCTGCCGCTGCCGTCTCCCTCCTCTTCGCATCGCCATCGTCCGCTGCCGCCATCGTGGCTCCTCGCGCTGCGCTTCCCGGCACCCTCGCCCTTGACGCCGGACAGTCGCTCTTCACATTCAAATACTCGACGCCCAACCCGGACCCCGCGAACTGGATCGGCGTCTACCAGACGTACTATGGCGGTCCCGAGAACCAAGAGTTCGTCGCCGGCTCTCTGACGTGGGCATATGCGCCCAACAGCAACGGCGAGGTGCAGGTCGATATCTCGAGTTTGTCCGCTGGCTATTACAAGGCCTTTTTCCTCGCCAAGGACGGCTACCGGTGGCTTGCGACTCCCATCGACGTCATTGTTCCCGGTACTGGACCGATCGAATTCATCAACGACCGCATCATCACCCAGAATGCGCAGCAGGGAAGTCCCTTCAAGGCCAGTCTTGGTCGCCTGATTGCCAATCCCAAAGACGGCAAGACCAAGTTCACCAAGGCCACCACCTATGGCGCCGACTGGGTCAGACTCGCCTCGGATGGAACCCTTACTGGCACTCCCGGGCACAAGGACAAGAACACCAACTTTGTGGTCCTGGCGACGGCAACTGATGGCTCATCTGCGACAATCCAGGTCCAGATCCCCGTTCGGTCCAGCCGTGATGCGCTCGTTGAAGAGCTCAAGGTCATGTCCTTCAACATGTGGTTCGGCGGCACCAACGTCAAGGATTACCACAACAAGCAGGTGCGCTTCCTCATCAACACAAACGTCGACATCGTCGGGCTTCAGGAGAGCTGGAATGGCCAGGCGACCCGTCTCGCCCAGGCGCTCGGGTGGTATTACTGGCAGAGCCCCAACGAGGTCGGCATCATCAGCCGATACCCCATCGTCGAGGTTTTCCCAGAACAGTCGGCCGGTGGATCGATTCGCATCGAGCTAGGTGGCCCCAAGAGTCAGCTCATCATGTGGAACGTGCATCTCGGATTCGATCCATACGGACCTTATGATTTTTGCTTTGACAATAAGCCTCTGGCTGAAGTCCTTAACCGAGAGTACCAATCCGGCCGTACGCCACAAATCATGGACATCGTCAGCGCCATGCAAGATGCCCTGGCTGAAGCTGATGACATTCCCGTTCTCATGACTGGTGACTTCAACGCGCCGTCACACCTGGACTGGACAGAGGCAACCAAGAAGGCCCACTGTGGTGTTGGCTTTGTTCCATGGCCAAGCTCCGAGTTTCCCATTCAATCCGGGTTGATTGACTCGTTCCGTGAGGTGCACCCCGATCCCAACGCCGAGCCCGGCAACACTTGGTCCCCCATCTACCTCAACAACAGCGGCCGGCCCGAGCCGCTGGACCGAATTGATTTCGTATACCACAAGGGCCAGAGTCTCAAGGTTCTTCAGTCGGAAACACTCGTCGCGGGCGAGCCCACTCCGGAGCCCAACCAGAGCAACAACGAGTGGACGTCAGATCACGCCGCCGTGATGACGACGTTTAAGCTTGGAAAATCCACCGAGCGCGGAGACCTTTAAGCACATGTAGACAAGAAGCGGCTGGATCGCGAGGTCATCTTGCATCAATGGGAGTCTTGGAGTACTTGCAATTTGATTTTTTGACATTGATTGAGATTTGGGCCGTGTATCCTAGAGGATAGATACCATTTCATTGGGTTACATTTGGTTGGGGTTTTCTGTTTCATGCGTCACAGTCTTTGGATATAAAGGCGGGGTAGATGGCGAATGAAGATGCGTTGGTCTATTTATGCATATAAGACAGACAGACTCGGAGGCACGATGTGAAGATTTGCGGTTTTCAACAAAACAGTACAGGTCCATGGGGGATTTATTATTCATGTGGAGTTTATTTAACATGTCTCTAGAGCAATTGCTCTCTATTACTGATGATAACTGAATGATATTGATCCCTATCTCTGCCGCCTAAGTTGGTGCAAGTATAGTAAACAGTGCTACCTATATCATCTCCTAGTATTACGAGCGGAAGCGTTCATGTTGATTGCACGTACGGAAAAAAAGAATTCGCCGCTTGATGAGAGGGGGACGAGTTCACGCCATCACCACCACAAAGCCTATTCGACCAAGGAAAAAAGAAGGAAAGTTTCAAGAAAAGGCAAAAAAAAACTATGCGACCTGTGTGGATCGAACACACGACCTTCAGATAGCAGGTGATTGAAGTTGATACTTCAGTCTGACGCTCTCCCAGCTGAGCTAAGGTCGCTAGTTGAGATTTGGTGACGCAAGCAAAACTATAAGCCTAACGTTTCGAAACTAGCAAAGTTCGAGAGACGGCGCCGTCATTAGCGTTTAGGGGTGTCTAGTATACAGCAGAAGAATAGCAACTTCGTATATAAGAGATATAAGGCTAGTGGCCTCAATGTTTGATATTTACAAGCTGAAAGTGAAGCCGTAATCGGAGAGTGGTGTCGTGAAAGAGGCGGAATATGGTGCGCGAGCGTCATGTTATTGCATACAACTGTGTAGAAACTACAGACATGTAAACGTCAAATGCCCGAGCAACGAACATAAACAGTAAGAGACCGGGATTGCAGTGTCCACACGTCCTCATAACTACAATGTGAATCGACGATGTAATTGGACTGATTCCCCAATCCAATCACATATCAATTAACTGAATGGTCCTCATAGGCTGTCCATCATCCAGCCCCGCTCCATTAATTGTCTCAGTACTTGTATGTTTGAGGCTCAAAGCTGCTCGTTTTTCTATCCAACCCCCTCCTCATGCCGCAGCTAATGTTGACACTATGGACCCCATTGAGAACTCCAAGATTATAGCCCCATACTTGAATGAGCGCATAACTCATCCAGTAGCCTTGGAGCTAGCTGGAAAAACCAACATGGGTCTTCTGGCTATCACTACTACATGTATTTTGATAGTCGTTACCGGCTATTGGGTCTTGCGAAGACGTGCATCAACCATTACGCCAAAACGCCCCGAGAAACAAATATGGTCAAAAGAGACCAGCACATATCGTGTTAGCGGAGTGCCTCTGGATTGGGATCGTGAGAAATTGCGAACCTTTTTAATGCGCAGGGAACCTGCGGAAGTGATGGTTATACACTCACTTGCCCGCGAAGCCAACATTGAATGGCAAACGGCCACGATTACACTTACAAACTCTTATGTACAACATTGGCCTGGCAGAGGTCGGCAATTCTCCTTATCCGAGGAACACAACAATGACTTTCTAAGCCTCAATCAATCCCTATCGGTTGAGAAAGACTTTATAGGCCTAACAACTCTTTATGAACCGCCCGCGAGAGATCACAGGATCGAGTAAGTATCTATGCCTAGCATTGTACCAGTTTTTAATTCTCTCCCAGTGTTATTGCTTTATCTGGCCTCGGGGGCCACGCATTTGGGTCATTCAAAGAGAGGGGAGGAACTCACATGTGGCTACGAGACTCACTTCCGGGTTATCTCACCCCAGAGACCGACAATAAGCCAATGTCGAGGGTTATGATATACGGTCACGACTCCTCTGTTGCTCAAAGTAAAAACGTGCAAAATCTAGAGGACCTAGCCACCGCATTTCATAGCAGTTTGCTTGCACTCGCAGCCGGTCGAACGACTAGGCCACTCATCCTTATTGGCCATAGCCTTGGAGGACTTATTATCAAACACGTAAGAGAGGGTTATCTTTGGGAACCATGATTCACGTAACTAACATGTATAATAGGCTTTAATATCACTATCAAGATCGGTGATTCGGAAGTGTTTTGCTTTTACGAAACATTGGAATCGCCGACAGCGCAACGGGTAAATGCCTCCAAATAAATGCCATCATACAGTTGACTTTACTCTAACCGAAGTACAGGACAAACGCGACGAATGGAAAATGATTGGGCCTACAGCGGTTCTTGTCACCAAATCTTCGGCAACACACTGTCGCCCATGGGAAGATGGCACAGAGCACATCTGTGCTATTGCCCGTATCTGATATGGTCAAATTTGGACCAAACGACGCTGACTACGGAAATTTATGGCTGAGAATCAGAGGGCTCTCAAGGCGGGCTACCAGAGCCCGAGATCGTTTGCAAACAACAACTTCAAAATGTACGTACTAGATGCCTGTAGATTAGATGGCAACATTTGCTAAGAGCAATCTAGTTCTGGTTCCCTACAGACAAAACGCAGATTTTGTTGGAAGATCCGACATTTTGGATAAAATCAAGTTACAATTCGGCTTAAGCCAACAAGAAGAACTTGAGCCTTCTCAATCACGCAGAAGAGTCTCGCTCTACGGCATCGGCGGCGTCGGGTACGCTTTCCGTCTTGGCTGAATGGATAATTCTCTAACGTATAACAGAAAGACGCAAATTGCGTTAGCCTACGCGTACTGGATACGGGTTTTACACCCAGACATCTCCGTGTTCTGGGTTCATGCCAGCAATGCCGACCGTTTCCGCACAGCTTATACTTTCATTGCTGAGAAATGCAACGTGCCCGGGAGAGAAAATCCCAAAGCTGACATTCTATTGCTGGTCAAGAGGTGGCTAGAAGAACAGAATAAAACGCAATGGCTTATGATCATTGACAATGTTGATGACATAGAACTGTTTTTCCCTCAGCAGAAAAGCGACGTTCTAGATGCCCACCAGCGAGTCGACAGACTGGCTCAATACATACCAGACTGCAATCATGGATCTATCCTTATTACAACAAGGAATAAGCAAGTTGGGGTCAAATTCGACCAAGGAAGTCCTCTGATTGAAGTCACCAAGATGACAGACGACGAGGCGCACCAACTTGTGCAAGGCATCTTAAAGACGGAAGTGTTTACAGATGCCGTCTTTCTCTTGGCGTCTAAACTCGAACATTTGCCACTTGCCCTCGCACAGGCAACATCATTTATTCAAGAAAACACCATATCTATCAGTGACTACATTCAACTCTTAAACGAGGGAGATAATGTCCTCGTTGATCAGCTCAGCGAACAATTTGAACCTGTGGGAAGAGACTCTGAGACCCCACATGCAGTCACGGCAGCATGGATCCTTTCATTCCACCAGATTGAACAAAGCCAGCCATTAGCAAGCGAGGTCCTCTGTTTTTTGAGCTTAATGCATCGCCAAGCGATCCCGCAAACCTTCATAGTGGAATATTTCCGGCGACGAAATCCTGAGTATGCTCAGGGTAATACATTTGCCGTTCTTATAAAAGCATTGGGCATCTTAAAGGCCTTCTCGTTTATCTCAGAAGGAAAGGATAAACACATAGATATGCACCGACTAGTTCAGCTAGTTACGCGAAAGTGGCTCATTAGCAGCGGCAGGATGCCCGCGACTGTCGAATGCGCTATCAGAATCGTGGCATCTTCTTACCCGTTTGGAGGATTTGAAACGTATCAGGCATGTCTACGATATGCTCCTCATGTTAATTCCGTGTTGGCAAGAGAAGGAACTAATTCGAAAGCCGAGAAGGTAGACAAGTCACTACTTCTGCAGAAATTAGGAAGATACTATGGACATAAGGGTGAATGGGAAAATGGGGAACGAATCCTGTTGCAAGCAGCAAAAGTGCAAGCACAAGAACTTGGAGAAGAACGTTCTGAGACACTTTCTACCAGGTGTGATCTTGTATCGGCATACTTCGACCAGGGTCGGTTGAAAGAAGCAGAAGATCTCGTGTCACGGACGATTGAGCTGAAAAAGCGAGTACAAGGACAAGACCATGCAGCAACTCTTGTCAGTATGAGCAAACTTGCATTAATATATGCAAATCAAGGCCGGTTGAAAGAAGCAGAAGACCTATATTTACATATACTTGAGACAAGAAAGCGAGTACTAGGAGGCGACGATTTAAAGACGATTGAGAGTATGAGCGACCTTGCAAAGTTACGCATCCAACAAGGCCAAGTGAAGGGAGCAGAAGAAATTGCACTTCGGGTAATTGAGATACAGAAGAAAGTCCTTGGGGAGGAACATCTCCGTACCATTGGCAGTATGAACGATCTTTCTTTAGTTTATCGCGAGCAGGGGCGACTGAAGGAGAGTCAAGATTGGGCAATACAGGCAACTGAGATATGCCAACGAGTGGTAGGGGAGAGCCATCCACAAGCAATAAGGTATACAAGCAACCTTGCTATGGTATACCAGACCCAAGGGCGGTTGAGAGAGGCAGAAAACCTGCATCTCCAGGTGGTCGAGATATCGAAGCGGGTGTTGGGGGAAGAGCATCCAGACACAGCGGCAATAACAGGCAATCTCGCCCTACTATATCTGGAACAGGGGCGATGGAAAGAAGCCGAAGATCTCGGATTGCAGACGATACGAGTATTGGCCAATGGACTAGGCCAGGAACATTCAGGCAACTTGATGGGTATAAGTAACCTTACAATGGTATATGTAAAACAAGGACGATGGAAGGAGGCAGAAGATCTATTGATGCAGGTTATGGAAGCGAGAAAAAGAACACTGGGAGAAGAGCATCCAGACACAATTATGACTACAGCCAAGCTTGCAATAGTGTATCAGATGCAGGGTCGATGGAGAGAGGCAGAAGATTACGGATTGCGGGCAATACAGGCAATGAAGAATGGACTGGGGGAAAAGCATCCAAACACCTTGATATACATGGATAATCTTACGGGGGTATATTTAAAGCAAGAACGATGGAAGGAGGCAGAAGATCCGGCAATACAGGTTATAAAAGGGAGAAAGGAGATACTGGGAGAGGAGCACCCAAACTCAATTATAACTACAGCTAACCTTGCAGCAGTTTATACGGCGCAGGAGCGATGGAAAGAGGCAGAAGATCACGGATTGCGTGTGATACAGGCAATGAAAAACGGACTAGGAGAAAAGCATCCAAACGCCTTGATATATATGAGTAATCTTGCAATAGTATATGAGGGGCAAAAGAGGTGGAAGGAGGCAGAAGATCTTAGACTACAGGTAATACAGGCAGCAACAATGGCACTAGGCGAAAAGCATGCAGATACCTTACTATACATAAGTCATCTAGCAGTAGTTTATATGAAGCAAGGGCGATGGAAGGAGGCAGAAGATCTAGAGATGCAAGTTATAGAAGCGAGAAAAGAGATACTGGGAGAAGAGCACCCCGAGACTCTGGTCAGCAAACATAATATGGCTTGTGTCATGGGGGTTCTAGGTAGATCCACTGATACTATAGCTTTGATGGAGGAGTGTGTCTCCGCCCGGGAGCGAGTATTGGGAAAGGATCATTTAGATACGGCGGCAAGTTCATCAGTCTTGGACATATTGCGCCGAGAAGCTTGAAGTTATGTTTATTGAGTTTATCACCCCTTGTTGTGGCTGCTAGGTATTATTGTAATGCTACTGATGTTGTACCAAGTAGATGCCGTAATCCATTGAATTGCATTGACACTGTTCGGTTGTGCGACCAAGACATCACCGGGAATGCACATTCTTTATCTAACTACAGCTAAGCGGCCAGCAACCACAAGATTAGACGGATGTGTCTTGAAATCGATCATCTTATCAAATATGTCTCATTTGAAGGAGTTGGGCAGATCTGCCGATGCTATACCGCTGATGGAGGAGCATGTCTCCGTCGAGAAGTGAGTACTCGCGGAGGAACGTCCATATGGTATTAGGTTTATTAGTCTTGCATAGTCGGCTGCAAGAGACTTGTGAGAAACTTATTGAGTTTATTGTAGATACTATGGCCCAAACGCGAATATCTTAACACAACTATACTACTTGTATAGTTGTTCGGGATGCATGATTGGTATTGAGTTGCTTGGATCACGGCATATTTGAAAATTTCACGATACAGAATCCGACCCAAACTTTCTGTAATGATGCAGCATATTTATGGAATATATATATATATATTATATTCGAAGTAGAAGCGCGTGTGGAGAAATTGTGCGAACAGCAAGGTGGACACCCATCTTTGACTTTCATAAGATTTACTTAGGTGAGAAGACAGCGACGCTTATAACATTGTCATTCATCTGGACGTTGCAGCTACTGTAATAGGCATTTGAATGACAAACTTCATGACTCAATCTAGTGTATGGCATATTCGTATTTGATTACGAAATCTCGGAGAAGAGGGCAACCCAAAGCATCCCATCTTCCCAAGGGGAGCACATAATTTGGCCCCTCATCTTCTCTTATTGTTTTCCATGGAAAATAGGCATTCGTCATCTTTGTTGACCAATCAGAATTAGGAGCCCTGTTTTCTGACACGCTTGTATGGCCCAGATATAGCAGACAAAATAACTAACTTGGTCGAGAAAGTGCGGAGATTCCCGGAGCTTAAGGATTTAGTGAACAATTAAGATTCCAAACCACTTGATTAGCCTGCCCAACTGTCCAAATACTGGATTGGATCTAGTTCGATCTCGCTGCTCTTGTAGCGCTGACCTCATTCTCCTTAGACCGCTCATGCTGCATCAAAGTCTCCGGCTTTAAGTGGCAAAAGGTGTCTAGCAATAAGTATATAAAACCACCTCAGTTGTCCCTGATGTACACAAAGAATCATTTGCTATTGTCACCAAGTTTCACAACCGCTTTCGATATCATGTCTTCCAAAACCATTCGAGTTGCGTTGGTTGGGCTGTCAGCCAACGCAACTACATCGTGGGCCGCGGCAGCTCATCTGCCATACCTTCAATCCACTCGAGGCCAGACTCAGTATAAAATTGTCGCTCTTCTCAACTCTAGCAAAGAGGCAGCCGAAAAGGCTCGATCTCACTTCAATCTGCCCTCGACAGTCAAGGCATATGGAGACCCCGCCCAGCTCGCCGCAGATGATGAAGTCGACCTTGTTTCAGTTGTTACTCGGGTCGATAAGCACTATTCCGCTGCCGAGCCTTCTATCAGAGCGGGAAAGTCTGTGTACGTGGAATGGCCACTTACTGAGAGCTTGAAGCGGAGCGTCGCTTTGGTGGGTGAGAATAAGGGCCGCGACACGAGCATCATCGGCCTGCAAGGGAGACTCTCGCCAGTAGCATCCAAGGTCAGGGAAGTTGTGGCATCTGGCAGAATTGGAAAAGTCCTTGATAGCCAAGTTCGTGGCTTCAGTGCTATGGGACACGGCAAACAACCGGGAACGCTGGTTGAAGGTGGCACGGAGGACATGTTTACGGAACGAGCGATTGGAGGCAACCACTTTTCCATTTTGTATGCTCACATGATTGACCTTGTGCACTCTGTGCTGGGAGAGTTCAAGGACTTCCAGAGCAAGCTCCAAATCCGATGGCCAGAAGTCGAAATCGTCGATAAGGATGGCGTGAAACTACGTACACGACAAAGTGATATCCCAGATCTAATCAATGCCCAAGGAGAACTTGCTCCGGGGGTTGCAAACATACAGGAGGGTGCAACTCTGTCCGCGTTCTTCAGAAGCGGTCCAACGTTCAAGGGCGAATTGCCATACACATGGTACATCCAGGGTGAAAAAGGAGAGTTGAAGATCACCAGCCCGATTGGACCAATTCTCCAAGCGGCCACTGTTCCTGCTGTCAAGATTGAGCTTCACGACACCATTACAGACGAGGTGATGGAAATCCCATGGGAGTCTGAGTGGAAGGATTTTCAGAAAGAATTGCAGGTGCCAGGAGGGAAACTGGTGGGAGAGATGTATAACAGATATGCCCAGTGGTACCAGCAGAGTGACAAGGAGGCGGCTCCGGTGGGAGGAGACTGGCCGAGGCTGGAGGATGCCATTCGTAGACACGAAGAGCTTGACAAGATGCTGAATGACTTTGACAGGTCGAAATAAGATAGATGTTAGCTTGAGCATGTGTAAAAAAAAGAATAGAATTTCAATATTTGGTGTCCATAGATGGCATGTGGTTACCAAATTAGGAAAGCAGCTGATGTAACGCTGAATGGGTGACATTGATGCATGAATTACAATATAAAACTGTCAACCAGATTTTTTAAAATCTTCTTGATTGAATGCAATATTTTCTCTTTTGCATTTCCCATTAGACTTATGAAACATCGCCGGCTTATATCAAGGAGGAGATTGTATCTGATTGCGTGACTGGATGTCATGCTACCTTACAGGGCTCGTGCGCTAAAGTTACAGAAGCACCTGTTTACATGTAGCTGGTACCCACCCCAAGAGCCCTGACGTAAGAAAGTTCCAGGTTTCAGAGCTTCCATCAATTCTTCAGAGCTCGTTCGATCCAGCTTGGCCAAGACATCAGCTCAATTGAAGCTTCGTGCCTACAGCGCCATGGATGGCCTAGAGGAATTCGAGCAGAAACTCGCCGCCGAAAAGGCTGAGCGCGACAAGTCAGAGCAAGACCGCGAACGGCGCCATCACAAGCATCGACACCACCATCGGCGAGAGCGAGACGACGAAGACAGAGAACGCGAGGAGCGGCACAGACATCGGCATCGGGACAGCGAGAGGGATCGTGAAAGAGGCAAAGGCAGAGAGCGCGAACGAGACCGTGATAGAGATGGAGATAGGGATAGAGATAGGGATAGGGATAGAGACGATAATCGCCGTCGCCGACACCACGACGACGATGACGATGATCGTCGACACAAGAGGAGCCGCCGTTCACGCGACGACGATTCCGACGATCAGCGCAACCGGCACCATCGAGGCGACGAACGTCAAAAGCCATCAGACGAGGAGAAGTCTTCCGGCGACTCAAAACCTCTAGAGCGAGATGCCTGGATGACGGCGCCATCTGCCTTCGAAGTCGAACATGTCCATCGCCCTGGACAGAACAAGCCCCGATCGCCGACTCCAGAACCCCCCAAACGAGTGATATCTAGTCGCGAGATCAACAGAGGCCATCTGGAGGACCTAAACAGCGGCCAGTCGCCATCTGCATCTGGCTTGGAGCAGCCCTCCGCTAGGACAGTCGACTACACCTTTGGTGACGCTGGCTCATCATGGCGAATGACCAAGCTGAAAGCCGTCTACAATACCGCTGAGGAAACAGGGGAATCAGTTGAAGAGATTGCTCTGAAGCGATTCGGCAGCTTGGAATTCTTTGATGACGCGCGCGAGGAAAAAGAAGAGCTGGAACGGAGGCGGTTATACGGCGAAGACGCCAAAACAAATGACAGGCCCACTGGAGAATTCTACAAGGAACGGATAAAGGACCGGAAAGCTTCGGAACCTGTCAGAGAAATCCGCCAAGGCGAGATTATACAAGAAAACCCAGCTCAGCCTGCTGTTGTTCCAATGGACCAAACGGCGTTGAACAGACTGCGAGCCCAGATGATGAAGGCAAAGCTACGAAAAGCACCCAATGCCGCCCAACTAGAAGAAGAATACAACCTTGCAGCCGCCGCTGCCGCAGCCCCTCGCTCCAATGCACCTGAAGCTGTCGTGCTAGGTGTCATGGAGAGTCGCCAGCTCGCCGGCACGCGCGCAGAGGTCAAGTCCGTCGACACCAAGCGCGGACGTGAGCGCGGCCTCGTCGAAGAAAACACAGACATGACGATTGAGCAAATGCTTCAGGAGGAACGCCGAACCAAGGGCCAAGCCGGAGGTGAAGGCTTGCGGCTCGCCGAGCGAATCGCCAAAGACGCCAAGTTTGACGACGACCTCGAGTACATGGATGAAAACGCCGAAAAGCTCGCGAAGCGCGTGCACAAGAGCGAGATCAACCTCAAGAACATGGCCGTCAGCGAGTTCCAGAAGATGAACCGCATCCTGGAAAACTGCCCCCTATGCCACAAGGAGGACAAGGGACTGCCACCTATTGCGCCCGTCGTTTCGCTCGCTACGCGCGTCTTCATGACGTTGCCTACAGAGCCTGAAATCAGCGAGGGAGGCGCCGTCATTGTTCCCACTGCGCATCGGAATAACCTCCTCGAGTGTGACGACGACGAGTGGGAAGAAATTCGCAACTTCATGAAGAGCCTTACGAGGATGTACCACGACCAAGGTCGTGAAGTCATCTTTTACGAAAACGCCGCCGCTCCGCACAGGCATCTACATGCTGCCATGATGGCCATCCCCATCCCTTACGACCAAGGCGCCATGGCCCCCGCCTTCTTCAAGGAGGCCTTTCTCTCGTCCGACGAAGAATGGTCTCAACACCGCAAGATCATCGACACGGGTGCCAAGGCTCGGGACGGCATGGGCCGCTCGGCGTTTCGCCGGTGCATCGCCAAGGAGATGCCTTACTTTCACGTGTGGTTTACGCTGGATGGTGGTCTCGGCCATGTTGTCGAGAACGCGGACCGTTGGCCCAAGGGGGATCTTTTTGCGAGGGAGATTATCGGCGGGATTGTTGATGCCGATGCGCACATTATCAAGAAGCAAGGACGGTGGGCGAAGCTTGATAATAGGGTTGATGGGTTTAAGAAGGGGTGGAGGAAGTTTGACTGGACGAGGGTATTGGCTGATGCTTGAGAGGAAAGTGAACCATCTAATCAGTCTCGATGGACATTATCTACGTAGTGTGATTAAAGGATTGGGCGAACCGTGGTATTCATTGGCAGGATCATGTCTATAAACAATCTTCGAAATTCAGGAGAAACTCAAGCACGGCATTCATATTCATCTATGTGAGCAAGAAGAGAAATATCATTAACAAGAAGTATATCGCCATGTACGCTGATGCATATCAGACCTGACATAAAGATGGCAATCCGTAGATAATAGAAACAAAAAAAATGTATAGTAAAAACAAAATGGTCATCGCATATTTCTCATGGGTTGCTCGCTCGCTCGCTCCTCTCCACTCTCGGGGGTATCTATCTTCTTCTTCTTCTTCTTCTTCTTCCTTTGCCATCTGCCGCCGGAAATATCTAAATCCAAAACGGTCCAAGGCTTAGCTGTAAAGCTCCAACGGGCCATAAAAACTCCATTATTCCATCCTCCCAATTAAATAAGTATTAAAACTTGAAGAGAGAAAAAAACAAGTCTCTCAATATATGACCAGTTATATCTCGATCAAAAGAAACATATGCGCAAGCTTACTTGCTTGGGGCTCGTCGTCGTCCTCTCTCACGCTCCTTTCGTCCTTCATTCGCTGCCGCCTTCACCGAGTCTTCCCACTCTCCGCTAATCTCCATCAACACGGAGCCCATGACCGTGGCGCTTGCCATCAGTCCGTGGCCTTCTCCTTCGAGAACGCGGACCTCGCACCGGCGCATGGTCTTGCCCAGCCACTTGACGTTCTCGACAGGTACTCTAGTATCTCTGCTGCCGTGGCGAATAATCACAGGGCGGGTAATGTCGACGTATCGGAAGCCAATGGTATGTCGTCTTTCTAAACAGATGAGCAAGTCGACTGCTGGATTCGCATTCGTCGTGGCAAGCTCCCAAATGGCATGTGTCAGTCGTATATCATAAGTTTGTTGTCGCTCCTTTTCAGCGAGGGGATCCATGACCGGGGGCGCGTCGCTGCCAGCGGGGACTTGAGGCAGCGCCTTGTCCAAGCCGTCAACAGCATTGGTAGCTGCCAAATCTCCTTCATTGACCAGTGTCCCGTTCGAGTCTTTGCCATCCACAGCTTGGTTCGCATTCTCCGTGGACGGCGTGGCATTTCGACTGTTGCCATCTTTCTGTCCCGTTTTGCGCTTCGTCCGGCGAGGGTTTTTCGGAAGAGAGCTTGTAATGGATGAGCTAGTTGCCGACATGAAGCTGCTGTTGGCCGCCTTGAGGAAAGAGGTCGGCAACACCCGTAGAATCCTCTGGGCAGTTGGAAGCGTGTGTGACGGCGGATTGACCTGTGACGATCCAAAAACATTCATTTGTGAAGGCGGAATCCAAGGTGCGAGGAGGTGAATTTTGCCTCGGATGTGCTGGGGCATGCGAAGGGCCGTGGCCAAGGCGTAGATGGCGCCAGCGGAGTGAGCCATGAGGGAGAATTTGGTGATTTTCAGAGTCTGGCAAATTGCGTATACATCATCTATACATCGGTAAGCAGGCATTCATTCATACATCAAGATTCCATCAATCTCGTCAAGGCGTCGCAACTTACCAGGCCAACTGAGGGGTGTGCTTGTCCCATCAGTATAAGGCTCACTATCTCCCACCCCAGGTCGATCAGGTGTAATAAGACGGAGCTTCAGCGTCAACGCCAGCTCGTCATAAAACGCGGTAATGTATCTTGTCAAGCCCATTCCTACACAGCAGAAAACTGCAAATCCTTCCGGGTCTCCAACTTCGGAGAAGGAAATGATTCGGCCGGTTTGAGGATGGCGAATTTTCTGGGATAAGCGCGGCGAGCAAAGGTATGATTCAACAGCGTCATCAATCGAATCGGCAGATTGGGGTCGCTCATAACCCGTGGGCTTGACGGACTGGGCGGGTTCCTCGGGTCGTTTGTTCTCTTGCGGAGTGAGCGGCGCAGAGAGGCGCTTCAGTCTAGAGCTGCTACGCTTCAGGCGAAGCCCTTCGTTGGGGCCAGGGTGTGTACGGGTAGAAAGCCGATGGTCTTTGCGATCAAGCTCATCTCGTCGGCGTCCTTGCGAGACGGATGGGAAGGGAGCTCCATCGTCCTCGAGCTCGTCCGGTCTCTCTTCTGCGATATAATCGACGCCCAGATATGTACTGGATGCCTTTGTCCGCAGCTTTGGGGGAGCAATCTCTTCGACGTCGTATAAAAACGTCTTGCCGGTGTCTGAATCTGAGCGTCGGTGCTTCATTTTCGAAAAGTCGCGGCCGTAACCCGACTCGGTGGTTTCGATGATTTTATCACTTATGGATGCCTCGCCCTCCTTCATTGATCGTCGGGTGCTGGCTCGTTTTCTACTTGAGCTCGAGTTGCGCAGGCTCGAATCGCGAACCGGGATGTGATGCAGGCCGTCTCCCAGTAGTGAATCATCAGTGGTGACTGGCGCTGGTTCCTCGCTGATGGCGCCTCCCGCAAAGAAGCTATCCGTCTTGCTGCCGCTGTGAATGCTACTCCCTGCTGCTGCCGAGCCGCCGCCCACGATTGGGGTGGAAGAAGCTCGTCTCCTGTCGATTTGCGGCTCACGAAGGTGCTCTTTAGAGCCCATATAGCTGAGCACCTTGCTGCCCCGACTAGACTTTTTCCCCCAGCTATCGAGTGACCGGCGTGGCCTAAGCTCCGGATGCGGCGCCGAGCCACGTTCTACAGATAGATTTCCGATACTGCGGGCATCATCATTCTTGGATGCAAAGGAGCCCGTGGACGAGGGGCGAGAGCTGGTGGCGCTACGTATAAAGGATCTGAAGCCACTCTCCCGGCTGGTGCTGCGGTGGCTCCGAGGGCTCTGCGGCGCGGTCAAGGGGGAGAAGCCGCTCGGGGGCTTGGAGGTGCGGACAACAGGCGGGCTGGCAGCGAGATCGTCGAGGGATACCGGGGCAGCGTAGTCCTCATGAAGAGAACGCTGCTTGTACGCTCCGTAGTCGACCCCGAAGCTACCAGAGCCGCGCCTGGAGCCGGAATGGGGACCGGGATTCGGGCTCGTTGGCAGGGACAGGTTCGTGGGCACCAAGCCGTTGTCGAAGTGGTGGTTGGCAGGCTCGGCAATGGCGCTAAGGCTCTGGATGAGGCTGGAGATGATTTCGGGGCTGCCAGGAGGAATGGCGTATCGTTTGCGAGCAGCAGAGGTGGGCGTCGACGATATGCGGCTGCGCTGGGACGAGTGAACGCGGTGGGTGCGTGTTGGGATAGGGGGCATGGTATCTATAGAGGAGCGATCCATGGTGGGCAGCGGCCAGCCGCAGGGCGACGTGTCCAACGGCAACGGGCCTGAGACGGCGAGTGTCTAATGTCGAACGGGAGTGTCTTGCCTGGTGAAATTGGCGCACGCAGCCACGTTCTTCTGGCCCCGGCGGGCAGCAAACAAACGTCTGTCAGCGTCTCGGTTGTGCATGAATTTCCCTTTCCAATTCCCCCACACTGGCACTCGCACACGGGACACGGTGCAAGGGCAATCCAATCCAATCCAACCAATGCCAGTGAGACAGAGAAAAAAGAAGAGAGAGAAAAAAGGACTTCTTTCAGCTCTGAGGCGTACGATAGTCTGAGCTCGGATGCGGCCAAAAGACAAAGAGGGCGGAGACGAGCGGTTCGGAGCATGGACCGTCCACTGCAGCGGCGCTTGAGACAAAGAAGGCTGGGGAGATTTGGCCGGAGACTAGCACAGTCCAAACGTTAGCCGCGTCGTCTTTGTTCAAAGATGCAGATGCAGATGCAAATGTAGATGCAAATCTGTACACACACACGCACCTGCAAGTCCAAGAGAGAGAGAGAGAGAGAGAGAGAGATGTTCACGCGTGCTGTGTGTCTGAGACACGCGGCACAGCACAAAAGACACGCACAAAGCACAAAGACAAAGACAAAAAGCCAGCCAGCAGCAAATCACGAACGAAACAAGGCAGAAAGGAAACGGAAACCAGAGCAGCACAATCGTTCAATAGCTGGCCTGTTAGCGGGCTCGCGGGAGATTTGACAATTGATAGACGGCCCCCTTTCGACAGCCCGGCCCACACCAATTCAATCACCAGTTTTCGTTTTTTGCCGGCTGCAGGCACGGGATCACGGGTTTGGTGCTGCTGCAGGGACCGGGATCCCACCAAGAGCCCCCCCTGCGGCTGGAGAAGCGATCGAAGCACTGATTCGGCCGCGCGAACGGGCTGGAGACGGAGTCGCGGCCGCTGATTTGGTGGCGTAGGCAGGGATTTCCAAAATTTGTTGGTTTTTTTCTTTCTCGTAGGTAGTCTGGTGGAGAAGGATGGATGGGATGAGTAGAGCTAGAAGTTGTAGGGGTCCGTGTCGGCTGCAAGTTGACCCCATTCCGAGCCTCTTCCTTTCTCTGGTCGTGATGGCTGAGCTGCACGCTGCTATAAGTCCATCCATACACGCAGCCTGTGTTCAATGCCGAAGCTGTGCATTGGTAAGTGGGCAAATAACTCCAAGGTTAGCCGTGAAAGTACAAGCTAAACAATCCCGAGATACTGCTGCCCTGCTGCTTGTCGGGTACGGGGGGCATTTGTGCGACTGTGGTGATACGTTTGGAGTCTCTGGACAGCGACACTACGCCCCAAGCTAACAGCCCCCCCTAGCACGAGAAAGCTGAACAAGTCCGCTGCCGATCTACAGCAGGTAATTAATTGCTTGAAATGAGGCCAGTTTGGGCAGATGACATCAATGCGACGGGCCAGCTTTATTTTCATCCGTCTAGTAGTAACCGACGTCGCCGAAAGACGTAATGCTTTCGGAGCAGATTGCAATTATACGGCCAGTCCCATGTAATAGACGACAGTGGAGAGCCAAGAAGCTTTGTTGAGCTCGACAAGTTGGGATAATGAGTAGCAGCTAAACAGAAGAAGATCATATTATCGTGATCCTATCACAGCATACAGCTATTGGTACATGTCGTCTTTGAAGCTACACAAACATGATACTTGAGGTTAGTTGAAGCTCTCAAGTTTGCTGGCCTACCCGGGAGTGCTGGGCGAAAATGCAGTTCCGTACATGTAATTGATTAATACGAGACCCAGTGGATACCTCTGATATTCCTTACCTAGTACCTATCAAATCTCAAATCATTTCATCTTCAGTAGGTGGTTTTTCGGAAGCTAATATGCGGTTTGCTCTTTATCAATCAATGGTGGAAGCCTCGTCTTTAAACTTGGGGAATTTCTTTCCTTATATCAGCAGTCGAAACATTACAGTTGTCCAGTGTCTGAGTGGCTTACACTGTGGACAAAACACAACAAGCCATCTACTGCCCCAAAATAGTATAGTGCCTAGATTTCCAACTCCGAGATGTGTAATCCTCTTCATCAATGATTTATTTGGCAGACGAATTGCCGCCGTCGAGCAGCTGTAGCTCCCAATTCCCATTCCAGACGGAGTCATGACTCTTCCCTTGTATTTCTCTCAAAAGCAGGTGCCCAAATCGGGTTGGCATCATTGCAAATGATCCTCACTGACACTAGCTATTAAATCCCCAAGAATCCTCGATACCGAATGACGATGGAGGCACCCGCCGCTTTCTCCTGGGTGAGTTACGACAACCATAGAGTCCCCCAGGATCCCAAGTCGCGCACCTTGATCCGTCGCCATGCCATGAAAAATGTGGCCACCACGAGAAAGCAAAGGAAAAATTATCGCGGCAATGTCATTCAGTATCCAGAGTCCGTATTACAAGGAGAAGATGATCCAAGTCTTTGCGATGGCTCCAAACCCTCTGTAAAAGGAGGCAAAAGCCAGCCACACAAGTATAAGTCGACGAAGAAGAAGAAGAAGAAAGCGGTAGACGACACACAAACTACGAAGCAGCAAATCGTACGCCTCCATACGATATCTATTAATGACGTTGAACGGAAAATGAATGCCGGATTTCCCATCTTGGAACTGATAGCCCCCTTAACGAGCTTGCATCTCGGATTCGCCAGCATTTCCTGCTTCACCTCCAATTCCGGGAGAGCTGGAGATGTGCTTTCTACATCGCCACTGTCACATCTTCAGAGCCGAAGGCTACTATCATATTTGCCTAGTCGATATGGAAAGGTCGCCGCCTTGACTTAAACTGTTGATTGCCTTGTGGCAAGATTGAACCAGATCACGCGGGATTTGGTCACGAACTGTCCTTCTGAGGAGGAAGATGGAATAGTCTTTTGTCACTATGCCAAGGCTCTAAAAGAAGTTCAGAAAGCAATCGATGATGACGCACTCCGAATGTCTCAAGAGACGCTGTACGCCACAGAGCTGCTTGGCATCTTTGAGGTACGGTGCTCATGAAGCCAACGCTCGGCTGATGTCGCATTAGTCCCTCTGCTAACCTGTCGCATCCTCTCACCTTGTATAGCTTCTGAATCCTCAACCGCAGATGAATTCTTGGATATGCCATGCTGGAGGCGCTGCCAGGCTGATTCAGCTTCGTGGGCCCGACAGGTTTCAGACAGACTTTGAATTGGCCTTGTTCATGGCCCATATTGGCCCAATAGTACGTCTACATCTTATTGATGGCGGTATAGTCACAAAGGGTCTCAAAATTGAACTTGTCGTGTTTCAAGGTCACCGAAGCATTCCTCAGCAATAAACTCTGTTTCCTAGCCGAAGAGCCATGGAAAAGAGTCCTGCGCGCCGCCATCTGCAACGACCCATCGATACCTTCGACGCAGAGCGAGCTCATGCATGAGCTGTGGTCTAGCCTCATCTATGGGCCAAACATATTCAAGCTGGTCACGGATTTGGTTCTGGCACCCGTCGAGCCCCGGCCATCCATCATCGAAACGACAATCAAGCGTATCCAGAGAGACCTTGATCACCTGGATATGTGGGCAGGCTTACTGCGACGACACAAATCTGTGGCGGACAAAATTTGTTCAAGAGATAGTCCTTTGATGTCATCAAAGTTTGCTGCTGATTGGGACTCCTCAAAAAGATATGTGCCGTGGCAGGTCTTGCAAGGCACTCATACCATGTGCAGTATGTTAAAGAGGCGGCTGCTGACTTCTCTTGCGCCATCTCGCTATCCTCACATTGAGCTGGAGTGCCAATCACTGGCTAGACTTGCCATGGGGTTGGATTCCGATCCTGCTACTCCAAGCAAGGAAAATGATCTTCCAGGAGGACTGTTTATGGCGCAAACTATCTGGGTAGCTAGAGCTGTCGTCAATACAAAGAGTATGTGGTGTGAAACTGGGGCGGGAAGAAACGAAGCGGGAGTACAGGATGGGCAGCAAAGATCAATGATTGAGAAGTGGAAGTTTAGGCTCTGGTGTAAAGAGCTTGGGAGAACAGGGATGTAAGCAGCATTTCGCCTTTTAACTATGGAGAGCTGACCATTTAACGACATCATGAGAAGGAGGGAGAATCGGCAGGCTGGCGTTATTACAATTGGTAAATAATGCTTGCAGTTTGAACGGTTCATTTGCTTATTCACTTAGATAGTATCGCATGAACAATCTTATTCACTTATTCACCGAAAGTATTGTACTTTCATGCTTCATTATATTTTAGTTCATGTTCCCACTTGGTCCTAGACTACAGGAGCTGCTAGGTCAATCAAGCATTCTGTGATATCCGTGACAATGGTTCAGGCCAGCTCTTCCTTCAGGGAGGGACTCGCACTATTTGCCTGCAAGTCCATGCTCGAGGTATTCCTTCAAGGACTTGTCCACACGCCCAAGGTAGTCTTCACAAGCGTCAGAATTGTGTAACAAGACAGAAGAGGTCTATCATTCATAGGACTTACTCAGCACTTCTTTCCTCAGGCTTGCCGGGATATCCACCAGCGTGGGAAGAATGTTGTGAAGGAGCTGCTCCTTGCCATTCTCCTCTTTACACATAATCTCCCAAAGCTTGCGAGCCTGCTCAAAGTCCTTGTCGGTAACTGAAGTCGCGAAAGGCGTTACCTGTCCGTTCCATTGTTCGTGAAGCGGCATCTGAAATCTGGCGCTCTGGGAAACCGGGCGGAGCTCTGAGAAGACGTAATCAGGATCACTGCCGTAGTTTCCATTCATGGTTCCGGGACCATCTCGCACATATGGTGCGTACACCTTGTTGGATGGCCGGTTGGGTGGGAGCTGGAAGTAGTTGGGGCCAACGCGGTAGCGATGAGCGTCTGGGTAGCTGAACATTCGTGCTTGAAGAACTGAATATTTATCTTTGTTAGCCATGATAGGTATTCTCAAACGATATCGAAGTGTACATACCCGGATCGGCGGAGGGCCCGATGCCTGGGACCATGTTAGATGGCGAGAAACAAGCTTGCTCAATATCCTGAAAATAATTGCTCGGCTACGAAGATATAGTATCAGTCTTCTGGTTACCAAGTAGTATATGCGTCATGGTCACGAACATTTTGATTCAAGGTCAAGCGGCCAACACGGCGCAGAGGATATTTCTCATATGGCCAAGTATACGTGCAGTCGAAAATGTCAATGGGCGCCGACTTGACGTCTTCAGGCTTCATGACTTGAATGCACACCGACCAGGTTGGGTAATCACCCTTCTCGATAGATTTGAAGAGATCTTTGACGTGATAGTCTGGGTCTTCGCCAGCGAGGCGGACAGCAACCTTTGGGTCCATATTCTTGATTCCGTCATCGGGCTTGAAGTGCCACTTGACATAGACGTAGCTTCCATCCTATGTACTGTTAGTCTTCGGTTGAATGAATATTAGATTATAGAGCCGGCTTACAGATTTATTCAAGGTATAAGTGTGAACACTAAAGCCATTGATGTTCCTCAAGGAAGCTGGGATACCACGCGGTCCAAACAAGTGCATCAGAGCGTGGATACCCTCTGGGTTGTTCTTGTGAAAGTCCCAAAACATGGAGTTATCAGGAATATTGGTCTGGGGGTGTCTCTTGTGGCTTCGGTTCATGGAAGGGAATTTGATCGGATCCCGGATGAAGAAGACAGGAAGGTCATTGAAGACGAAATCCTGGACACCTTCGTTGGTATAGAACTTTGTTGCCCAGCCTCGAACATCTCGAACTGTGTCGCTGGATCCCTTTTCACCACCGACCGTGGAGATGCGAGTCAGAACCTTTGTTTTCTTTCCAATGCCAGTGAGGAAATCTGCATCGGTCAAATCAGAGATGTCGTCGAGGACTTCAAACTCGCCAAAGGCACCAGCAGCCTTTGCGTGCACGCTCCTGTGAAAGAGAATGAGCCATGTTGCTTGTGTTGTAGCATGAAGCTTCTCCTACCGCTCTGGAATGCGTTCACGTGCAAAATGAGCGAGGACTTCGATAGTTTGGGTATCGCTCAGAAGGACCAAGCCACCGTTGGTTTGTCCATAGCGGACTTGTTGCACGGAGCCTGGATTGGCGCTTGGCTGGCCTAGAGAGTCACAGTCAACATAAGATAGACAATTGGTAGATAGAAGGATGCCCCCGTTTGATGCCTTACCATTGGCCAGGGTGGCAGTAGGGTTGGAGAAAGACTTGAAATACTTAGCACAAAGTCCAGGGATTGTCACGGGAAGTGCGTGGAGGGCATCTTACCATGGTGTTTGTCGATATTACCCTTCAATTGACCTTGAATCTAGGGATGGTAAGCATCTCCAGGACTTCCATCGTACGACCGCCAGATCTGCTCGCTTTTGTAATTATATGCAGCACATCCTGTAATCCGTCATTCTCATCTCGAAATTTCATCATCGACCAGCGATGAAGGTTGATGGCTGGACTCCCCCCGCATCGCTTCCCGCGTCTTCCAGAGACGGAATTGGTGATGAAACTAATAACGCAGAGTTCAACTAGTTTGCGAGCTGGCCTGCAGGTCTGACGCGAACCATGGATTTCACACCAATCCGGACGGGTAAAGAGCTGGGAGCTGGTTAAGCCACCACATGCAGAAAAAGTATATCTCGAAATCCGCTCAAGGTAATTGGGCCGATCGTTCGTGTTACATTCACCATGACGTTCGCTGGTAGATCGACAGACTGTGAAGCTCCGGGTCATGGAAAGCTAATTGATAGTAGAAGCAATGGATCTTGTTTCTGGGCGCACATTCTGGCTTTGGCGGGTGAATAGGGTATAAGATCGAGTTGTCGCTTCTTGGCTGGCAGTGCGACGATTCCATCCCCAGCATAATTGATACACACTGCTCAATTGGATCACTTCTTGAAAAAAGTCGAAAAGGTCGACGCCGTTATGCCTGATTTAGAAATGAAGACCACAAATCGACCAGATGAGTGGAAGATTGAGCAAGGACTTGCTGGAGCTGAGCTCCCAGTCCTTGACATGACCGGGCCCAAGAATGTGCCTCTGACTATTCAAACCTTTGGGCCCTTGAGCAAGAATGAAGAGGCTATCAAAGCTGTGGGTGACCCGGAGAAGCTCTTTACTAGAGAGCGCGAGGGATGGGTTGGGTAAGTCCTCTTGAATTGTAACAAAGAAAGGTCCTGTGATGGATCCCATCTGAACTGACCATGTGCACCAAATCAAGCTTCGTCGAGTGGGAGAATTATCCTGACAAAAAGGCTGCCGCGCACAAGATTCTGACATCGCAGACCTTTCCACCCAACCCAGAATTCCAGCTTGGTCCCATTCCCGGAACCAACCCGGTGCTTCCGGGCACTCATTGGAAGATGTGGCATCATGCCGTTGGTGGTGAACTGACGGATATTCCTGACGACTCGTGGGCCACGGTCCTCAAGGAGAAGCATCCCGACATGCTCCATCTGCTCCAGTTCCCATACAATGGAGAGCCGCCCAAGCGCCTTGTAACTGACAAGGAGATTACTCCCAATTCACTTCACTTTGTGAGGAACCACGGAGGCATCCCGCTCATCGACAAGGACAAGTTCAGTTTCACGATGGATGGCCTTGTCGCAAAGCCTCGTGAATATACGCTGGACGACCTCATGGACGAGTCGAGGTTTCCGCGTATGGAGAAGACCATCACCATTCAGTGCTCCGGAACCCGCCGCATTGAGCAGATTCTCCTATACCCAGGCCAGGGTGATGAAGTGCCCCAAGCGCCTTGGGCTGAGGGTGCTATTGGCACTGCGAAATATGTTGGCATCAGCCTCAAGAAGGTCATCAAAGAATGCGGTGGCTTGATCAATGGTGCCAAGCATTTGGAGTTCTACGGCGCCGACACATATTTCAAGGATGACAAGGTTATGAACTACCTCGTCAGTGTTCCGTGGTCCAAGGTGAAAGCAAACGAAGTTATGCTCGCGTGGGAGATGAATGGCGAAATTTTGCCTGCTATCCATGGATATCCTCTCCGCATTGTTGTCTTTGGATACATTGGAGCTAGGAGTGTCAAGTGGCTCTACCGCATCAAGGCCATCAAAGAGCCTTCCCGAGCACCAGTTCAGAGTCAAGAATACCTCTATTTCCCCCAGCAGGTGGGAAAGCACAACTTTAAGTTGACGGATGGTATTCAGATTCAAGAAATGCCAGTCAGTTCTGCAATCATGTCGCCGTGGACCAAACAAGTCGTCATCCACAATGGCAAGATCCGCTGCAAGGGCTGGGCTTATTCCGGCGGAGGTCGATGGCCTGAACGTGTTGAACTATCGGCAGACGGTGGATTCAACTGGTACACTATACCGCTCGAAAACCTATCCAAGAAGCGGAAGTGGACGTGGCGCACGTGGGAGTATGAACTTCCTTGCGACGTCGAGGGCTGGGTTGAGATTGTGTGCCGTTGCTGGGATAGTGCCTTGAACACCCAGCCGACCTTCATTCGCACAGCTTGGAATTGGGGCTTGCACGTTACGCATTCTTGTCACCGAATTTCGGTGTACAGCGTTAACAAGACCAGAAAAGCCACTCAAGATCGCCTTAAAGAGTTTGAACAGGCGGGCATTCCGTTTGGTCCTATCACTGTGCCACTCGCATTCCCCTCGCAGAGTTGGGAGGACTATGAGAAGTTTTGGAAGGAGCATGATCCTCGCGATGCCGAAGATGACTGAATGTTCTTCTGTTCTGAGTCTTCTTTGTCTGAACGGGCTCAGATAATATTGTAACACAAAAAAAAGTAGGAAACACTAACAACTCTACTATGAATAAAAACTACTTGGTTCTTATACCTATTGCTACCAGAGTATCGTTCATGATGGGTGCTTTCACTGTAAAAACCCCTGGTCACTCCCATTTGAAGTTGTCCTCTCCCTCTCTTGATATGGTTAATTGGTTAAGACACTTGGCTAACTAACCCTGTTTTCACATCAAAAATGAACCCGCGTGTTCTTTCAACCAAATCCTTCCTCACAAAAGGCGTCGTTCCGAGCCATTCAAGATCATCTCGAACACTTTGATCCACACTATCACAACGGTCAGCAAATTAACACATCATCACCCTAAAACAGTCGATTAGTATATACAGTTGTGAAACATACTCGGTAATTGCCCCTAGATACATCGCATCAATTTCCGACCAGTGTTTAGGGTCAGTCTTCGCTTTGAGAGACTTCCGCACGTCTTCATCTCTAAATCGAAGGGTGCCACAATCGGTGTGGTGGACAATGGCTATTTCCTTGAGGCCCAAGACTTCATCTAGAATGATAATGTCTCTGAGGGCGTGCTGAACGCTACCCCCAGCATTTCGGTGAACAACAACTTCTAGGAGCCAACTATTAATAGCCATTTCTTACTACTGCATTCTTTTTCTTACCGCCGGGTTGAATATTGAAGAATCTCTCCGGTATACACCGGCGATCATTGCATGTAACTAAATTTTTCATGTAAGTTTATTGATATGATGTAACATCGACAGTGAATTTATCAGGCTTGGAGAGTAGAGAGGGCCTTTACTGATTAAAGATGGATTTTCCCCGTAACCAGGTTCTGTGTGATACGGCGACGGCTTGTAATTCTCTGCCACTATTCTGGACAACTCTTGAGATCTCCGTTTCGGTTGGAGTATATAGTGGGCATACGCACTTGTTACGCTCCAGTAAGTCTGCAATCGTTGGTGTCGATTCCATGGCGGAAAGGATATCGAGCAGTCAATGGCGCTCAAGAATGAAAAATTTCCTGCCTGGAGATAGTATCATACGATAAATGAGAGGATTTCCCCTTCACTAATGCTGTAAGAGACTTCAATGATGCTTCTTCAAAAAAGGTTAGTTGGACTGTGAGTCTTCGTCTCGCATGAGGAGTATTAAGCCGCTCTCTGACAAATGCTTTCGCCGAATATTAACTGCCGAATTTTAAATACCATTCTGGAATAAAGACAGATCAGAATTTATGATACTGAATCCTTGGCTTACAAATGCCTGCCAATTTTACAAACAACTTTGGTCTTTTGTGTTGTCTTGTGATGATAAATCCACAGAGACATTTACAGAGACTACGTTTACAGCACGTACAAGTGAGTTATAGGGCGATATAGCTCTAAAAAGGCTGACTAGCACTCAGCCAAGGGATTTACTGCCCTAAAGCGGAAAGGTTTCACTAGTGAGAGTTTAGAATCGGGCACCGCTCAAATCGGTAGTTTGCATCTGTCCTGTGAAACAAGAGACGCAAGTTCTTTAGTATACTATAATGGGTAGTTGTAAACTTGACCATGACCAATATCAAATAATAATTATTCTCTATTGCACCAAAAGAGAGAAGTTAATTGAGATTTACAAATTTCATGCGATGAAGGAAAGGGTGGCCGGGTATGCTGCCGTAGAACACTGTCATAGTGTGTCGGCAAAATAGTCGAGAGAAGCTATCTTAGCGAAACAAGCGGATGATATCAATGGAGGATAAATACTGCAGGTATCGACTTGAGATGAGTTACGAGTAATACTCCAGTATCTTAAAATTAAGTTAATCTCCGAACTATTACTACTTCATTAATCATGCCCTTTGTCAAGATCGACGTCATCAAGGGACGCAGAAGCCTCGAGCAACTAAAGACAATGGGAGATGTGATCCAACAAGTCCACATTGATACATTCGCTGCTCCCGAGAGGGATAGGTACCAGGTCTGTGAATTGAGCCCGAACTTTATACAGATGCAGTATTAATCTTTTACAGATCTTCAGCCAGCATGAGCCATGGGAAGTCATCTGCTGGGATACTGGTCTTGGCTTTGAACGTACGGATGATATTGTCAGCATCCAGATTTCTGCGCAGGGAAGGAATGGCGATCAAAAGATGGCTATGTATGCAGCTTTGGGAGAGAGGCTGGAAAAAGAGTGTGGGTTAAAGGGCAACGATTTGCTCATCTCTGTTACGCCCAACACCAAGGAAGATTGGAGCTTCGGCTACGGACGGGCACAATTCCTTACCGGAGAGCTCTGAAGAAATTAGTCTAGATATTGTAACCAGTTTATTGTGGAAACATAATGCCTATGGATCGATTCAGATTTAGTAGCTGCTAGATTGTGCAGTCTAGTAGGGGGATAGATGAACATCCAGCTATTTTAAAATGTACCAGTCTGGCCAGTAGTGACCACAAAATCTGCCCACATGTCAGAATCATTCGGTTGACTAATGTTTTGGACTCAAAACGCTCGTCACTCACTCAATTGACCGGATTAAGAATACTTTTGCGTCGAATTGGCCTAAGGTGGCGGACGGTTACGGGGCGGCTATACGTATGTAGCCCATATTCATATTAATAAACCAGAATCCTCCTGTTACTCTCTATAAAGAGGCGATGTATGAAGTTCATAGAGAAAAAAGCCAGAAACGTTGTCAGCTACTATTGGTATAAATCATCTATTCAACCTCTGACGGGACTTTGATGAATCCTTGAGAATAAGCCCTCCTACTTTGTACAATCAGCCTTCGACCATAGCCAAGACTACTAAAATGGCCATCACGAATCTCAGCTCTTCAGTTCGCGTCACTCATGTTGGTACGGCGACGGCCATCATTGAGCTCGACAACCTCACCATCCTCACCGATCCTTATTTCTCTCCAGAGGGCACCGAATGGATTGGCAAATCAGGCGCTAAACTGGTCAATTCATACCAGCCGTCCCTTGGCCTCGAAGATCTGCCGCCAATTGATCTCATACTTCTGAGCCACGAAGATCACAAAGACAATCTGGACGATTTGGGCCGCCAGCTTCTCAATGGGCGTCACGTCTTCACCACCACTGATGGAGCACGAAACCTTGCTCCACGAAAAGCAGTGCGTGGGATGAAGCCGTGGGAAACGGTGAGCCTCCAAATCGGCGGCGGGCCGCGGTATGAAATTACAGCAACGCCTTGTCAACATCTCCCCGGCGGCGAATGCCTTGGATTTATCGTCACCGCAGAGCATTTTGGTACATCAGACGGAAAGCCAAATGCCGTGTACTTCTCCGGCGACACTGTCTACATAGAGGAACTTGCCAAGATTAAAGACCGTTTTCACATTTCTGTTGCCCTATTCAGTCTCGGCAAGGCCATGGTTCCTAAACCCGGGGGCGGTCTGCTTCAAATCACGATGGATAGCAAGCAAGCTGTGCAGCTCATGCGCGATATCGAACCAGATATTGTTATACCGTTGCATTTCGAGGGATGGAGCTTGTTTAAGGAGGGCAAAAGCGAAATAGAGAAGGTGGTGAAAGAAGAGGGGGTCGAAGACAAGTTTAAGTTTCTTTCCCCGGGAGTCGATACCAAGATTTTGTAAAATTGCCAAGGTTCAGAATAGATCTTCTTCATAGAGTAGACGTGATTAGAGAAATAAAAAAGGGCTTTTTTTTGCATGTAAATCCTTATTTTCACCTGCTATGAATATCTTTGCTTCTTGGTGCGTAGAGTTGCCTGTTTTGGTAGGGCTTATTCATCGCACCAGATGGGACAGACCAGCCGCAGCCTCTCTTTTTAGCCTGTATTCGCTCTCATTCACTTCTCGCATGGCTATCAAGGAATATTGAGATTGCAGCTGTAACTTTCCAATGAAGCCGAAAGGCTGTTCTTTCAAATGGCATCTCCGCTATTTTCTCCGAGAAGCACATTAGATGGCCAGCGCCGATCTAGTGGTGCAGATGAAGACTCGCGAGATGCCGAATACAGGTTTTCCATTGAAGAGTTCTCAACTCCCTCAACGGGCTGGCAGCTCGACGACTTCGTGCTCGATCCAGGTTATGTTGCATCTCGAGAAGAATTGCGTTGGTTGATGCTAAATACTGCACAAACTGCACCACCATCTCCAGCTCACGGCGACAGCTTCATATCTGGGTTGGACGCGCATAGGGGCGAAGATCGGTCGTCAGCACAGCACACAACCTCACATCTCCTATCACAGGGCAGGCGAATCGAATACCTCAAGAACTACATTAGCCAAGTTGCGCCATGGGTAAGCTCGTCCGTAAAGCCCGTTCCCGAGCTTGTATTGATTTGAGGTCAGCTCGATATGTTTGACAGCTCTCGTGCTTTCGGGATGCAAGTCCCTCTTCTCGCGCAGACTTCTCCGGCTCTATTATGCGCAATCTTAGCCATATCGGCACGACAAAAAGAACGAAAAGAGGCTTCGGATGGAAAATCGACGCCTCAAAAAAGCTTCGATAGCCTGGAGCTCTATCAAGAGGCGATCCGGCTTCTGACGCCACTTCTGCAGGCTCATGACCAAGCAGTAATTCCCATATGTGTAATACTTTGCTGTCTTGAGATGATGTCTGCCAGTGCAAGAGATTGGCGTCGCCATCTCGAAGGATGCGCTGCTCTTTTCGATGCATTCGAAGTCCATGGATTCTGTGGCGGATTGCTTCAGGCGGTTTTTTGGTGTCACGCGAGGATGGGTACGTTGAGTTTCTTCTGCCTTCACTATTTCAACAACAATCTAATGGAGGATCTGAATTTAGATTTATGCGGCGCCTTGATATCGGACGGGACGCAAAGCACCATGATCCCCCCTATCGCTTGGCTACCTCCAGGCACAGACGAGTCAAATGCTCGTCAGACTTTTCAGAACATACAAAGTCCGGATATGCACGCCAACTATGCAGTCTATCTCTGCGCCAAAGCCTGCGAACTTGTTTCAGATCGCACCCATCATGATGAATTGGGTGCTCCCAACGGATGTACGGCCGAAGTATTTTCATCACGCTGGACCAGGCTATGGGACGATCTACAGGCCTGGTTAGATGATCGTCCCAATGAGCTGGTTCCATTACAGACTATAGAATCGCAACCCTTCCCACAGATATTGTATCTTCACTGGGCAGCTATTTCATCCAATCAGTTATATCATACTGCTTGTATTCTGATGCTCGGATCAATGCCCAGGAGACACGGCCCCATATCTGGCTTGACGGGGTCATCTATCTGGCATGCGAAGCGCATTTGCGGAATCTCTTTGACAAATCCTCACCACGGATGTCTAAATAATGCGATTCAACCGCTGTGGTTGGCAGGTAGACTGCTTAGCCATGAATCAGAGCATACGATACTTGTGGATCTGATTCGTGACATTGAGTCTACAACGGGATGGGGAACCTGTTGGAGAATTCCCGACTTAGGAGCGGCATGGGGATATTCTGTCCGGAAGTCTTCTCGCTCAAGAAATGGTCCCCTGGAAAAGCCGCGAAACGCCCGAACTGGGTGAAGCTTCACATGCTACCGAAAAAGAACCCAGCCTATTCTCAACCGAGAAGCTCCGAAGTGTGCCAATCTTGATTAAGCCTCTCAATGAAGCCATCAGTACGCCAGCCCAAAGTGCTAATGTGCTTAAATCCCAGCAGTATTTCTCTTTGCTGACTTTTGTGCGTCATTCTCTGGGCAGCCAGGTAGAACGACGTGAGGAGACATGGGTCCCAGCATTCGCATCGATTATTGTTGATGGCGATACCGCATATCCTTTGCGCATGCCACAACTGCGATAATGATGATGAACGACGCTGATCAAGCTGCAGCGTCCTTGGCTTATGGGCCAGTATTAATATCATTGCGGTGTGATATAGCTGATTTGCGAATGTCGCTGAACCGTTGGTGAAGTATATGATTGGAAATGAGAATTCGTCGTTGCTGATTTCGATAACGGGACGGAATGTAGAGGGTCTGTTCGTGTACCAATCACTGAGTTTGTCAACGATAGACTTCCAACGAACCGCTCGGGTTTTTGTTGACTCGGCATTGGGATCTCTGGCTACTTCTTCATCTCCAAATGAGAAGTCGAGCACTTCGGTACATAGAACAAGAGGTTCATGTGCGAAATGGAGACTGATATGCCCAGACTTGCGTCCTTTGCTAAGGGAGCTCTCAAGTAGATGTCTTAAGAGACTGCTATTGATGGTAGAAGTGGTTGCCTTTAGCAAAGCAGCAGAGATACCTACGGCTATCAACACATTTGTCAACACACAAGCAAGGGCTTTACTCACTGAATCTCGCAAGCAACCATAACATACGCTCATTTAGTATGCGCAATGGACTATTTTCTGCCATCTGTGTATAGACGATTTGCAAAAAATCGTTTTTTGCCAGTGCACCATCCCATGATTTAGGAGGGTCGAGGAGAAAGCCTTCGGCGGCTGTTAACACTGACCAGAGCTTGACTTCCCACATCCTCGCATGCTCAAGATGATACTCAATAGGATATACAAGATGACTAGAGTCACTTGTTGGACTGTTAGTTGACGTCGAGGAATAAATAGTAGCTGAATATGAAGTAGCGCATAGTTTTAAAAGAGCATTGAATAACACGTCGGATCTCATTGCAAGATGTGGAATTACGAGACCAAAGGTCTGCCCCATATCACACATATCGAGCTTGAAATCAGAGAATTGTTAGAATCTTGCTGTAAATGGCAGATAAAAGAGTTCTCTCTTACCCATGGTGCAATCTTGTATCTGTAATGCCTCAAGAGCTCAATCGTTCGTCCCAGAGAGAGTTGATTTGCCACTTGGGGGCTGATTGGCCCAAGATCATCGATGTTCTTCAGTATTGATGGTGGAGATGACAAATTGATCTCTTCGATATCCCCAAGGACCGGAGTCGCGGGGGTAGGGTCATCGATATCCACGCCTGGATCTCCCGTTCCAAGAGTCATCAGTACATCCAGAGCAATCTCGTAACTGTCTCCCTGTCTTATTCCTATATCTGGATCCTGACCGTCTCCATTGAGACGTGACGTGGCCTGATTTTGCGCTTGCACATCTTGACCTCTTTCGAAATTTCCACCGTACTCGTGATACAGGTCATCAGAACCTAGGTAAAGACTTTGCTGTTCCCCAATAGACGTGCTTGGAGTCGCCGCCGGGGCGTTATTTGAAGGTGAATCATTATATGTATCGTTGCTTTCTCTTTCGACAGAAAGAGGAGATGGGATGGAAATTTGACTCTCTTCATTTCGACTGGTCTCTTTCTGCTGCGCGGATCCATTATCTACAAACTATGTGGCATCTCCGTTAGTATGGAGTTGGAAAGAGAGCAGAGGAGTTATTAACCTGGACTTTGGAATATTTTGGAGGACCGCTCGGCTTTCTCGGCAAAGGATCATCTCGACTGTTGGAAGAAAGGGTGAAAGCGTTCTTCTGCAAAAATGAGAGGCGCGGGCCATACACGCATTCTGCCTCGGCATCGATACAACGTTGGCAGCGAGGCTTATGCTCATCACCTATTGTTGAGTCAGAAGCATGGGTCGACTATTCAGGCATACGTATATTCAAAGACAGTAACTGCAAGCGCATAGATGAAAGTGGAACCTTGAGGGATGAAAGATATGTGCTATGAAGATCCATAGAGCTCAACACCTGTTGTGTCTTATCTTACATTTTCGCCGCCGAGTGCGACACCTCAAGCAACCCGTTCTCGCTCGTTTCTTCTGCACGCGATTGGGACTTTCAGTTTCCTGATGCGCCATGGCATATTGTAAGGTGCTTGCCAAGGTAGTTTCGGGCAAATTTCTCGATCCTGCGCGACGGATAGCTTGGGGATCTCGGGATAGGCTGCAAGGCGGCATTGGCGTTGACACAGCACTGATGATGGCTTCACGACTGATGGCGGTTTCTTTTACCAGCTTTAGTAGACTTAGGCACAGCTTCGGTTAATTTAATACGGCTATAAGCCGTCATCCCAAGGGCGCCACTGGCTAAATTGTCTCAACGCTACCAGACACTATTTGTTAACTAAACTGGATTGAACCCACCTACGACGCGGGTGATGAGAAGGGCGACAAGTTCTTGAGCGTAGATGGAAACGAAGCAGTTTAAAGAGAAATTGAGTGGTTCTCTACAGTTTATAGGATTAATGCAGAAGAAAGGGCAATCTTGAACGCCCGTGTTCCTTCTTCAACGCCACGTCCGTGATATGATGAACCAGCCGAAGCGGCACACTTTTTGGTTTCTGGGTTGGAACTAGGTGGTGGCTATACATGCCTGAAATGGCAATCCGAGAGAAGCAGATACCGCATGAGGTATACAGTCATACAGCCCTCAAAGACAAGCCTACAAGTTATTTCATGTCGCTTTTCAAGAGTACTCTCTGACTTTTCAGCCTCAAACGAAGCAATAAAGCAAATCGGGAAAATGGGGAAAACCGCCGTGACTCTGGCCTCTGGCCGGGAAATGCCTCTCGTTGGATTTGGACTCTGGAAAGTTCCCAGAGAAACAGCAGCAGAGACAGTATACAATGTAAGTGGTAACGACGTACAGAGAAAGAACATACGGGCTGTGACTCACGCCAGTTATTTTCTCTCAATAGGCAATCAAAGTCGGATATCGTCTCTTCGATGGCGCGTATGACTATCAGAACGAAAAGGAGGCTGGAGAAGGTATTCGCCGAGCTATCGATGAGGGATTGGTAAAGCGTGAAGACATATTCATCACCACAAAGCTGTGGAATAACTATCACCGAAAAGAGCGCGCGTTAGCCATGGCCAAAAGGCAGAATGAAGCATGGGGGCTGGGGTACATTGACCTGTATCTCATTCACTTCCCCTGTGCATTGGAATATGTTGATCCTAATGTTAGGCAGTATCCTGTAAGTTTTCTGATATTGCTACCACTTTTAGTTAATATTCACTGACCTCTGCTGTGTTAATGATGTAGGCATGGTGGATGGACGAAGCAGGAACGATATCCTTGGACAAGGTCGCAATTCGCGAGACTTGGGAGGCGCTCGAAACGGTAGTCGATCAAGGCATCGCACGCAGCATTGGTATTTCCAACTTCCAAGCGCAAGCCATCTACGACATACTCTCCTACGCACGCCATCCGATCTCATCGCTACAGATCGAACACCATCCATACCTCGTGCAGTCAGACTTGGTTACTATGGCTCAGGAGAACGGCATTGTTGTGACAGCATACTCTAGCTTTGGGCCACAAAGCTTCTTGGAGCTATCTCCAGCTTTTTCCAAAAGAGCTAAGGTGACGGCACTCCTCTTTGATACGGAGCCTGTGAAGAAGGCGGCTGAGAAATACCGTGTTACTCCTGCGCAAGTACTGCTGCGATGGGCAACTCAGAGAAATGTGGCTGTTATACCGAAATCCAACAATCGAGAGAGGTTGGGACAGAATCTGCAAGTTACGGAGTTTGACATGACGAAAGACGAATTGGAGGATATTTCAGCTCTTGATCAAGGATTGCGATTCAATGATCCGGGGTTCTATCTGACGCAGCCTATTCGCATTTTTGCGTAAGATATCTTATACGGGCTATCTAGAATATGCTATAGTCTTATTCTGTAAAAACATTCTTTTACTGTATCAGTAAATTTTTATTTGGTGACAAATTGCGCAACGACCAGACCTATCTTCAATTTAAGCTATTATAATGTTGTATTTGGTTCTACCCGATTATCGATGAAGCTCCGTATAGGCCCTACAAGTCGAGAAATTCTCGTTTCAGAAATTCATCATAACTGATTCTCATCAGATAATCCGACACCTTGAGCACAATACTATCCACGTCGAAGCCAAAATACTTGTACGCCTCAGGACCTGGGAGACTATGTCCGAATCGTCTCACGCTTATACTTGCGTCTGCATACCTTTCCCAACCGTTAGGTGCATATGGCTCTACCACAACTGCTGGGATGTTGCGGTGTCTTCGTAAAGTGTCCCTCTTGTAATCCAAAGATTGGCCCTCAAACAACCTCTGACACGGGAAACTGACTACTCTGCTTCGAATGCCCTTTGTCTCTCGCAGCACGACGGCGGCCTCTAAGACGTGCGACAGTTCTGCGCCGACACCAATGAGCGTGAGTTGCGCATCGTCATCTTCTTGAATCACATAAGCGCCCTTTGCAACGCCATCTCGGCGTGTCTGTTTGAGCTGTGGCACTTTGTGCCGCGAAGTAGAAATGATTGAAGACGCATCTTGGACTTCGATGGCGGCAATCCAGGCGCCGGCCGTTTCTTCACTATCTGCAGGGCGGATATATAGCAAGTTTGGCATGGCTCGAAAGAGTGCCGCCAACTCGATGGGTTGGTGAGTTGGGCCGTCTTCTCCCATCCCGATGGTATCGTGAGTCGCTGCATGGATTACCTTGAGTCGTTGTAAAGCACCCATTCTTACAGCCGGTGCTGCATATAGATAGAACATGAAGAACGAACTGGTAATTGGGATAAGAGTACCAGGAGCAAAAGCCGCCATGCCGTTCGAGACGGCACACATGGCATGCTCTCGCACGCCGTAGTGAATATACCGACCGGCATAAGAACCGTTGATACCGCAAGTCGTCCGCAGATCAGGCTACAAACAGAGTTAATCAATTCTTAAAGAAACGCACCTTTCGCTAGGAATCCCACTTACGTGTTGAAAATCTTGTTTGCCATCCCACGCCATATGCACAGATGGGGAGAGATCCGCCGTGCCTACCATAAAAGAATTGATGTCCTTGGCAAGAGGATTGATCATCAGGCCAGACGACGCTCTTGTCGCCAGTGGTTTGTCGGAAAGGTTGTCAGGGCTGGGTACCAGATTCTTCCAGTCAGATGGAAGCTTTCCACTCCGACGTCGTTGAAACTCCTCGGCAAGTAGAGGATGAGCATCCGAATATTTCCCCACGAGATCATTCCACTGTGATACAATCTGCTCTCCACGGCTAGGTAGATCCGAGAAGAATCGGCGGACCTCGTCCCTAACGACAAAGTACTCGTCCTCATTGAAGCCGTATGATCGCTTCATCCGCTTGACGTCGTCAGCACCGAAAGCAGCTCCATGAGCTTCCGCTTGTCCGGCAACAGAGCTGTCTAATCCGATGATTGTTCTGACGTTGATAAATGTTGGCTTGTCCGCCGAGGCTCGTGCCTTTTCTAATGCGGCCACAATGGCGTCTACATCGTAGCATCCATCTTCGACATCTATCACATCCCAGCCGCACGCCATCATCTTAGCGTTGACATTTTCGGTATTGGTCAGATCGACTGAACCATCACAAGTGATTTGGTTGTTGTCATATATAATTGTCAAGTTGTTTAGCTTGAGATGCCCTGCGAAAGAGATGGCCTCCAGTGCCACGCCCTCTTGCAGGCAAGCATCGCCAATCATGCACCATGTGTGGTTCGATACAACATCAAATCCGGGTCGATTATACGTTGCCGCAAGATTCTTTGTCGCCATCGCGAGGCCAACGGCATTGGCCACTCCTTGCCCCAAAGGCCCTGTTGTCACTTCAATGCCTTCAATCTCGATTTCTGGATGGCCGGGACAGATGGAGTCCCAGCGTTTTGAGTGATATGACTTGAGTTGATCCATTGTCATATCGCGATATCCCGCCAAATGGAGAAAAGTGTATTGAAAGAGGCAGGTGTGGCCATTTGAGAGCACGAATCGGTCTCGGTTGAAGAATTCTGGTTGAAGGGGCGCGTATCTCATCACATATTTCCACAGAGCAATTCCGATGGCAGCCATACCAATGGCGCCGCCTGGATGGCCGCCATTGAATTGCTGACAGAGATCGCTGATGAGCAGTCGAAAGGTTTTGAGAACCAAGTCATGCTCTTGGGTTCCCTGAGATTTAGACCCAGAATTTTCTTTTAGGCTAGTTGATACAGCATTTGTCGTATGTGTTTTCTCGGGGGATAGGACTCCAGGAGCCATGTTTGCTGAAGTCAGGCGAGATGAAGCAATGTAATTTGTTCCACAACGAGAAATGTAGCAGTGTTGAAAGAGGTAATTGGGCACCCTGGAGAGTCAGACTGAGCGTCGCTACGAAGAAGAAGAAGAAGAAGACATCAACGAGCCACGTTATTGCTTTTTACAATCCTCCAAACCTATAATTGCCAGAAATCCAGTAGAGGGTAATGCGTCCACTTTGAGGAATCCGGTGAGATTCCGTCGATGAGAGGGTTGCCTAAAAGGGAAACTTTAGCCACCTTCGGTCTGGAGAGCTTGAAGCCCAACAATTGGGCTTCTCCGGGAATTCTACAAGGGCGTCTTGCCAATCGAGATTTCTTCACAAGATTCTTGCCGCAAACAAAATAATTCTTTTACGAGGTTTTACTCAGATACATTGCACGCCAATCTCTGCGGATCTGCCAATTCAGATCAGGCAAGCTACACACTCACGTCGAATCCAAAACCGCCGCCATATTATCGACCTTTTCTTCTTTACCATTGTGTTGGCTTCAATCATTCGAAACGATGGCTCCAGCAATCATCTCCAATGGCGATTCTCCTGAAATATCAGCTACGACAGGGCTGAAGGATGTAGCAGCCACAGCTCTCAATGGGGGAAGCATTATCCATACTTCACGACCAAATCCATCATTACAAGCAACAGCCGACCATAATTTGAAGATGGTTGAAGCTCCGGTAGTAGAACCAAAGCATGGAGAAGTGCTGTTGCATATCAAGGCCACCGGCATCTGTGGGTGAGTAACGATGGCGGCAAAGAAACCGATTTTGAGAAACACGGATGGACTCATTCATATTCATTTAAAGATCGGATGTCCATTTCTGGAAATCCGGGCGGATAGGCTCATTGGTCTTTGAAGGAGATTGCATTTTGGGACACGAAGCTGCTGGAGTTGTGCTCAAGTGCGGAGAGGGTGTAACGAACCTGGTACCAGGTGAGTGATCAAAGGACGGATCAAAGGACGGATCATACGATGGCTAATGTTAAATGACAAAATAAGGCGATAGAGTGGCCATAGAACCAGGTGTTCCTTGCGGGGACTGCTTCCTCTGCTTAGACGGCAAGTATAATCTCTGTGAAGATGTCAAGTTCTCCGGTGTCTATCCCTACGCGGGAACGATTCAGCGATACAAAATCCACCCAGCCAAATGGCTTCACAAGTAAGCCTCCAAACAATGGCGGATTTTGCACGATCAATGACTCACATTTCGCTACAGACTTCCGGCCAACATATCGTTTGCTGAGGGCGCCCTCCTCGAGCCTCTGAGCGTTGTTCTTCATGGCATACGCACTGCTGGTCTAAACCTTGGTTGTGGCACCGTTATCTGCGGTGCTGGACCTATTGGTTTGATCGCTCTCGCTGCAGCAAGAGCATCTGGAGCGCATCCAATCGTGATAACAGACATCGAGCCAAAGAGGCTTCAATTTGCTCGAGAGTTTGTTCCATCATGTCGAACCTACCAGGTAGATCCTTCTCTAGGCGCTGAAGAGAATGGATGCCGAATCCGACGGCTGTTTCGGCATACCGAAGACGATACATCACAAGACATTGTACAAGGCCTTCAACAAGAGTATTATGCGCCGCGAACTGTTCTCGAATGCACAGGTGTGGAAAGCAGCGTGTGTACCGCAGCATTTACGGTCAGACGGGGCGGTACCATCTGCGTCATTGGAGTCGGTAAATCGATCATGAATAACTTGCCTTTTATGCATATTTCTCTGGCTGAGGTATGTAACACTGCAAATCGGTTGTGCGAAGGTTATGCCAGGATCGGCTTGCTAACAACATCGGATGAAATACGTATAGATTGAGCTCAAGTTCATAAACCGGTATCGAGATACGTGGCCGGCGGGTATTGCGTGCCTTAGTGGAGGAATTCTGGACCTGAAGCCCCTGGTCACTCACGTTTATCCTCTTGAGGATGCGATGGATGCTCTGCATCTGGCAGCCGACCCCAGAAATGGAAGCATCAAGATTCAGATTGTAGATGCAGCTAACGAGGACGCGATAGAATAGAGTGTGTGGACATGACAAGAATCATGAATAGATCAACAATATGGATGGATACAAGCCTTAAGGAACTTTAGGAGAATCTCTCGGTTCATTATTAAATGTACGAGCAACTAATCAATAGCTACGAAGCTCAAAAGTGCCAACTACACTCTGATAGCCACCCAACCACCATTACTAGACGTTACCAAAATAGAACCGCATGCGTGTATACCCGGGCTCCTCTACAGGATATAACTACAGCCTACCACGTAGCTGTATTATGAACCCGTGGCTTAGGCTTACCACGTACATTCAGCCGTCTCGCTTCGAGCGACTCCCACATATTGCCCTGCATGAAAGACATCATACTTAGTTGCCTTGGCCAATCGAATCAAACGAGGTTGATGGCACCGCAGCTTACAGCTATGACGACCGCGCTTTAAGCCGAGCACACCGTTCATTCTGCCAATGGCCCGAGCAGGTTGAAAAGTCTCTTCTTCTGCTGATGATCACCTCTGGTAGTTCAGCGAGGCTTGGTTGACATTTACGCCATTGTAAGACCCGTTATCACAATGACTGCATGGCGCCGTGACATTTCATTATGCTGACAATGTGCAGAGGGGGGGGGGATGGCTTAAACATCATCTAAATCTAACATGTACGCCGTCTGCTGGATACCGTACTCGTATATGTAGGCTTTACTCCACTCAGGTAACACAGGCATTGCATGGTTTGCTCTAGCAAAATGGGCGAGGCTGTCTCTTTGAGTTGCTCACCGGGAGGATGCATCTAGCACAACCTACATATGCAAATGCATGCGGAACGTACCATTAGTGGAATCCTCCTAGGCGAGGCCCTTTCTGTGCTTCCTAGGTAGGTAAGCAAGGGATACCATCATCAATGCAAGGTTCACAGTGTGTGTGGCCGACCCACAGCGAGGAGTCGGAGCGATTTCCGAACAACTAAGGCCAATCAAATTGAATAGTGTGTGATTCCCTGCAGCAAATATGCGCATGTACGCCAGAAAGTATCATGCGCTGGCCAAAGCAATGCCAATGAGGGGTTGGCTCATAGAAGCTTCGGGCATACTTGAGCATCCTTGGGCTGTGAGATGCTACCTAGGAGCTGTCTCTCCGTTGTGGGATCAACTGTTACTGAAATCTAGAACGCGGTAATATTGGCGGACGGCCTACATTCCATGCTTTAGCCAGACCAGGTCATCTCATTGTTCTGAAGCTTTCACTCACTCGCCCTCTTCACTCACTCGACTACCCCAGAGAACTTGGACCCAAAAGACAAAAGTCTACTATGAAATTCGATTGCAATGCCCGAGCACGCCGCAAAGGGAAGAGTCCAACATCTGCGCCGTGTGCTGCCGGCACCAGCCGGGCGGCCACCGGTGACAGCAACGCCGGACCCCCGAGTTTCTAAGAGGCAAAACATGGTGGCCGCAGCCTGCAACGCCTGTCGCAAACAAAAGACAAAGGTGCCTCATGGGAATTGACTCTTGTAGGCGTGTTTTATACTAGATTGCGATTGCTAACTCGGCTTCCAGTGTTCTGGTGACAGACCGGCTTGTAGTCGCTGCATCCAGCGAAAAGTCGAATGCCACTACACCACACAGCCGGGAGAAACGGAATCTCAGGCATGGCAACGAGGATACAAGGACCTGCAGCGTAAAAGAACAGCTCACGAAGAGCTATTCGATCTCTTGAGGAATCTGCCCGACAAAGAAGCTGGCCATGTCTGGCATAAAATAAGAGACGGGGTGGACGCGATGTCACTTCTCAACTACCTCAGAACGGGGAATCTGCTACTGCAAATGGCTGTTGCTCCCGAAACGCGCTTCCGGTATGAACTCCCATACCGAACAGTAATGCCTGAATATTACCTTGGGGACAATCCCTATGTGGATTCAATGATTTACGGAGCGTCTTCGCTCTATCCCCAAGATGAGCGCTCCAGGATCTCGGGTCGTACGGCCACCAGTCGTGGCGGCAAGCGGGCTTCAAACGCGTATCAAGACGCCTATTTGAAGCCATTTCATGCTGCTGAAGTTATTGACCCTCGGCTGACTGATGCGAAAATTTCCTCGTGGACCGGTGTTTGCAAAGACGATGGGCTTATGCGACGGCTTCTCTCAGTCTTTTTGAGATGCGAGTATCATTTGACATCAGCATTTCAAAAAGACTATTTCTTGGATGACTTGGTGGCAAATCGAAAGGAATTCTGCTCCCCTTTGCTCGTCAATATTGTTCTAGCTTATTCTTGTGTACGTTATTCCCCAGTGTTCTTACATCTCGTGTTTCTGCCATATCCTATCAAGTACCTCCGCTAACTAAGCCCAGGTCTGCTTTCCGGATTTCCCAGACCGTGCCGAATATTGGAATCCCAAAGCGCTTGTCTATCGCTTCGTGATGGAAGCGAAGCGCATATGGGAGCTTGAAAGCCATGTGCCACGGATTACAACAATCCAGGCCGGAATCGTCTTCACCGTCTTCCACAATCTCTGCGGCTTGGACGAAATCGGACAAGCATATAGGATCCATGCCATAGATCTAGCCCATCAAATGCAGCTCTTTGACAGCACCGTAGGCGGTCGCAGCGATAAAATGCAGAGGAGCATGGCGTTCCTCGCATGGACCTTGTTCAATTGGGAAACGTAAGTACATACAATCTCGGTGCTGGAATTGGCCTTTGCTGAAGTTTCTAGGCTTGTTGCCTTCTCCTTCATGTTCAACCCACTACTCAAAGAGCCTCCAAACTGGCCTCTGCCGGATCCCTCTCAAGATGGGAATTGGTATGGGGAAATATGGCTCAAATATCCATTGACCGATGCCCTTTCGCCGTCTTATTTCGGTAGCGTTTTCCGAGCAAAATCTCATTTCCGAATCATCATGAACGAATTTTGTTGCACAGCATATTCGGAAGGCTCGCAGGTAACTGTAGAAAAGGCCTATGAACTTTTGAATAAACTGAAGCACTGGTATCACAGCTTGCCAGGTCCACTCCAGCCAAAGACAATCGTCCTCCCTACACACTTGCAACTTCAGTAAGCCCCCATGAATATCTGCAAGGCCACCTGCAGTCCACTAAGTGAGTGGTGTTAACGTGAGACAATGGCAGCATTCATTATCATTATCTGATCATAACAATCTTTGAACCTTTGATGGACGCACAAACAGACCAACGGCCACCACCGCAGCAAGTGGTTGTCGAGCCCAAGAAGCACCTTCAAACGTTGATCCGACTCTACTATCTCCGCCACGGATACGATGCTATGGACCTCTTTGTCGTCATACCGCTTATGCTTGCCGGTTCTGAATGCGTGGAAGCCATTAATGACCAAACACCCGCAGCTGAGCTAGAGCTCCTACGCTCTACGCTCCTCTTGGTAGCAAAGGGCTTAAATAGTCAGCGCCGGAATCATTATCTAGCCGAAGCACTGTTCCGTGTCATCCGGGGACGAATGCGGCCGTCGGAACTTTCTCTATTGAAGAATACGATGAAGATAGACGAGAGTGAATGGGACGAGAAGAGTAGCATGGTGCAAGAGGTGCGAAGCGCGTGGCCGGTGAGCGTGGTCAAGAAGAAGGAAGATATAGACTCTCACAAGTTGACGAACCTAGTGGAGAGTTATGGAAACCTAAACGTAGAAGGGAGTTCCGACGCTCATTCAACTTGAGAGATCTGGGGGGTGTATTTGGCACAGGATAGAACTGATAGATACCAGTGTTGAATACAGTTGCAATTGTCCAGGGTTGACAGTCTTTTGTTCTTCATTGTACATGTTCTTTTTCTTCGGCCTTTGGAATCCGGACCATGATGATGGTAATCAAGGCGCCAATCATGGCAGAAGCAAGGCCAAACCACCAGATGGCACGCATCCCTTCAAGTCCCACCTCTCCATCAGGTAGCTGATCAACTTTGATCCCTATAGAGCCAGCTACAGAAGTAATGATTGCCAGAGTCAAGTTTTGTGCCGTGACCAAAAGACTACCAGCAGAGCCCTGGTATGACCTCGGTACGCTCGAAGTAATAAAGATGGTTGCTGCGGCGAAGCTCAGATCAGGTCCGAATGTAGACAAGACTACGCCCGGCATTGATAGGGCCCAGTACGAGGAGTTTGGTGTTTGAGGCAGAAAGAATACCGGTCCCATGCCAAAACAAATCATGCTGGTGGTGAGAATCCAGTGACCAGGGACCACGTGAAGCGTCTTAGAAACGATCCAAGCTGCGAGAACACCAACGATGCCGTTTGGAAGGATGTACAGCGCCGCAGTAAGCGGAGAGACTCCCTGGTAGCGAAGCCAGAACTGGATGGCATAGAACTGCCACGCACCGGCTGGATGGAGAGGATTTGTTAGTAGATGGCAGCGAATAAAACAATTACACGTCATTACAGGATTTCTAGACAACTCACCGTAACCGCCAAATCCGAAAATGTAGGAAAGCAGGACGGCCGCAAACCCAGGAGTTCGCCAAAGCCCGTTTGGAATAAGAGGACGAATAGCACGGCGCTCGACAAAGTAAAACGCGACAAGTAGAAGAAACCCCATGATAATGGTAGTATAAGTATAAGGACTCCATTGAACCGCTGCACCTTGAGTAAGTCCAAACAGGATCAATGCACAACCCAACGATGCGAGCAGAGCGCCGAGATAATCAAACTGCTTCATCGAAGGCGTATCTGCACTGGAGCTATCTGCAGCTGGCTTCAGATCGGGTATCGTGAGATACGCAGCAAAAGCGCACAAAGCAAGGAACATGGCCGTGCTGCCAAAGATCCAGGGAAGATGAGCAGCGAGAGCACCTCCTTGAACACAGCCAATCCAGTAGCCAAACGGCGCTCCTGCTGCCATCAAGGAAAACACGCGCGTCTTGCGGATCCCCGGGTTATAGACTCGTCCAAGAATGCTCATCGAAGCGGAAACGAGCACTCCAACCGCCAGGCCCTGCATGGCTCGGGCCACAAAGAAGAGCACCTTGAGGTTTGGAGAAACGGCCGCTGCCGTCACCGCATTCCAGGCTGCTTCCCACAGAAAAGCGCCGACCATGAGTGGCTTGGGGGGAGCGAGATCAGCCAACGGGCCAAATACTATGACTGACAGACCGCTTGCCAATACCGAGGAGCCTACGAGCCAGGGAATCTGGGCTGGGACCAAACCCAACGCCTCTCGGAACACGAACTGGGTGACGTTCATTTGTCCCAAAGTCAGGGCGGAGATGACTTGGCCAGCCGTACAGACGAGCACAAAGATGACCTCTGCGAGGAGATTGGCGAGCTCTGGCGGAACGGCTTGGAACACGGGATTCGTCGGGCTGCCTCGTTCTTCCGAAAGGCCAGCGGGCAAAGACTGATCAGTTACGGCGGTTTCAACCAGTCTGTTTCTCATGTTAATCAATTCCAGTCCAAGCGCTGGTAAATCTTCTTCTGCATCGGTGATGTTCCGGGCCTGTGGTGTTTCTAGGTCAAGCGAGGTCATCAAGCCTTCGTGGTTTGCCTCCACAGGCAAGACAACAACGGTGGACTGGGTTTTCGACATGTTCACTGAGAATTCTTCTGTTCACTAAAATAAATTCACTCGGATTGGATAAATGCTGCTGTTCTCCTGCCGAGAAGCTCGCAAATGCGGCTCTACTCGAGAGACTTGGTCTAATAAGTCACACAGGAGAATGGATTTCCAGAGTTCAAACACGCAATCGTCACTTTATGTATGAAATCAACATCAGTCAATGCCTAAACAGCCCGACGCCGACGCTGTGTCACCTGCACTGTTGGCCGTCCGGGCAGCTAAACCATTAACCGAATATGGTGGGTTACCCGTGGGCGAGTCATGCCGACACTCCCCGAAGCTCCCAGCGCAGGGAAGAATGGCACTGATCATTTCACTCTTGTTAAGTAACCTTGAAGGTAAAAATTCATTGTTGTTGTTGTTGAATATATTAGCATTGCAGGAATGCGGAAACTGGAAGAGAAAGGAAGAATCTGAACAGGTTTCCTGAAAACAAAAATGCCACGCTTATTGTGATCGTTCCAAAGATGATTGTTTACACCGGCCCTTAACGATCGCCACGAATCATCAGAATTATGAAAAAGAGATAGCTCTGGCTTCATTGGGGAAAAGAGAAATATGACATGATACCGGTGACTTTATATTGTCTATTAGATATTCTACTTTGTGGAGTATAGCTGATACATGTCAACGTCACCGGTGCCAGGTGGATATGAGAGTCTGTCAAGACAGAATAACCGTTTTGACGATTGAGGCGGAGTATGGCGCTGTTTATGTGACACCACTTTACCATTCAGCAGGCTGTAAATTCGGCTCACCGGCATCCAGCATCGTTCTCCCCCGGATCCCCGCAAACCGTAAGCGCTCCAGTGCTATTCAACACCGGATCGGATATTCCATCCTGAAGTTGATTGCTAGAGCTTGCCTCGGCCCCGCCCCCAGCTCCTACACCGGCCGTGCTTAAAGTTGCCGGATCGGGCAGTGGGCTCGATTCGGACAAGGCACAAACAAACGTTGGCATCATTTAATAACACAAAATACTCTACAGAATGTAGAGATGAGCGTGTTGCTATACTCAACGAGTTCAGGAGAACTGAAGTAAACAAGCCATGGCATACACAACTATTTTGTTCCCCTCAAAGCCACGCATCTTCATTCTGACGGACATTACCAACGAACCCGACGATGCGGAATCCTTCTGTCGATACTTGACTTATGCCAACCAATTTCACACTGAAGGCATCGTGGCTGTGACTTCAGTATGGCTAAGGAACAAAGTGGCGCCGGAGAACCTGCACGATATTATCGATGCGTATGAGAAGGTTGTGGATAATCTAAATGCCCACGTCCATCCTGAGTCTCTTTATCCTTCGGCAGAGTACATCAGAAGCATTGTTCGTTCTGGGCCTCCAGTAAGCAGTATCCAAATATAATCGTGATATCTCGTATTAACAAGCACTAGGTGTATGGAATGGCTGCAGTTGGTGACGATATCCCGCTGAGTGATGGTGCCCAATTACTTCTGGAACGACTATTGGCAAACGACAGCGACCCTCTTTGGGTATTGATTTGGGGAGGCAGCAATGTCCTTGCTCAAGTCTTAAACCATATACGCCATAGAGACGATGCTGAACAGCTTCGCGCAAAGTTACGAGTGTATGCCATCTCTGATCAAGATGATACCGGGGCTTGGATGAGGCGATTGTGGCCTGACGTCTTTTATATCTGCTCCGTACATGGATGGAATCAATACAGCCAGGCAACTTGGACAGGCATATCTGGAGATACGCCTGGTGAGCAAGGAGGCCCCGATACTTCAAAAATCACCAAAGAGTGGATCAAAGAGCATATTCAAGTCGGCCCCCTAGGAGCAGCATACCCTGATTACATGTACATTGTCGAGGGAGATACGCCGACGTTTCTTTACATGATACAGAATGGCCTGGGTCTTCCTGAGCAACCATCTTACGGCTCCTGGGGAGGCCGTTATCTCCCTGTGGATCTTACTTTTCCCAGGGGCCATTTTGGTGACACTGCCGATGAAGTCGTTGGAAAGAATGGCCAGACATATATTTCGAATCGTGCCACTATTTGGCGCTGGAGAAATGCCTTTCAAGACGACTTCGCTGCTCGAATGCAGTGGACTCTGACCAACGATTTCGCCAAAGCGAATCACCATCCCATAATTTCCATTAACGGAAACAAAGGACTAAGTCCAATGTATTTCGAGGCTGATTCTGGCTCTTCACTGGTATTTGACGCATCTGAAACCTTTGATCCCGATGGAGACACTTTATCATTCAAATGGTTCCAGTATCGCGAACCAAGTGCTACTCGGACGTATCATACTTGGGAAGTGCCTTTGATGGAGATCAAAATGCTTGATTCGGCTGGAAAGAAGGTGGAAATAACAGTGCCAAAACCCAATGCCTCTGGCCCTGGGGGTACCTCCATTCCCGTTCCCGCGCGTGGCGAATTTCTTCATCTCATTCTTGAGGTTCAAGACAGCGGATCGCCTCCGTTGACTAGCTACCGTAGGATTCTCATCACACCTCTTAATAACGTATAACGCAAATAAATTGTACTTATTCATCATATCTTACCATTATTCGCCTCCATGTGATCTATTGATATGTTATTCATGGTGACCACCTTGTTGAGACCATACCCGCTAGGCAGCCTTGCCGAAGGCGTTCCATTGACCGAATTTAAAAACTTGGCATATCCACGATAGATGATAATACAACACACCTTATGCTACTGGAATCAAGCAAGTCTAAATAAATTGCCTACAAAGAAATATTCCCAGTGGCTGTCAATGAAGCGAGAAATAGCATCCCACCATAGTTTGATCTTGGCTTCAATGTTACACATAGATACGAGCGGTATGGCAATAAATTAATGTCAGCTAACTAGTATACTAGCCATGAATCAGTTTAAATAAAAAATAATGAACCATCTTCACACAACATGCTTCTCAGCAGCCGCGGCAGCCTCATTCTGCAACTGGATGTCAGTCTTATAAGACTTGAACTTCCTCGCGGGAACCCCCTTGGCAAACATCTCATCAAGCTCCTGGTAAGATCTCCCCGCAGTCTCAGGCTGATAAAAGTACAAATAAACAATACAAATAACGCAAAACCCGAAAAAGATGAAGGCAATTTTCGCTCCCAGGTTGGCGTGATCCGGGTTGAACAAGTAAGGAATGACGAATTGCCACATGACAGTAATCGCGCTCTGGACAGAGTATCCAATAGCAATAGTCTTGACACGCAGGCGAGACGTGGAAACCTCTGCGAGCAGAGAAAAGGCAGTGGAACCGATCGAGACATTGTACCACCAGCTGTAAATGAGGATAAACGCGACAGTGCCTTTTACCTCGGATGGTTTGTGGCTCAGTCCCAACGCTCCGGTGATTAGGAGGATCGCGGTAAGGATGATGAGGCCGTAGAAAGTAATATTGCGTCTTCCAATACTGTCAACAGCAGCAGCGGCCATGATATTACCGACAATGGATAGAACCGGTTGGGAAATCTGAATCTTGTAGCTCATAGAAGTCGAATACCCAGCAAGTTGCAAATAATACGTGAAATAGCCGGCAACAAAGGCGATACCAGAGAGTGCCTGGATGCATAGAGGCATGATGCTGATGATGGTACGTCGCAGGTTCGACTTTTTGAAACACTCCACATAGGTAACTCCCTCAGTTTCCTGACGGATTTGCTCCAGCGTCAAGTTGATGAGCGCAAGTTTCTTTTCCCCCTCTTCACCGGGATAGCCAAGTTTACCAAGGCTTTTTATTGCTTTTTCCGTTCGACCTTTGCCAGCCAGGAACCAAGGAGATCTAAAGAGCAACGTTAGCCATCATTTTCATCAGCCTAGTTCTTTAATGATACATACTCGGGCATAAATGGCCATAGCAGCAATGCCACCGCCGCAAACCCAAACTGAGAGCAAAACACTGAGCGATAAGCCCATCGAGAGTCTACCTGGCCCGTATAATTGATGATCAAGAAGGCAACCAGAGGACCAATGCCGTACGAGACGCCAATACAGCAAGTAAAGATGCCGCGCAACGCCAGCGGAGCAATCTAAGGAATTCTTCAGTACACTATGGTGACCGAAGAGGGATGGAGATGCGCGTACCTCTCCGATGTAGGTAATCATGTTTGTAGCAACAATGCCCACCATGATTCCGTTGATCAGCTTCCCCGCGAAGAAGACGGCATTTGTAGTCGCGTAGAATTCTATACCAACTCCCACAAAGGACACAACCAAGGCAACGAGAAGCATGAGTTTTCGGCCGAAAATATCCGCCAGTTCCGCGGCAATAAGAGAAGAAATGACGGCCCTTGAACGAAAGTTCAGTACGTCAGAAAAGAGTCTTGTAAGATCGGTGTCGACGTGGAGAATCAAGATATACTCACATGGCTACGGGTGCCCCGTTAAACGCAGACTGCCACTGAGCCGGCAGCACATAGTCGCCTTCAAAGAGATACCCAAAGTCCTGGCGAAAGCGCGGGATTCCCACAACGCTGCCAGCCGCCTGGACGTCGAAACTGAGCAGAATCACAGTCCACAGGCCGTATATGCACCAGGCACATGCCCAAGGGTTACGGACGAGAGATTGGTATATCCCAGTCTCGTGATCCTCTTGGTCAGTGATGTGTGCCAGCTGTGCAGTCTCATAGTCACCAGTTTTCTCGACATGGTCGTGCGCATTCTCCTTTGATTGCTCCATCTTGACAGTGCCAGATATGTTGAACTTGAGAAGATTCCCTAAATCAACATCTCATGAAACGCTTCTGTACAATGGCCTTTAACTTGTCTACATCATCTTCCATATATAGTAATTCCTCAATCTTGAGTCTTTATAAATCCTTTACCGGTCCTTGCAGCTGAACAGAAACGCTAAACTAGGTGCAGCGTGGAGAACCCCATGGGGAACAATGTTCGATTCTCTCCGCCGCATTAGCTTCTGGGGAAAAGTGGTAAAACCTTCCTTTCTCGTCCCAAGTCTGACAATGTCTTTTGCCGGCTGAATGGAAAGATGCCTAAACTTGCCCAACTAGGCTAACGGGTGACGGGAAATAAGAGGGCTGGTGGTATGTCAATCTATTTCTATTCCTAATGGAAATAAATCAGGGCGTTTGTCGTACCATTTCCACGACTATTGCAGATAGCTCATTATCAATTAACAGCTACAAAACATAACTGAGGCGAGTCATCATTCGTGACGCGCAAGCATGACGAGATGATCCCATCTAATAAATCCAAATACATCAGAAACATCGTAAGAGCTGATCTTCCCTTCAATGAGTCCCGTACGTCCAGCTCTACTGCTGGGCAGATCCGTAGCATAGCATCATGCAAAATAAATGCTTCACCAGCCAAAGTCAAGGGGAGGATCTCAGATGCTAACGACTCTCCAATTGACTGGACAACTCGATAGGCACGAGCATCCCAGATCCCACCTCGAGGTCCTGCATTGGGATTCAATCGCCTCTTCGTGCTCCGGTTACCTCCGTAAGGAGATTGAGGCAGAAGGCGGCCTTCATTTGAGGGGAGCCAAATGCCCAGCTGCCGAGTGTGGTAATACCGCAACAGCCCAGAATGGCCACTCTACGACCGGCCACGCTGGCAGAAGGCTTGCGCCTCGTAAGAAGGCTCTGTAATTTAGTTTCGATGGCATGGATGGCCACTCGAATGAGGTTTGAATATGACAAAGGGATGCTGTGAAGGAGGCCTTGACTGACAGAGGCGCGAGTCTGAACAGAAAAAAAAAAAAAAAAAAAAAAAAGAGACAGAGAGAGAACGCATTTACTCCGTGATTTGTATCTCTTCTTAAGATGGCCCGTTTGTCGCAGTGTTAGACCACTCGGGCGAGTCTAACCATATAAGAAGCTTTTGTAACAGCTTGTTCATGTTGACCGGTTTGGAGATGTAGTCATCCATCCCCTTTTCTAAGCAGGTTTCACTGTCTCCTCGAAGGGCATATGCCGTCATGGCAATGATGGGGATATATCTTTTCAAGGTCCGGATTTTCTTGGTCGCCTCAAAGCCATCCATGACCGGCATGCTGATGTCCATAAGGACCAGGTCATATGCGTTTGGCGAAGCGCCCAATGTCTCGACGGCCTCTGCTCCATTGGAAACAATGGTAGTATTCCGAAAGCCAAGCGAGTTTAAGACGCGAGACAGCACCTTTTGATTTACCGCGTTATCCTCAGCCGCAAGGATTCGCTTCTGCGGCGCCACCTCCTTGAGGCGTCTCAGCATTCTTTCCTTCTCTGCTTCCTGCTGATTCTTTTCCGTCTGTTGTTTCTGTTGGAAACCAAGGGCGTCGGGCGAGTCGAGATTGGCAATTTTCTTCAGCTTGACTGTAAACCAGAAAATGCTGCCGTTACGCCCGGGCTTGGGCCTGTAGCCCATCTGGCCGCCCAGCAACTCGGCTAGAGATTTGGCTATTGACAGCCCAAGGCCTGTTCCCTGATATCTTTTCTTGGTAGGTTTTTCGAGCTGGGTGAATGGCTTGAATAGGTTTTGAACATCCTCGTCGGCCACGCCTATGCCGCTGTCGGTGACCTCTGTGAGAACTGTATAAGAGGTGGCATCCTCGTCCGAGACCGAGGCGGCGACCTGTACCGAACCCTTGTCCGTGAATTTGACAGCATTGTCGATGATGTTCTGGAAGATCTGACGGAAGCGAAGAGGATCGCCCTGCGCGGATCTGGGCAGTTCCGGCGCCAGGACAAGTTTGATGTAGACGCCCGGCAGCAGCGTCATCTGCACATTGCGCACGACGGATGTGATTATGCTTGCGACACCAACCATGTCCGTGTTGACGGAGAAGTTGCCCGAGGCAAGCTTGGAGTAGTCGAGAATGCCGTTGATGACCTGCAAGAGAACCTGGCCCGATTCAGAAATGATGTTGGCCGTATCGCGCTGATCCTCCGTCAGGTTCGTGTCCAGGAGAAGAGTACAGGCCGAGAGCATGCCGTGCATTGGAGTTCTGATTTCGTGGCTCATGTTGGCCAAAAAGTCGTTCTTCAACTTGGCGCTCTCTTCGTACGCGGCGATGAGTCTCAACTCGGCCTCTCTGCGTTCGGTTAGGTCGCGCGTCACCTTGCCAAAGCCAACATGCACGCCGTTCCTATAGATGGCTGTGATGGTAACGTTGGCCCAGAACCGGCTCCCGTCCTGGCGATAGCGCCAGCCCTCGTCCTCCACCCTGCCCTCGCGCAAGCATGTGACGAGCTCTATTTCGGGCTTTCCAGCGGTGAGATCTTCCTGGCCGTAGAAGGTCGAAAAGTGCCGTCCGATGATGTCCTCCTTCTTGTAGCCCTTGAGCAGCTCGGCGCCGGTATTCCAGGTGGCCACATAGCCGCGCGTGTCGAGCAGGAAGATGGCATAATCCTTGACGGCCTGGATAAGCAGCCGGAAGACCTCGTCGACGGACAGCGCGTGCTGAATCACCTCGCCGCGGATATCAGGCGTCTGCTGCTCGATCCGGTCCCACTCCAGCACCAGCGACAGCATCTCGTCCCTCTGGAAGATGGGGATGATGCGCGCCGAGTACGAGACGCCGTCGGGGGTCGTGTATGCGGCATGGCACAGGCGGAAGCCGCGGTCAGCGACAGCGACTTCGATGGCGCGGGCCAGCGGGATGCGATCGAAGCGCTCCAGCGGCGAGCCTCCGTAGAGAGCGGCGAAGAGATCCTTGCCCAGGAAGTCGTCTCGGCCACGATGCCACGCATCGACGACGCCCTTGGACGCCCGCTGGATGCGGTAATTCGGCGCCACGACGAGCGTGGGGACGGGCGACAGGTCGCAGATGGCGCTCGTCAAGTCCGAGTCTGAGTTAGCATTGCTCGTATCATTGCTTGTGCTTGTGAAGGTGTCTGTAGCAGCGGTGCCTGTCACGTTGACGGCATGACTACTACGGCCGCCCACGCCGGGGCTCGCCCTCATGTTGACGTCCATGTCGGCGTCTTTGCGGCCGTGGCCGGACGTTCCAGGCCCTTGAGAAATCATGCTTTGGACAACTGGCCCGTCATCGCGGACGCCCATTTCGTTCATCAAGGGTGCGCGAGCATGGGCATGAGGTTGAATTTGATGCTGGAGTTGGCCCTTGTTAGTTCAAGTTCACAAGTTTCCACCCATTTCTATTTCTATCAAATCGCATAATCTCCGTGGCCTCCCCTATCTAGTACTCTGCGATGACGTAACGAGTTTTTCGGAACATCTTCTCCGCACAGCCTCTGCTAAACTTGTCATGTCCACGGTATCTCGGAACTCTTCTCTCCCTCTCCCTCTCCTCTCCTCTCCATTGAGGGCGGATCCAGTTCCATTTGGCCCCATCGCTCTAGCAGTGCCGCTTGTGGCTTCAGCGTTAGGCTCTTCATCAACTCGGACAGGGCGAGTTGCACGTTGAAACTCTCTTTGTCTACAACGAGCCAGACGGGGCTTCCGGTATGCAAGCCCTGCTTACACGGGAGATCACCATTCGTGGTTCCGGCCGCTGCTCCACTCTTCTTCAACGGTCGGCTCCAAGGCAATATATGCAAACGTGGCTTAGTGGACACTTGGCATCGTGTTGAACCTGCACGGGGGGAGATGGAGTTGTGTGAGTGTTTTCAACTAAAGGCACACACACACACTTACACGCTGGCGACGGACATGTGTCTACCCTGCACCTCTACACGCACTTTCAAGAGCAAATGGCACTGTCCACTCCAGAGAGATTGTGATGATGCAAGATTGAATATGTTGACAGTTGCATGACAGTAGTGATGCCCGCTTCCCATTGTTCTACCGGAACTGAATGAATAAAGCCCTATCGCTGTTTGATTATGAGGCAATTTGTCACCTTTACTACTCCTGCAAGATGCATGGCTCAATGTTCCCTCAAAGAGCATATAACCCGAGTGACGTCAGGCGGAAAAGTCAATAAAGAACTTAAAAATAGTGAAATCCTTCATTTCCATTGAATAAAATGGCGTCTTCAAGTGAACCAACACATCCTGTCATGTTCTACACGCGACTGTCAAAGTCGGATTGACCCCCGCAGACATCAAATCGATGGACGTCTCTCATCTCCACTTTGCATCCAGCTGCTACGGTAGAGAATAAGCTCACCGTCATTTCCCAGCTTCTCGAAATCTTGGAAAATAAATTGCCGAAAACTGATTACGCACTACGACTATGTCACTCCTCCCAAGTCTTGGCTGGACCTGGCCATGTCGATCAACCATGAGCAAATCGATCCCACATTCTTCCTTGTCCCGCATTGTCCAGTGCCATCTCCCCACGTGGCAAAGAGAGCGTCAATCTTTTTCTTTTCTTCTTTTTTTTGGATGATCCCTGTGATGTTTTAGACGCTTCATCTAAATGCTTATTTTCGAGCTGAGAATCGGTCATTTGGCAACCTGACGTAACGCTGTTTGCCATCACCGTGAGCCCTAGCACCAACCAACCCTGGTTGCTGTACGCTAAATCGCTGTTAGTTTTCTTATTTACACCGAACAACCACGACCAACTACTCTTTTAACCCTAGTAATTGCGCTGGCAGATCCCCTAGATGCTTACAAGTGACCTAAAAACTGAGATGAGATGCTCTATAATCGCTGCTATAAGCATAGTTGGTGCCTTGGCTTCGGGTATCCGCTCCTACTCCCATGGATCGGAATAAAGTGAACATACCGAATCAAATGAATGGGTTGCTTCATGCAGCCTTGCCCTGACGCTAAGGAACGAAGCCACCCTGGCTACATGCAATCTAATATATAACATCCATGACCTGCTAAAGTCGCCATCTTGACCACCCTCGTCCTCTCAACATCATCTCCCTATACCTATCTGTATATTTATCTCAGCCCTAGATTTCGGCATTGCACCCTCGTTCTCTCGGCACAATGGATGGCCAAGGGGAACGTCCATCGTTCGACATAGCCATCGTGGGCGCGGGCGTCGTGGGCGTCCACGTCGCGATTGGCCTTTTGGACCGGGGCATTCCATTCACCATATACGAACAATCCGCCGAACTGACAGAGATGGGAGCTGGCATCACAGTGACTTCCACCGTTCTCAAATCCTTGGCTGCTCTGCACTCCGAAGCTCCGCAACGCTTATTCAAAGTCTCAAATCCGATAAAGAACATCAACTGCGTCAATGGCTCCAGTGATGATCTAAACCTTCGCCCCTCAGATGGGTTGTACGATTTGATCCAGCCTTACCAACTCCACGCAGCTCACCGCGCTAAATTGGTAGAAGGGTTGCTCCAGCTTATTCCCAAAGAGCACATCAAGCTAGGGAAGCGCATAGAGTCAATTGTGGATGGAGCAGAGGATGAGAAACTTGTCCTCCAGTTTGCCGATGGTACTACAGCCGAGGCCGACGCAGGTATGACGATCAGCACGGAGTTGTTCGGGATGAATAAGGCTGTATGAGCTTATATGATGCCAAAAATACTGACCCATCTTCTACTTCGCCTGCTTTAGTCATCGGATGCGATGGTATCAAGTCTCGTGTTCGACAAATTGTTGGAGGCTCGGACAATCCCTCATCTTCCCCCCATTACTCTAATATGAGTGCCTACCGCGGCCTAATCACCATGGAGAAGGCCACAGCAGCCCTCGGCCAGCTCGTTAAAGACCCCGTTTGGTATTTAGGCCAAGGCGCATCCATGGTGACGTACCCAATTCTCGGCCCAGGGGGCATCCCAGTCCTCAACGTGGTGGCTTATGTGCACGATGAACAAGACTCGCTGAGCTTGGACAGCTTAGTATCCGAGGGAAACAAAGAGCATGTCGAGACGGCCTTTTCCCAGTTTGGATCTTCTGTCAAAGAAGTGATAAAAGCCTTGCCGGATAAGCTCAACCGCTGGGCTCTATTTGACAGCTACGCGCACCCACTCCCGTCCTATGCCTATGGGCGCACAGTCCTCGCAGGAGATGCTGCTCATCCGTCAACGCCTCATATTGGATCGGGAGCCGGTATGGGTATTGAAGAGGCATTGATCCTCGCGGAGCTCCTAAAATCAGCTACAGAGCGCATAGGCGTCTCTGATGTCTCTACAACCAAACATAAGTTGCTCGAGGCGGTTTTCAAGGCATATAGTCATATTCGGCAGCCAAGAACACAGTGGATAGTTGCCCAGAGCCGCACCATAGGCGTCATGTCGCAGGGGCGCCATGAAGAGATGGGGAGGGATTTTGACCGTTACGCCGTATATCTCAAGGAAACCATAGGCAAACTCGAGACCTATGATTGGAAAGACTCGCTCAGCCAAGCTGTTGATCAGTTTGAGCGCGAATTAGGGGCTTCTGTTTAATCTTGGAGCGACGAGCGACTTAAGCTGCCTCTTCACGTCTACTAGAGCATACAGTCATGAATGACATCCTTGGGCGCACAATGAATCGCAGCTCCAAAAAAGTAACGCCTCCAACTAGCCTCAACTATGAGAAATTTCCAAAGGACTCAAGAATATGTGACATGTGTGTACAAATTCATTGACCAGCCCCATTAGCAGTCAAGAAGTCAAAATCCACGCCATCTTGAGCCTGCATTACACTCTTCTCATAGAGACCTCTATATCCGCGAGCCGGTCGCCTCCTAGATTCTGCAGGCCCCCGAGCATTCAATCCTCCGTCCAACTTGGTCTTCCTATCCGCTATCCTTCTAGCAATTTCATCTTCAGCGATTTCCACTTCAAGCTTTCTTCTTTCAACATCACAGCATACAATGTCGCCATCTCTCACAATGGCGAGAACGCTTTCGGGCAAAGCAGCTTCGGGTGATATATGCAACACGATGCTGCCTCCCGCCGTGCCAGACATGCGCCCATCAGATAACCGCAGCATATCTTTGACCCCACGAGAGGCGAGCTTGCGTGGGATGGGTATAAGGCCTGCCTCTGGCATACCCGGGCTTGTGAAGCCAATAGGTCCTATGCCCTGCAAGATCAAGACGCAATTTTCATCAACATCGAGATCCGGATCGTCAATACGCTTTGCAAGATCCTCAGGGCCTGCAAACACCACGGCTCGCCCTCGGTGATTGAGCAGATGGCGATACTTGCTGGCGCTAGCTTTGATGACAGCACCATCCGGAGCAAGATTGCCATACAGCACCACCAGGCTTGATGATGAATACAAGGGATTGTCCAAAGGCCGAATGATCTGAGTAGAGAACGGAAACGAGCGAAAATTCTCAGCATCCAGAGCTTGGCCAAGTGTTTCCCCAGTTATTGTCAGGGCATCCAACTTCAACAGAGGCCGTAGCGTATTAAACAGAGCGGGAATACCGCCAGCATTGTGTAAATCCGTCATGTAATTGTCGCCGCTAGGTTTAAGGTCAACAACCAACGGCGTCTTCCGTCCTATCTCATCCACCGTCTTCAAAGTGATTTTGCCATAAACATCGGGATGCCGATTCGCAATGGCGAGTAGATGCACTATCCCATTGGTTGAGCCTCCAATTGCTTGCAAAACGGTGATGGCGTTGTGGAAAGATGCTTCCGAGAGAATCGACTGAGGTGTGCGCTTGTATTTGGCTGCTCCGATGGCGTTTGCACCGGTCTGCTCAGCTATCCTCAGCCGAGCGCTTGAGACGGCGGGAGCTGTTGCGCCTCCTCGAAGTGGTATAAGTCCAAGAGCAGCTGTAAGGCACGCAATGGTGCTCGCCGTGCCCATGACGCCGCAGGTTCCAGACTAATTAATAATTGTAAGTTGAAGAGTTCATCACACAGAAGCAAATCTTACTGTTGGGGCAAGTTCTTCATTCAAAGCTGAAATATCCTCGATATCAATCTCGTTTGCGCGGAAAGCAGCCCAGTTATTGCGGCAATCCGTACAAGCACCAATACGGCCTCCTCGGAAGCTTCCCGGCATCATTGGCCCTGTTATCAGAGGCAATATGGGCTTGTTGGCAGATATTCCGCCCATGAGCTGAGCCGGAACTGTCTTGTCACATCCTGAGCTCAAGAGTTCATATCAGTTAAACCAGCACGAACAAGAGTTTTGCGAAGGCAAGGCCAGAACCCACCACCGATAACAATACATGCGTCCACTGGCTGCGCCTTAATCATCTCTTCAGTATCCATGCTCATAAGATTGCGCAAAAACATGCTCGTAGGCGAAGAAAAGGACTCGTGGATGCTGATAGTCGGGAACTCAATGGCCAGCCCACCATTAAGCTGGACACCCCTCTTTGCAGCCTCGATGAGCTGCGGGACATTGCCATGACAAGGGTTGAAGCCGGAGTAAGTGTTGATTATGCCGATGATTGGTCTCGAGAGCGCATCTTCGCTGTATCCCAGCGCTTTGATAAAGACTTTGCGGAGAAACAGGGAGAAGTGAGGGTCGCCATAGTTCGATAAGCCTTGTCTCATGCCGACTGTGGGCTGGATGGACCGAGAGAGGTCATAGTCGGCCATTGGATCTGGAGCGCCACTGCTCTGGCCTTCATTTATTGCATCTTTTTGGCCCGCCATATTTACACGTTTGCGGCCCAGAGCTGTTTGATGATGCTCTCGATATGAACAATCTTGATGTTTGTATGTTGGCGATTGCGTGATCTCGAATCAAATCACCGTTGGCGGGGATCAGCTCTAATTGTGGAGGGGTTGTCTCTGGCGGATATGTATCCGATTTCAATCCAGTCTTTGTACCATGCCCGTCAACAGTAGCAACGATAATTGTGCATAGTTTATCTGAATCAAATCTCTGAGTTAGAGGCATATTCCTCATTATATCTAATGTGATTGCGACCAACGTTTGTAGTAGTTCAGAGACATGTGTGCTGTCTCAGTAATGTAACTACAAAAGCCATCCTGACTGACATTTTGCAGCTTACACAAACAATGGGGCTAAAACATCCAAACCTACATATATTCGGCTTTTGTTGATTGATGCTCCGCGTGCTTGCGGTCCTTGTTCAATACAAAGCACATGGAGCAACCGTAGTTACACTTCTATAATTCCCTTCCATAACCATGTTTGACACTCGTTTCACCTTCTACTGATTTATCACGGACATAGCGCTCCATAACTACATATACTCTGCAACGTCCAAGTTCTTGCCAACAGCTTAATGTTCTAGCTTACCGATTGGTTGGTTGGCCGCATTGCGTGCGTTACTGATCAGCCAAGATCAAGACAAAGCCCACTTTCGGAGATACAGCAATCAGCTAGCACTTCATGTATCATTACTCACAATATCAAAACCCAATGGAATAAAACATCCAAATCAAGTAAGAATCTTGCTGTGGCTTCCGTCAACATTTCTGTTAGTCATAACTTCTGAGTCCGGCGCTTTCCGTGATGGGTCCAAACAAAGGCAACAAGGAGAAGAGAGAAAAAAAAAAGAAAAAAAAAAAAATTGCTTACCTCATGCCGCGCCGGCGGCCCTACCTAATTCTGGCGTAATGGCTTCAATGCTTTTTGCTAGTATTACTATCACCCCGATCAACGACGCTTCTTGCTCTTCCTTCCGATGCCCATCGGATATTTCTCCAAAGACTGGTATATATCTTTCCTATGTGTAACTTGTAAATCATTCCACATTGGAATAATTCCACATACCTAAGTCTAACGAATAACCACGATTTTTGCATTACAAACCTCCATGCCGTGCATCCTGTAGGGCGTGCAACTCACTAACACCAAGAATCCACTTCTTAGCATGGCGTGTCTCGCCTGCTCTCGGCACCGATAGTCTAATCCATAATTTTTTTTTCTTTAATCTAAAAGATGTTAATAAAAGCTCCCCCGTACCCGTTTCCTAAAAACTGGGAACCTCGTTATTCGTCTGTGATTTCATTGTTGATTTGCTTCCCCTTGTGCCTTGTAGACTTGCAGCATCTCTCGTGCTTAGATATACCCCCCAAAATGACAACGGCCGGTTCGTCTCTCTCTCTCGTGCATGACTCCACAGTATTCCCCCGGATTTCATGCTCTACACTCCATATTCTGTTTCTTCTTTCATCATATACTAACGGTTTGTATATATAGCAGCACTAACGATTGACGACCTTTCAATAACTACATATCCCGATGGCGGTCTCCAAGCATGGCTCGTCGTCCTCGGCTCTTGGGCCTGCATGATCCCCTCCATGGGGCTCCTCAACACCATGGCCGTGTTGCAGGCCAGATTATCAGAGAATGAGCTGCGGAATCTGCCAGAGTCAACAATTGGTTGGATTCTGAGTAGTTATGCCTTTTTTCTCTACTTTTGCGGAGCGCAAGTCGGTATGTAAAATCCTTCGTTTCCTTCTTGGTTGGCACACTTGAATGTCAATTTCTTATGAAGCAATACAGAAGAAAGGAGAGCCTTAGCGAGTGAGGTAAGTTGATATCAGTCTGTGCTAACAACTACGTCTTTAGGTCCAATTTTCGACGCATATGATGTCAAGTATCTGGTAATCCCAGGGAATATCGGCATTGTCATTTCCATGATGCTGATCGGGCTATGCAAAGGTCAGCATATCCTCTCTCTACACCTCATCATCCATCTCATACTGACCCTCACTCTTAGAATTCTACCAATTCTTCCTCTGCTTCGGCCTCCTCGGCGGCGCCTCAGCCTCCCTGCTCTTCAATCCCGCCATCGCCATCATCGGCCACTACTTCGACAAGCGCCGTGCTCTGGCCACAGGAATCGCTTGCACCGCCGGCGGTCTCGGAGGCATCGTGTTCCCTCTCATCATCCTCTACCTCACCCCACAGATCGGCTTCCCCTGGGCCACCCGCATCATCGCCTTCATCTGCCTCGTCATGGGCTGCCTCTCCGTCTGCCTGATGAAGAAGCGCCTCCCTCACAACAAGAACACCAGCACTCGTCTCGGCAGCTCCATCGACTTCAAAGCCCTTCGCGATCCCAAGTATGCTCTCACCACCCTTGCCGTCTTCCTTGTCGAGTTCGCCGTCTTCATCCCCTACACGTACATCTCCTCTTATGCCATCCACGCCGGTATGCCCACTCAGCGAGCATACCTCCTCAACGCTCTCGTCAACGTCGGCGCAATTCCCGGCCGTGCTTTACCGGGTTACGCTGCCGATCGCTTCGGTGCCTTTAATGTACTTGCCATCTGCTCAACCACATGTGCGGCCCTGATATTCGCGCTTTGGTACACCGCCGGCACCAACGAGGCCGCCATCTACTCCTTCACCGTGCTGTACGGTTTCTGGTCTGGCGCCGCGATCAGCATCACGCCGGTTTGTATTAGCCGAGTCTGCAATATTGAAGACATAGGCAAGCGGACCGGCACGGCCTTTTTCATCGCAAGTTTCGGTGTGCTCATTGGCCTTCCCATTGCGGGCGCCATCTTGAAAACAGATGGCGGCTCCTATAATGGAGTCATTATATTTGCAGGAGTTTTCTATGCGGCAACCGTTGCTACCCTTTACCTTGCTCGGGGCGTGGCTGCTGGCTGGGGACTCAAAGTCATCTTCTAGCAAGTTAATTACAAGGTAAGAGCTGGAGCGAGAGCGTAGGATATCTGATGTAATCATTCTATTTATCTGGGTGGCAAACTACCTGATAGACGAAGGTGGAGAAGAGAACAATATTCCCAAGGCAGTATGACATGGAGCGTAAAAGATAGACATCGACCTTTAGTTATAAAGCATCGAAGCAAACGTTTGCGTGTAATGGGGCAAAGTGCCGGAAATTGAGGTGAAAAGAAGAGGTGGAAAGGCAGAGCAAAAGAAATAAACAAAAAGAAAAAGAGGAAATAGAAATAACATAGAAACAAAACTTTCCCAACAGAGCCATTATTTGAGTGGTACACGATTCCACTTCTTGCGTCCTCCCCCTTTACCCCTTTTCTCGTTGGTCTCTGCTGGCTCTTCGGTTCCTGTTGGCCTTTCGGTCTCTGCCATCTCTGCCTTCTTTACCGGCGCCGCCGTGTCTAACAGCTCGGGGGCCATTCGCGGACTACCCGCCGAATTACCCCTATTTGGAGTAGGGTCGGCCACCTTAGGCTGTGTCCCGGGACCTTTCAACTGTGGGAAACTGTCCTTCTTGACCCAAACGGGAGCCTTCATTGATGCCAGGTCAGGGTGAATCTGCGGAGGAACCTCTGGCTCCTCGTTTACAAACCAGCTGGGGTCTGGAGGTGGTACGTAGCCCACACTATGAAATCTCGTTAGCCCCAGAAATGACAAGGTGAATGAACCGTCAACACTTACCTATCCGCCTCTCCGTTACTCTTAGATTCGGTGAGACGCTGCCAGTCGTATCTAGCCATAGTAGCATACTCAAATAGCTTGCGAACCCCCGAAAGTCTATGCTTTTCTCCCATGTCTCCCGCTCTCCTACCATCGTAATCGACGGCTTCTTGGTTAGCATCATTTTCTGAAAGTATATAAAGTGTCTCTACGAGACGGTCCTCCAAATCTGGGGCGGATTGCCCGAGAGCTTCGTGTAGGGGCGTCCGGCCTCGTGAATCCACTCCGTTCACGTCGGCACCCCTTTTCAGGAGATCGCTAACCACAGTGTCATGTCCAAATCGGCAAGCCATATGAAGAACCGTGCTTCTCGTAGTTTCACAAACGCGTGGATTGACGCGATACGCTTTCGATTTTGCACCCTGTTCCATTTTCTCCATCAAGAAAGCCACAATTTCACCGTGATCTTGAGCCATGGCATGAACAATGGGACGATTGCCTTGTCCATCGGCCTGGAATATATCTGCGTTTCTCTTGACCAAAGCCGATACGACTGAAGCGTATCCACTAGCAGCTGCAATATGAAGGACACGTTGCTGAATTGGAGCACAGGACAACGACTTCCAACACTCGTGACTGCATTTGTGTTGGCGAGAATTTAGTGCAGGTAGATTGCAGTCAGCACCAAAGCGCAGTAGCACTTCGACGGTTTGAAGCACTTTGGCTTCCCAAGCAGTACTCTCAGGGTCTTTGTCTTGAGTATCCTTCGATTCGTCCCCAGGCGAAGATGTAGAGTCCTTTTCTTTGGCCTTTGTGGAATTCCATTGCGCTTTGGTCTTCTTGGACCTTGTTTCCTTTCGAAAACTGTTGCGATTTTCCTCCTTTTTCTGATCCCCCTCAGAGTCCCTTCTTTTGTCAACACTCTCGGGGGATTTTCCTCCAACTCGATTGCACTTTAAGAACCTTCCGAATCGACCCCAGGGAGTCCTCTGCCGTACGGCTATGTGAATTGCTGCGAACCCAAAATCACTGTGAGTATTGGGGTCGGCACCGCGTATTAGGAGATATTCAGCCGTTCTCGGGAGGGCATAACTGCACGCGATGCGAAGGGGTCCATCGAGTGCTCCAATCCTGTTACTATGGGGTTGGGCAATAGCGACGTAGAGGGATTTAAGATCGGGATACAGCGCTTCATCTTCGTTGAGCTCAGCTCCATGTTTTAGAAGCTGAATTGCGACCTTTGGGGCATCTTGAAGCAGCGCGTAATGGAGAGGTGTGAAGCCTTCTACCAGACGGAATAGTCTATCATCATTAGTAGCAAGCTTCGAATGGATCGAGTTAAAGGTGCACTTACCCTCTTAATTGTGAGCCATGTTCTCTAAACAATAACCACTCTATCAACTCCCTTGAATCCTGCCTGACGGCACGGAGGAAAGTAGACAGAAGAGCCTCTTCGCGTCCTCCTTGAGGCAATACCAACTCCCTTGAATCCTGCCCGAGGGCACGGAGGAAAGTAGACATAAGAGACTCTTCGCGTCCTCCTTGAAGCAATACTAACTCCTCAAACTCTCTGGTATACCGAACATCCAAGATTGCAAAGTAAAGACCGCGGTTGCAGCGAGACAAGGAGTTCAAATCATCCTGGCTCTTGACCTCGCCGAGGATTTGTTGGAAGATTTCGGGCGGAAGGTTATAGAAGCCGCTAGCTGCCGTTGGCTTTGACTCTTCCGCCTGCTTTGACACATCTGTCGGCTTTGCAGGGCGTGGTGGTGGTTGGCGAGCTCGATTCTTCTTAAAACGGGCCATGATGAGAGATATCGACAATCCACAGAGGACCTGTTGATGTTTTGACGTGATAATGATCCGGTTCGACGATATCTTGATACAGTGATGATCGTATTCGACGATATCTTGATACAGTGATGATCGTATTCGACGATATCTTGATACAGTGATGATCGGATTCGCTGATGTTGTGTTATGGTGATGCTCTTGTTTGTTTACGTGAAAAGAAGAGAAAGCCAAGCAAAGGGTGTTGATCGAAGGACGTTTGTTTTGCTGTTCAGTACGCCACAAACCTTAACGGACGAAATGCCTAGCGGCCTAACTTAATCTCACTTGCACAGGTAACAGCCACAGTCGATTTGTGACTCATAAACTTAGTTTCGTTGCTATCATGAAAAGTGAAATTGAAGCTGGCGAGCAGGTGGCTAGCAGGTGAAGCAGATGTGACGACCTGGAGACACGCAGGAAAAAAGCAGCTGGCACGAACCACGCACCGTGTGCAGCCAGTGGCAGCCAGTTGACCGATTGAACCTAATGGAAATATTTCTAGGGTTCTAAATCATGTCGGTCATGAGCAACAGCGTGCTCCGTTTGCTGTTCCAGATATAGATTGAAGTCTATATTTGCGCATCCACTTCGTGACATAAGGGCATGTATGTACATCACATAGGTCACTGTCAGGAATGCAAAATGAAACGCCGATGGGTATTTTGAGAACTAAACATCTAACCAGCTGAATATGCAACCCAAACAATATACCCTTTATGACCTGAGGTATCCTAATACAATCTCATGGCCATTCATGTGCTTTATATCCCCATCAGATTCTTGCACCAACGCCTTTCCAACTTCTACCTACATACAGATAACTCCATTCATTATTTATCTCATTCGCCAAGATGAAAAGAACGGGGGGGTATATACAAGAAGACCCTCAAAGAGGTGATGAACAGGCGGAAAATATTGTCTCAGTCATGAGGGCATTCACATTTCGTAAGGCGTCTCTTTCCGTATAATGTACACTTCGCCCACAAGAACAGTGCATCCCACAATCATGGTGATCAAAATGATGGGGATATTCACGCGGAAAAATTCCATGCTTCCCACGTGAATGTGCTTTCTGGCGAGGATATCGCGCCAAAGGAGACCGGCAAGCGAGGCGCTGAACGCAGAGCTGAACGCACCATAGTTGACGCCAATTGCCATGCTGTATACGGTTGCCCAGAATGTTCGGTCGCTGATGGGAATACCATTTCTTTGATGAATCTCTTGCCATTGCTGAATGACTCTACAGAGTAGTATGGTGGTCCCGATATTCGTTCCCGCGAACTGAAAGGTTGTTAGCTCATGCCCGAATCATAAGATGGCATATACGTACGTTGCATAGGATAACAGAGAGAAAGCCCATGCCTCCTATAGCGCCAACTGTCCCTGTTCTATTGACCCAGTGGTCCCATCCATGAGCAAAAACTGGCACCCAGCCCTTTGTTACAAGCCCTTGAACAAGGACAAACATGCAGAAAGCGAAAGGGACAAGCGCAAATGGCAAGTGGAGAGCGACAGTAGCGGCCGTTGGAAATGTCTCCTGGCACCATCTGAGCGCATCTTGACCCAGAGACAACAAAGTAGCTGGTCCGCGGGGCCGTTGAATGGATGCCAGCGACTTTTGACGGCTTTTCTCCACATCATCTTCCAACGTGGACACGAAAAGTCCTTCATCGGGGGAACTTGTGCCGGGTTGGTTCAGGGTGCTCTTCTCCTCCAGCGAACTGATATCGCTCTTCGAATTTCCTTGTTCCTGCGTATCCATATCTGCATGTGGTAATAGTCTCGAGGGATCCATATGAGTGGACGATGCAGCGTCAATGCTACGACCACCAGCATCCTCGGTCAAGAGAACTGTCGGGGGCAGGGCGTGGCCAGTGGCATGAACAGGTAAATTGCGATTGTCGTCATTTTTGTTTTGAGTTGTTTGAACAGACTCGTCAACCCCGTCGTCGGCGTTCGGACCTTGGAATTGAATTTTCGTAGAGTCGAGCTTGGGAGTAAAACACGCTTTCTGATAATCTGTAGTATCTTGAAGCTCCGTCTCGGTAATTGGTGATCGTCTCGCTTCCTCGGATTGTCGAAAAATTCTTTCGGCACGCGCAATTTCAAATTCCTCTCTACCCTTTCTTGCAATCTCGCGCGTTTCTTTTCGATGGTACCATCCTGAGCCAAGGTCCCAGCAGAACATGACAAAAGCCGCCGGTAGAGTAACCCAAAACACCGGATGGGCACCGCTCTTGGAGCCTGTAGCGTTGAGTGTGAGGACAGTGATGAGGGTGGCAGCCATGATGAGGGTTCCAAATGCCGCCCCAGGTTTGTCTAGAAACGGATTCATGATTTCCTCCAACGACAGCAGCTGCCCTTGCTCGTTATTGGCGAGGTCGGCCTCATCCGCGTCGGCATGGCCCCTTGCGTGTGGGATGTTGGGGTTGACAGGCTGCCTGGACTTGATTTCTTCTGGAAGCTCATGCATCTCGATCTTGTGTGGAATGAGCCCTGGATCCGCAAAGACGAAATAGAGCAGAAAAGGAAAGAGAACAATAACGGTGGCGAGAACAGGGACAATCATGTTGGCAGTATAGTGGATGAATTTGATGTTGAAGGCTCCAGCAAGAACGAGGTTGGTCGGATTGGAAGAAACTAGAATGGCAGATGCGATATTTGCGATAGCAAACTGAGTAAAGATCCATGCTCTAGGATGAGTGATGTTTCTTGATACTCGTGTCATGTAGGCAAGGAACGCGGTTCCTGACAAAATGATTGGGTCGTTGCCGACGAGAGTGCCCAGGGCAAAGAAGAAGGCATAGAGATAGAAGAAGAGCCGATGCCCAGCGCTTCCTCCCCATTGGAGTACCTTGAATGCCAGGTACCTGATGAGCCCAGAGGCGTCGATGGATATGGCGATGTAGGCCAAGGTGATGAAGAAGGCCATGACATCGATTGGCGCAATATTGTCAGCGCCGAGGGTGCCATCGTGGACTTCCTGTCGGCCAATGGCGAGTATTGCCAGCAGAAACAAATCCGCAATAAGAGGAGCCGTGACCATGTTCATGGGAAAGTTGAACCGCACCCAGGGTTTAGTCTTGCCATTGCCACCATCTTCGGTCAGTGGAGGAGAGCGATACTGGCGCTTTGGAATGATTCTGAGAGCCCCAAGAGTATCCAAGAAGAAATCTGAGAGTTTTCTAGGAATGTAGATGGGGATATGAAACGGACACAGGACATTGATGTCTGGCAAAGTTAGCAACATGCGCTGGTGATAGCGTCAGGGCGGTGCTGGTGGCGAGTTGGACCTACTTGTGAGAACAAAGACTATCAACGTGACGATGGACCGCCAGTCCCTGATCTGGCTTGTCGAGAGAGAATCACCGCCATCGTGTGCCATGTCGACGCTGGCAGTATCGCCGGCTCGAATATGGCTGAGCGCCAGGAGAGTTGAGATGTGATGACGCTGAAGAAAATTGATCGAGGCTCACCGCCGCCGTTCCAGGTGATTGTGGCTGTAGGGCCCGCCAGCGGCTTCAGGCACCTCGTTCGGGGCTCCAGTGCACTAAGTTGAGCAGATACAGCGCTGGAGGCTTGCAAGCCCCGCCGACCTCGCTGAAGAGAACCTGGAAACGTCAATCTGCTTCTTCTCCAAGCACAGCGGAATCTGATCAACTCTTATTCTTCTTCTCTCTCGAGCCAGCCCGTTTGATCCCCACGAAGCAGTTTCTTGGCCTTCTTGGCTAAATGCGACAAGCTTTTCACGTGGCATCCGACCAGAGGAGAGATTGGCACTGCCTTATGAATAGCCTCGCAGGCGTCATAAATGCCAACCCTTCAAGTGGGCTTGGCTACGCGTGTCGATCAGTTCCGGCTAGATTGCCACGCAGCCACGCAATCTTTCATCGATGCCGAGCTAAATCTATGTACCAACATTGAAACCACTTGACCACTATGGGGATGAGATGCTCCGTGGATGGGGGCGATCCGGCCCCCGGCTCTTGACTTCCAAGGCATTTGTGCGGCCCCCGACGAGACTCTTTCAGCTACTCTTCCCAGGCGTATGTCGGCTGAGCATCCAAAAGGCAGACTAGAGCTAGTGGTAAGACGACTGGATGCATAGCTTTGGTGGCGGCGACTGTTGGCCGATGAGATATCGGAGAATATCGCAGGCAACCAACTGCCGCCAGGTCGAATTATAACCTGCAGCTTTCGCAATCATGGTTGTGCTCGTCTATGCTTCACCCGGACGGCTGCAACAGGCAGATCTATCCGATATACTATGGAGTGTTCTATCACCCGGGATTCTCTGTCAACCGCTAGGTCATGTTCTGCCTGCCCGTAGGATGGCGACCATCGACAAGGAAGAATCCTTCCATTGCTTCGCCTCTACCAGCCGCGGTTCCGTCGCCTCGTACAGACTGTCCAGTGCGGAGCTAGTTTTCCAACTGAACGCGCAAATAGGCAGGAGGATTTGGGGAGCCTCATTGCAGCGAGGCATGTTCCATTTCTCTCCGTCTTAACATGCCCGGTCACCACCTCATCCCTTGCATATGCCAACTGTCGGGTAAAGCCTCTACAGAGAGAATTGGCGATTTAGCTGAGACACTTGCCTGACTGTTGCACGGCAATTGCGCATTCGTCATCGAGGTGTTGCGCCAATCCCATCGGCAAACGTGAGAGACTGATGCCGCCTCCTTCTTGGGGCATCTCGTTGAGTGATACCGCCGTCTCTCAAAGCGGTGAACTATTGACATCTGTTGCATCGGCAAATACAGATACAAACTCTGCCATTGGTAGCCTACAGGTCATATGTGCATGGCCAGTATCTGGCTCATACGGCGCCGGATCGAGAGTCCTGTAAGTAAGCTGCTCATTGCAACAACAAGCACAAGGGCTATATCGCCACCCCCAAGCGGTCCGAAACAGCACCTCGGATCCTATTACCAAGTGTAAGTTTCGGCTTCTAATTTGTAAACTCTTTACCAATAGATTCTATGTGCTCGTAGCGACGGCTGTGTTTGCTCGAAAGCTTGACTGGATCAAGAGTGCTGCCTTGTCGACTGCATTGCCTCTCTCAGCTTCAGCTGCAGTTCACGGCATCGTCTTGGCAGCTGTACATCGTGACAGTAAGAAATGAATTATATTCTTAATCCCTTCGCACAGCATAATTCTCCAAATGGAGACCACCGGCTAACTCGCCTCTTTCACCCCGATCATTATAGAGGCTGTCGACATGGACATATACGGTGCCTTTCAGATGTGTGCCATTGGCACCCTAGTTGTTCCATTGATGATCAAGCTCTCCAGGTCGCATGAGTATTCCACTTACATTGGTCGCCGTATAATGTTTATGTGGGCAGGCCTGGTTCTCACTGGTATGCGCTATTCACAGTTTGACGCTGAGAGTCGACCTGGTGACAACCAACGACTGACTTTGGTTCTCTTACTCTATAGGACTTGTTTGTCTGGCCATTGAATTCTTCCGAGCCCAAACATTTGCCTGCCATGAGAATGGCCAAGGCAGCCCCATCTCTAGCAATCCCAGAAAATTCCCTTACGGCGAGAACACAACGTGCGAGCTGGTTTGCTCCGAAATTGATGGGCCGTTGTCACCCATTCGAATCGGGTCAGCAAACAACATTTACGTGATTCCTGCTCCTAGAACGCTCACATTTGGCGCGGCGACACTCGTAGCGGCCGGGTGTTGCATCCACACAATCATCTGGATGGTGGTTATGACGGAACGTTTTGGCATCAGGGCCAAGAGTTATGAGATCAATAAGCCAATCTCGGGCTCCAACGACACGACCAAAGGTACCATGAACGAAACCAATCTCATGGTCCACCTTTTCCTTTACGCAGCGGCGGTCCCCGTGTCTGGGTGTGCTGCTGTGGCTATCATCGTTGTCGGCGAGATCAATTTTTTCAGTAGCCCAGTCAGCTACCAAGCCGAGCCTCTAGCGAGCATTGGTCAGTACCCCAATGCTTTTCTGTGGCCTCTCAAGGCAGTAGCATGCTAACTCTGCAAGGTCAATGGTCAACTCTTGTTGGGACTGGTTTGGCCGCTCTCGGATCGCTTTACATTCTCCTGGCCAGAGATGGGGATGTTGCCAGTCAAGAGCCTCAACCCGATACCAATCATGATGGTATAGGCTGTCAACACTGTTGTGAACATGGCAGCTCTCACGGGTCTTTTGCAACAAATGCTTCCTCCCGTGACGGAGATGAAGCATCCCAGACTGGTATACATATGGGAGCTATGAGCGGAGGAAGAGGTTCACCACCGCTGTTGGAAAGCAACGGCAGCAGCAACAATGGCAATGAGCCAGATTCCTCTGCTGCACGGATTACAAAGGCATCTGCTGTCTCACCTCTCGAGGCCTCGTGATTACCATCATAATCCCACATTTCCATCAGACGTTATTCATGCCATTCAATCACCTTATCAACGGTCCGGCGATCCATAGGTTAGACAATGGCAACAATTTTATTCTACCTTTTTTTTTATTCCAATAACAACGAAATTAACGCAGCAAATAATGAATATAAACCAAGCCCCCAATAAAGACGCCAATTCTGGCTTCACCCACCATCACATGTCATGATTCTCCATCGTCGTCATTGGCTAGCCCTCTTTCGTCAATCGCGCTCACCGACGTCATCGCAGCAACACCAAAGCCATCACCAAGCTGAGCTAATAAATGCCACTTATCCAAAGCCCCCCAATGCAGCTCTCTCTCACCTAAAAGAGGCGTGACGAAAAACAAGATTTGCTCTAAAATCCCTACCAGGAAGAATTCTTCCGTAATCATGATCCCCGTCTCTTCGCTACATTGGCCATTTCTGTTTTAAACTCTGCTGTACCTGCATCTTCATCCTTTCTACAGCTTTTGCCACTCGCGACACATGGAATCTGCAACTTGTCACCAAACAACAACACCCAACCATTGCCGTATCTTCTATCCAGTGTCGCTATAGAGATCAAACCAATTCTTCCGACAACATGGACCTCCTTCTATCCGTACCGATATTCTCATACCTCCTCGGCCCAGCCCTCACCTCCTGGTCGACCTCGCTCAACCTCCTCTTCTTCTACATGACCTGGTCGACCCTCGTCCTCTCTCAACCCCCCATCGTCGTCCACACAACCGGCATCCTCGCCATCCGATTAGTCTTCTTCCTCATACCGTCCCTCCTCACCCTCTTCTTCGACGTCTCCCTCCCCAGCCTCGCAGAAGGCATCAAACACGGCGGTCGCTCCGCCTTGCCTCCCCGCGACGCCAAATCACTCTCCAAACTCATCGGCCTGGTCCTCCTCAACCTCGCCATCCTCACCGCCGTCGAAGCCGGGATCAGCTTCGCATTCATCTTATTCCTCAACCATCCCGTCTTCAAAACAACCACGACCCTCCCCCTCCCATGGCAAATCTTCAAACACGTCCTCATCCTGCTCTCCGCCCGTGAAACCCTCCTCTACACCATCCACCGCTTCGTCCTCCACGGCAAATCGTACCGCTGGCTCTCCCAGCGCCACAAAAACTACGCTCACGCAAAGGCCGGCGCGCCATTCAGCCTGCGTCTCCTCGCCGACCACCCCGCGCCACTGCTCTTCTACCGCTTCATCCCGCTGTTTCTCCCGGCAATCATCATACGCCCTCATATCCTCACCTACTTCTTCGTCTTCACGCTCTGCACCGCCGAAGAAACCCTCGCCATGTCCGGATACACGATTGTCCCAGGAATCATCATGGGCGGCATCGTGCAGCGCACAGCCATCCACTACGCAGGAAAGGGAACGTCGAATTATGGTTCATGGGGAATGTTGGACTGGATCAATGGGACAAATCGAGGCAGGGACGTGCTCCAAGATGTGAAGAATGAAGCGGAGAAACACCACGTCAAGGAACGGTCTTCGAAAAAGCTCGACGAGGGGGCTGGAGCAGTACAAGAGGGGTTGGGAAGCTTAAGAGAGGGAATGAGGACGCGATCCAAAGCGGGGAGGAAGAGGGCGGTAAAAGGAAATTGATCACTTGATTGGCTTCTACTGTCTAATTATTAGTACTATTGATACCATTATGCGTTATGAAGGTTAGCAAAATGCCATGACGAAGTTCTATTTGTGACAGTAGCTGGAGAGTTGTCTATCCAAGTATTTGCAAGCAAATGTAAAATGGGCTTTCCCTATTAAATTTAGATGGAAAGGAAATAATTAAAAGTGTAGTATATGTATTAAAGCATAACCTAGGTAGTCAACGTAACTATGGTGAACTCCCCAGATACCATAGCACACTATGGGGTGGTTTTCCAATCAAACGCAAAATGAAGTCTTAATCGTTTTCCTCGAAATGTGAATTGCATTAGTTACATTTATGTTGTTTTGCAATTTCGGCAATCTATCCCCATGTATCTAGCCGAGCACTCGAATCTTGCGATATCAGTCTCTTGCTCATTTCGGACACATCTTGCTACAGAGGATCACGTTCCGCATCTTCGGAATCCGCATCACTAGATTTCAATGCTTCATAGTCTAATGTATAATGTGTGTAGGCTTTCTTAAGCCGGTTCAATCCAGTGAAAGCCGCACTTGCGTTGTGGGCGTCGTTGAGATCGCTTGGCTGCGTTCGATTAGCAATTCAAACGTCAGAGACGTCAAAAGATTGAGTATCATCTGTTAGTAGAACAAAAACATACTTCAGAAGAATCATCGCCGCAAATGTCTGCTCCAGAATCTTCCTCTTGCTGTTCTTCTCCTTTAGTTCCTAGACCCCAAAGGCATAACAGCGATATGCTCTTTAAGTGGTCTGCGATGTGAGAGGCCTTTCTTGACTGCATTTCGTTCGATCTTATCGAGCTGTTGGTGTTGGAAGCAGGGCGTTTTCCCTTGTTCTCATCATTCTGTAGAGCCCCCAATGTGGATTGTTGGCCGTCGGGCCGCTGACGGACCTTTTTGTGAGAGCCATCATTTTCTGCTTTGGAGTTCTGGATCACCGGTTCCGAGTCATTGATGGACTCTTCACACAGCGGACATATGTCCGACTCTCTGGGCTGCGGAAATTTGCTTTTCTCTACCACTAGCTGCAAGTCTGTTAGCCCGAGGTCTTCGAGGTCGCTCAGGTGATTGTCCGCGAGATGCGCTCGGAGTGAATCTTCATTATCAAAGGAAATGGAGCAGTTTTCTGAAACCCTGCATCGCCATTCACTCTTCTTTGCATAGGTAAACCGAGACCAGTCATGCGAATGCTCCCGGTTCATATGCTCGATCCAAGAATCAAAACTTCTGAAGTAGCATAGAGACTTTCCGCAATCATCAGACAGGCAAATGTAGTGTTCCATGTCGCTTTCAACGTGTCTTCTGTGATACTTGGTTAGCTAGGCATTCCATGGCGTTTGGGTCGCTTGTACATACTCCCACCACGTTGGATCTTCATTGCCCACAACCTGTAGCTCTTGGAAACAGATCTGACACATGGCAGATATGGAAAGACCTTCTGCCTTTGGAGGAATAGGGTATCCAGACTCCTCGATCCATGGTGATTCACCCGCAAAGACGGTTGAGGCCTGTCGTTTGCGTCCGTCATCTTGTGGATCAACCCGATGTACCCTGGAGGTCGCACAATGAGTACTCGGTCCTGGCTCAGTATCTGAATCACTTTGATGTTCATGCGGATTCTGGCTCTGAGGGCTCTGCTGCTTCGATGATTCCACTTCAACTAAACTTGTGTGATGGATATGGCTCATTTTCTTGTGGTGATGGCGCTGGTACAAAAGACGATGGCGGCGAAAGGCAATACTTCTAAACAGTTTCGTGATCAGCTTTTCCGCGGCGTTTGGAAACTTGTATCTTAAGATCAACCGGGTCCTGTCTTCGAACCCGTCCCTCGGAAGATGCTTTGCAAAATCGACGATCTTCTCCTCGAGACTCAAGTCACCTCTTGAAGCTGTCTTGATTCTAGTAGTGAGGCGGTGTAGCCCGTCGACAGATTCGACGATGCCGTCCAGAACGCCTCTGGCTGCATTCGAAAGCGTATCATCATTCGAATTGGTATTGCCACTCCCGTGGGAAAGAGGATTGCATTGTGAAATCAAGTTTCTTGATTCAAGTTTTACAACTGCGATTTTGATTCCATTAGCATAGAGTTGAAATAAAATGGCCCAGTGGAGAATTACCTCGACGCATGTCCTCCTGGAGAACATCCAATAGCACCATCACGAGGTCTTGAACACCAGGCTCCAGCTTCAACTGAGTGTCTAAGCTAGCGCTCTTGTGAACGAATACGCCCACATAAACTGTCCACGATTGAAACCGCCGCTGGCATGTGGATATGGTTTCTGTGAGCTGGTTCTTGGGCTGCTGGAGAAACTTTCCAAACAGGACGATGCATTCTTTGGCGATGTCGTAAATGGGCTGTGCTTCAGCAGTAATCTCCTTTTCAAATAGGTGAGGTTAGTCGGTGAATTATAAAATCGATGCTCGTATAAAAGAGAATTCTAATTCAAACCTACTTCATCTACCCTCGTGCTGGGAGACAATTTAGCAGGGCCATGAGGGACGGGATTTTTTTCCTCCATAGCTGCAATTGCTGAACGGGATAGAGGATTTGCAATTTCTTGGCTTTCCATTGTAGATGGCGTCTAGGTCAAGCTTTCGTTGCAAACTGATGCGTTATAGACACTTTCAACGGTATGCCAGTAAGGAGGATATACCGCGAATATATATTACACCTAAGACAATGGTTCAAAATTGAGAAAGCGATGATAAGTTATTAGCTTTGTGTGCCTGTGCATGTTTCAATATATGCCTTTGTTCATTAGTTAACTGTTCAGTGAACTCATCCACTATGTATTAACAACGATGATTTACTTGGCGCAACTCCAGCTAGACGACAAAGAATTCAAATGTCTTGACTCCCATATCTCGCTGGCTGCCGCTTTGTATGGCAGAGAACAGAGACAGCATGGCTACGAATTGCTTTATAGTGGCAACAAGAGTGCAGTCATGAAGTAGCAAACGGCAAAGAAACAAAGAAACACGGCTAGAGACTGAACAAATGAAGGAACAAGAAGTGGAACAAAGAAGAAGTGTAACAAAGGCAAAGCAGGTAGCCGAAGAGACAAAGAAAGATGACAGTATATATATCTAGTCCAATAACATTTGTTAGAATGAAATGAGGGAGCTCTTGGCGATACACAGTCTGAGGAGTTCAAGTTCACTGACTTTAGGAGACTGCCGAGTATCCTAAAACTATCAGCAGATCATGAAAGAGAAAAATGAAACCGTATCCGATGATGCCACCGCTATTCAGTTGAGCCGTGCTAATAGTGCAGATCTTTCAGATGAAACCTGGCAAGATGAAATCCGGCAGTCTTTGATCGACTTGTACGAGCGAACAACCAGTGCATGTCCCGACGCGATCATGTTGCAAATCACGAGTTTCGAGGGAATCAAGTCAATCGATGAAAACCTACCCCCCCTTTTCAATCTATTCTTATCTCCCTGCCCTTCCAAGCCACAGCAGTGGCCACAGCAAGGACAAGAAGCCTTCTGCAGAGTTGATAGGTAAGGCGCCATATTATACTTCTACTCCAAACAGTTTTGGACGGCCACGGCTGTTCTAAGCAATACATGTAGCTGACCAGGAAGCGATATCAGACTGCTCTCTCATGAGGAAGAAGAAGACGGAGCCAATAACCTCTGTACTACGCTTCCAACACATCTTGACCATCATCATGCCCTCCGGATTGTATTTGACCACCAGGATTTCCGCTATGTGCATGAACAGCAGGATTTGCCGTTCCCCAGTGCAAATACCTACGTCACCCTCCGTGGCTTACTGGATAAACACGCATTTCCAAGAGTCGACACGAATAATAGCAAACATTACTCGCTGGGTGATAGGTATCTCCTTGGCCTTAATCTAGCTAAATCACTGTTCTATCTGTTCGACGGACCATGGAGGCCACTCAACTGGAAGACGGAAAACATTTACTTTCCTGCTACTCAAGCCTCTACCTCGGTAACAGTACACTCTCGCCACATTCCTTACATCGCCTTCAGCCTAAGGACTGGAGACGAAAGAGAGAACCAGATTCAGAAAAGAAAGGAAGAGGCTGAGAGGTTATGTTATCCAATGTGGTTAGCACTAGCTCAGATCCTTCTAGAGCTTCATCTAGGGCGCAGTCTAGCTCATGAATGTGTCGAGACCCTCGACAACGCCGAACGACGTCAGCAACTTCGTCGGATTATTGATACTGAGCTTCGGGATGGTGAATTCAAATCCTACAAAGAAGCCATCGAAGCTTGTCTAAGCTTTGGCTTTAAGCTTCTTGTCAACCCGCGGAGAGAAAGGCTAGAAGAGGCGCGCAGGTTGGTCAGGGATAGCATTATTGCTAAACTCGAGAAGAACTATGAGAAATGGTCATCTACGCTAGGGGAATCCTCCGACCTCGATTTGATGCCAAACCAAAAATCTCAGAAGGCCGAAGATATCGTTGCCTCGTCTCTGAACCTGGGGCTGTTGTTGGCGAGCACATTCACCATGGGGCAACATTAGTCGACAACGATTTTGATGATGTCAAAGAGAGCCTCAAAAAGGTCAAGGCAGAAGATGTCGATGAAGAAGACGAGGAAATAGAAGGCAAAGACCAAGCATTGGACAAGCAAGAGCTTTGGGTGATCCCAATTTAACATAAAACGCCGCATCTGACACCAGCTATACATCAATGCAGCCTTCTTAGCCTTTGCATTAAATCGTCCTCCTCTTGAATATTCGTCCCTCTAAAGTAAGTCTATGCCACTTACTCCGCGACATGAAACGCCATGATAGCCGTCCGTATGTGTATGCATTTCCAAACAACCAACCCAGGTGATAAAGGGAAGAAGAAGAAAAACATCACCTCATCTAGAAAGTCCATATATCCAGATTTATCCAACCCATGTATCCAACCCAATATTTCCCAGTAATCACCAGCCATACTTCTTCTTGAACCAAGCCAGCGTCTCCAATCCACTCGTCGCCCTCATGCCGATCCTGGCGTCCAGGGTGTACGCCTCCCACACTTTGACCTTGTTGATCTGCTCCTCGCACTCCAGCATCTTCTGTCGTCTGTACTCCAGGATGTCCTTCTCCTCGCCCTCGGGAGGATTGCAGCATTCAGCCCAAGCAATAGCACCCAGTTCGTAGATGGCTGCCGGCAGGACGTAGTCGTCTTTAGAGGCGCCTTTAAAGACAGATCTGCATCCACCATCGTTAGTGTTTTCCTTCTTTCTCCTTAAACATGTGTGAGAGCTCAGCTTACCGATCGAGGTCAACAACCTTCTCCTTCAGCAGCACCCTCGCCTCATCCAGCTTCTCCGCGCCTCGCAGCAGCGACGCCCTGCTCACAGCCCAGACGGCCATCTCATCCTTTTCAGCTTGAATCTTGGCGACATCCTCCTTGCTTGCCGTGCACCTCTCCCAATCCAAATAGTCGAGTCCCTTCTCCAAGTGCTCCATGCCCATGCGCTTCTGTCCGTTCCACACATAGCACATCTCGAGCGCCGGGCTGGAGCCGATAGCATCGGCCAGGTCAATGCCCAGCGCCTTGGCCCGGTCCTCCCACTTCTGAATCTTGCGCTGCAAAAACGTTTCCAGGGGTAATTGGCGTGCCATCAATCGCTTCTTGCCAATCACGGTCGGGGCCTTGCGGTAGTATTCCTCGGTCTTGTTCTTTTGTCGTCTCGCCTCGTCCTTGTCGCCGGAGTGAACGGCATTTCGGTACAGCTCCAAAGATGCACAGCCGGCCATGTAATAGTACATTGACGGGCTCCAATCGTTCACCTCGAGGCATTTCAGGAATGAGCTGCGCATCAACTCCCAGTCGTAAGAAAACATGCAGTTGAGCGACAGCTCAAAGTTGTTCAGGGCGGCAACCTGCTTCATCTTCGACTCCTTGCCCGTCTTGAGCAGGTCCAACGCTTCCGTCAGCTTGCGCTCGTTGGCAAGCATTCTCGCCTCGTCCACGCGCCATAATCGCGAGTCGGGATACCGTGCTCTCATGTCCGCAAGAAGCTTTTCGCACTTTTCGATGGGTGGCCCTACGGCCTCGGCATCAGCATCGTAATCTTTCGGGGCCGGCAAAATATCTGCGGCTCCCAGCAGGCCATTGTAATACGCCAGCAACATCATGCCAGCAACGGCGCCATTGATGTTGGAGTGCACCGCCGACTTCCACAGCATCTTGACGGCTCGTGAACGATCTCCGTGGAAACCAACAATGGAGAGAATGCGAGAGAATGCCGGAGGGATGAGACTAAGGATGAGCAGGAGAACTCCAAAACACATGTTGGCTCCAGAGTGGATAAACTTGTCAACTGGATTATCCAGCTCCACGTCCGAGCTCACATCAGAGTCTTTGGATCGCAGACTCAACTTGGACGCATCCTCCAACTTGCCAAGGTTCAGCTTTTCCAGCTGCTCAGCCGTTGATGTCGGATCAGTGTCAGCTTGGTCGCTAGGAGTCTGCTGTCCGGACGGGCTCCTGCTGCTGTCCGCGGAAGCTTCAAGGTCGCTGCTGCTGAGCGTGCTCGCAGACGATTCCGTCGAGGATGCATCGCCAGTCAAAGTCGAAGCCGAAGAGCTCCCTTCCAGGAACATCCGCGACGAGCCCGGGGTGGCCGCCTTGCCAAAGATCCTTTCCTCGGACGCCACAATGGCATCCAATGTCAGAAACGCCTTTCGCAACTTATAAAAACTCCTCATGGCCTCCACCAAGCTCTCATGCAGCACCCCGACGACGGCCCCCATCAGCTGCGTCTCAGCAATGATCAGTTCATACTCAGTGCCAGGCGGATAGAGCTGGCTGCTATTGTAAGCAGCCCCGTGCTTCTGCGCCCGCTTGAGATCGGCCCAGGCCCGGTTCTCGCACTCGTTGAGCCTCGCCGTCGCCTCGGTCATGACCTGCTTCTCAAAGCCCAGGACGGAGCGCATGAAGAAGGCCACCGACGATCCCATTTCGTGAAAGGCAGAGTCGCCCGTCTGCAGCTTTTCCCAGGCGCCGTCGATGTCGTCGTTCATGATGAGCTCGACCCAATTCATCGCCTCCACCAGATTCTCCTTTTCCTTGGCGATGCTGTCGATGGGCGACAGGCTTGTGTCGGAGCCATTTTTGGAGTTTCCGCCTGAGCGAAACCACCCACCCAGACGACTCATGGCGACAATGAATTCGTGGTGATGTTGGTGTGAGGATGACGGCGGCGGTGGGACAGCCAGAGGAGGAGAGACAAGGCCGTATGAATATCAGATAAGAGAGAGTGAGGCTGAGCGCTGAGATTCGCACAGCAAGGATTCGCACACAAATCCTTCCGCCTGGCCTGCTCTGTCGGGTACCCTTCCAACGGGGATGGTGGCTCAGCTGGATACTAATGTACTCGGCAACGAGAGAGGCCACGAGAGAGCGAGCGACAGGTGATAGGGCACAACTGCGTCGACTAACAAGCCCGCATAAAGACGCCGAAATAAATAAGAGGCAAAAAAACGACGCTTATGCCATGCAAGCACCCCCTCGCCAGACCCAAGTTTAGTCGGTTCGCCTTCGATTTGCTGGCCGAAGTTCCATAGAGCAATGCCCAATGGACAGTGAGAGTTGAGGTGAAGATTGCCTCTAGGCCTATTCTATTTCAAGATGCTGAAGAAGAAGCGACAAAAAGAAGTTCACACGTGAGAAAGAAAAGAGAGAGATTAAAACAACCAAGATAAAGGATCAATTCAAAGTTGCAGCCGTGGAGACCCCGAAAATCCAAAGGGCCCGCCAGGCTTACTCGGTGCAGGTCCAGCTATTTAATCGATTTTGCCTCTGTCCAGAAATCCGGTCTGGTGCTTTATTACCTACCTATCAATCTCTTTTCCTCCATTGAAATCCTGTCTCTCCGCGGTCGGTTAAAGCGCTCAGGCCGCGTTTCTTGCGGCATTTCGGAGCAAACGCCCACTAGTCCGTTAAGCCCAGACGGCCGATGTCATTGATGCCGGACGAAGTCTACAAACTGCGAGGCTAATTTTGTTTTTTTTGTTTTTTTTTTCCACTGTATACATGGACATGGACATGGGATTTGGGTGCTTGGGGTTTCGGGCACGGAATCCGGAGCGCTCGACCGCACCGCACCAATTCCATGACGTTGCCCGCTTACGACGAAAGAAAGGATTCGAATTAATCAAACAATAGTAAAACAACGTTTCCCGCTGCATCCGTAGCAAGTAACAAAATAAAACAAAAAGATCAGCTCTGTTCCCTTTTCAATTCGACCCAATGGAATAAAATCGCCACTGCATCTGCTGTGTACCTGTATCTTGCCTCTACCTCTCAAATCAGACCCCTAAAGCCGCCCCACGATGGCGCTGCAAAGTCCGCTGGCCTTGTCGCCCCGAAAAGGGCAAAAACGGTAAGCGCTCAGGCACCTCCGGCACTCCCTGGCGCCAATTGGACAGTGGACGGTACAGGGGGCTTACGGAACCCCGAAGACGCTGAACCAGCTCATCAAGGCGCTAATCAATCGATACTCCCCGGACGCAGCGTTCTTCCGCACCGGAGCCGCCTTACTCTTACTGGGAACAAGGCTTCATATGCTTGCTTCTCCTAGGAAACCGCAGCTATTCGTCACGCAGGCCGACATCACCAGCACAGCACAGCTGAGCCATTGCCAATCCTTGCAACAACAACAACAAACACCGCGACCCAACCATCGACCGTCCTCCCCCCGTGCGCCGCATCAAAGCCACTCAAAGCCCATCACCATCTCCAGCTTTGTCCATCTCTTCTCGGTCAAAGCATCTCCAATCCCCAGCTACTAGGCCGAGAGCTCGCCGCATCATCTCCCTCCAACCATGGCATCAACCACCACAGAGCCCAAGGTCGCCGAGCCCGAACAGTCCACCTCAAACGACCAACAAAAGCCCGAACAGAAGCACCTTGCTCTAGGCGAGGACGACGAATTCGAAGACTTTCCCATCGACGGTACTTGCCAACCCATCCCTCCATCCCTCTTCCTCCTCTCCCTTTCTCTCCCCAGCCACTCTCCCCTCCCACAATGACAAAGCAACAACCGCACCAATCAACCCATAAATCATAAAAAGAAATTCAAATCTAATCAAAACCATTTTCTTTGGTTAATCCAAAACAGACTGGCCCGCCGACCAAACCGAAGCCGCCCAGCGCAACGGCGAAACCAAGCACCTGTGGGAGGAGAGCTGGGACGACGACGACACAAGCGACGACTTTTCGAATCAGCTCAAGTGGGTGGTTGGCTCTCTCCTAGTTTCTACCTTGCTTCTCACGGCGCTGTCCCTCGACTTTCGTCCCCGTCGCCGCTTTCGATGAGCGTTTGAGCGTTGATTTTGCCTTTTTTTTTTCTTCTCCTTTTTTTCCTCGCCGTTGTTTTCGTCACCGCTGCTGCTCTATTTGCTATATTTCCTGGTCTACAATCAATGGGGCTTAGGCCCGCTTAATGTCTTGTTTGAGATGGATACATATACATACATGTTCATATAATGTCTTCTTTTTCTTTTCTTTTTTTCCTTTCCTTTTTTTTATACTTTGCCACTTCCATGTTTTCTCGTTACACTCCTTATGGGCACACGGATCCTGACGTGTTTCTTTTCATAGGGAAGAGCTGAAAAAGGTTGAAGCGGCCAAGCGGAGGTGAAAACCGAGAAGCGGGAGACGGTACGAGGACATCGATCGGGCGAACCAACTCGCGTCATGGGCATATATGGAACGCTAGGCATATAGATTGGGTCCTTTTACCCAAAGAACAAAAAAAAAGACATTTACTCGGTCCATCCCACATAGCTCACTTGCTCCAACAAACGTGAATTACGCGTGTGTTTGTATCCAGTCACGACATCATAGATGGAAAAGGCTAGCTTTGCATGCTATTAACGATGTTTTATTTTCCTTGAGGCCACTCCGGTATATATGATTTTCTTCGTTAGAGACGGGATGCTCCGGTCCGACCTTTTGATGCCGATTGCCTCCCGTCATCAACTTGTTCCTCACGCTTTTTTATCCATAATAGTGTGTGTCATTTACTTACTAGACAGAGCAGTAACACCGGGGAGCTCCTTGCCCTCCAACAGCTCCAAGCTGGCGCCACCACCGGTGGAGACGTGACTCAGCTGGTCCTCAACGCCGTACTTGGCAGCGACAGTGGCGGTATCACCACCACCGATGATGACAATCTTGCCGTTCTTGCAGCCCTCGACAGCGGCATCGAGCGTGGCCTTGGTGCCCTTGGCGAACTTCTCAAACTCGAAGACACCGGCAGGGCCGTTCCACAGGATGGTCTTGGCCTCGGCGATGGCCTCCTTGTACAGCGTGATGGACTCCTCACCGCAGTCGAGGCCCATCCAGCCGTCGGGGATGCCAGACTCGTCAGTGGCGGTGCCAGTGCTGGCATCCTTGTCGAACTTGTCGGCAGTGATGTAATCGACGGGCAGGACCAGCTTGACGTTCTTGTCCTTGGCCTTCTCGACCAGCTGGGGAACGGTCTTGGCGCCAGCCTCGTCGAAGAGGGAGGTGCCAATGGGGACGTTGTTGAGGACCTTCTTGAAGGTGAAAGCCATGCCACCGCAGATGACGAGGGTGTTGACCTTGTCAAGGAGGTTGTCGATGAGCTGGATCTTGTCAGAGACCTTGGCACCGCCGAGGATGGCGAGGAAAGGTCGCTGAGGGGACTCGAGAGCCTTGGCAAAGTAGTCGAGCTCCTTCTTCATGAGGAAACCGGCAGCCTTCTGGGGCAGGTCAACGCCAACCATGGAAGAGTGAGCACGGTGGGCAGTGCCGAAAGCGTCGTCTAGTTGTCGTGAGATTAGCCACATGTCAAAGGCCACAGGTCATCATCATGTTGAACAGTATGTACTTACTGACGTAGATGTCACCCAGAGCGGTCAGGCCCTTGCGGAACTCCTCAACCTTGGCCTTGTCAGCCTTGGTCTTGTTGCCCTCCTTGTCCTTGGCGCTGCCCTCCTCCTCAATGTGGAATCGGAGGTTCTCCAGCAGGATGACGGCACCGTTGTCGGCACCGTTGACGATGGCCTCGACCTCGGGGCCGACGGAGTCGGGGGCAAAGGTGACGGACTTGCCCAGGAGGCGCTCGAGCTCGGGAACAACGGGCTGGAGGGAGTACTTGGGGTTGACGGCACCATTGGGACGCCCAAGGTGGGACATTAGGATGACGGCCTTGGCTCCATTGTCAAGAGCGTGCTTGATGGTGGGAATGGCGCCGACAATGCGCTGGTTGTTGGTGATCTTCTTGTTCTCGTCGAGGGGGACGTTGAAGTCGACCTGTGAAACCGCGGCAACGCAGCGTGTTAGTCAAGTACAGATCAGAGCTTCATATTTTCCAGCATCTTCTTCCATTGCCCAGATTCATCATCCATGACAATTGTGGCATCTCCAACGGCTTCTCCCCCTCTAGCAGAGCTTTGACGCCCATGCTAGCAGCAGCAGCTCCCCTTCAATCGGGTGCAGCAAAACCCCTCCATGCCAATGGCGGGGCAATTCGGACTCACCCGGATCAGGACCCTCTTGCCCTTGACGTCGACGTCAGTGATGGACAGCTTACTGGAGAGAGACATTTTGGCGGGAAACTGGCGAGTCGAGCGAAACAGGAGCCGCGCTGCTAGGGAAATCGTGGTGAAGAAAAAAAAGAAGGAGAAGAAAGAGAGTAGGTTTGCTCCGGCAATCAATCCAGCAGAGATGCTAAAGAAAAAGGAAAAAGCACGCACAAGCAATCAAGCTGCGATAGGCAGATGGAGGGGGGAAGAGGTGGGGTTCAGCTCCCCTGTCCCGTGGCTGTGAGCAATAGATTACAGCAATCTATTCATCAGTTTACAGGGAGTTGTAGTGGGGGGGTCTTGAGCACTATCCAATGGATCTCAGCACCTATCCAGCCTCTGTGTTCAGTGCATCCAATCCATCAATCCATCCACCCAACGATTCCAGCTCGACCACGCCAGAGTGACGTGAGCTTCATTCGACGGCAAAAATCACGCGCAAACGTGCCCATCATCACCTGCATCTGCACGCTCAATTGATGCGCTACAGGATTGCATTTCCATCAGGCCATAACATCACTTCATCCAGCTCAATCATGACCTGCAGCAGTTCCTCATACTCATGTCAGTTTATATCTGTACATGTAGATTCAGTGTCCCAGATGCGGCACATTCACATGCCAGATACATGCAGGCTACGTCGTATTTCAAGAAACTTCAAGGGGCAACGAGTGAGCTACCGTTGGCCAAAACGTACATTCGTGTATAATTTATATCATATTACGTCCGGCCCCGTATTCTCAGCTGTTGTACAAAAACGATTGAGCCAACACTTCCTGAGCCATCGCGTTTCCACCATGACAACAACATGATATAACCAAGAGACACCAAATGGTTGAAACTCCAAACGCCGGTGCCTTGCATGCCGCCTCTCGAGTGCAGCAAAAAAGCCCATCCTAAATGACCTTGTAGCCTTGTCTTTGAGCAATCCCTTTCGTCCGCTTCCACCCAATGATGCCAATGCAGACTCAATGACTCTTGAGCTAACATGTTTCCACCTGTTATCCCCCTTTTTTCTCAACATACGACCCTAAAGTACTGTTCGTATATCACAAATGTTGCGTTACAGTGGCTACCTTAGTGGTACGCCTCTTCTCGGTCTCGCTTCAATCGGATGCATTGGTCAGGGAGAGATAGGCGGTCCACGCAATACCAACAGTCGACACAAACGGCTAACACCTGGCATCAGTTTCCATTCACCATCAGTACAACAAGTGCAAGTGGCCACTCACCAGCTGGAATTGCACCGGCATCAAGCGGAAATTGATAACCTGCACCGCAGGCCACACGACGTAGTTGGCCTTGAGCGTAGGGATGTACATGTCTCGCAGCTTATGGGAAACCGCACGGCGGCCGCCTCCCTCAGCAATGGTCATGGCCGTGAAAAAGACGCCCACACCGAATGGCGCAAAGATGAGCTGATCAAAGGCGACTCGCTTCATGGCCGGCACAAATGCGCTTCCCTTGGTGATGGGGAAGAGCCTTTCAAGCAGCTTGAACCATCTAAACTGCACAGGGGCCATGCAAAAACCATAAGCCATGAACCGCGTAAGTCGCTCAAAGTCGAACGGCGGAGGCAGACTCTTGGAATCGGGGATAAGGTCGCGGTCGTAAAAGGGATTCTTTTCGTCCAGCTCGTGGATCTCAACGGCAAAGGTGTCGTCCTTGGTGACTCCGCCTGGCTTTCTAAGCGCTCGCTCACGCACGGAGGTGATGGTCTGCGCGACGGTATCGGCGATGCCACCAAGGATCGAATTGGTGACCATCATGGTCAAGACTATGCGTGCAGTTGGTCAGCCGATGCATTGGGGATGTTGATGAGGATAAACTCGTAGGGTGGTGGATCGCGGGGACGTACGTGGTCGTTCATTGTAGTACGAATTGAATCGCGCCGTCAGCCGGGCAACGAGGGCCATTTCGATGAGGAGGATGATGGTATGGAGTAGAGGCTGTTGGTGAGAGGAAGAAGTGATGTCAGTAAACGAGATTTATCCATTCATTCATGTTGATTGAGTAGATGGTGGTAAGTAGGTAGCACAAGGGATGGATAGACGGGCGAATGGGTTCAAGGGTAAAACATGTTCCGTCTTGCGCACGTACCAAACGTCCATAGATGAACTTGCTGTTGACGGCACGGACAAACCGTCGGCGGTTGAGTTCCCAGGTCATGATGCCAGAAAAGGGGGAGATCAAACAAGAAACGCTCACGCAAGAGGCGAGAGTCGCTTTATCGCAATGTTGCCAAGTGGATCTGGAGTTGACTCGATGACGACACCAGGCCCGGCCTGCACCAACAGAAAACCTCCGAGCGGCTGGAGATCCGCCTTGCTGATGGCCCTGTAGCGGTAGCGGTAGCGGTAGAGCGGGATTATTTTCAGTGGGCTTCGGTCGCTGTAAGGAAACGAGACGAAACGAGCCCTCCAGCGGATATTGCTGAGCCCGGAGTAAAAGGCCAGTTGGTTGGTTTGCGATAGAAAAGGGTAGAAAAAGAGACAAAGACGGGTTGAAGGGGGAGAAAAGGATGAAAAGGATGGAGGGTCTGTTCTAAGGCAGTGGCTGTTCTCGGTGTCTCGTGCCTCTTCCCCACGTTCGTCATGGGCTTGTCGTCGTAATGCTCGTACAGAGCCGCACAGTACTCGGTACAAGGAGCAAAGGCGTCACGTCCTCTAATATCCCCGTACCGATGACTCTTGAGCCCAGTGCTGGAACTACATCCTAGAATTTACCTGTACCTTAGGTAGTAGTTGGTACCATTTACTCTCCTTTGCTACGACTCAGGTATTTCCATGGAGGTTTCATATCCTTTGGGTTCAAAGCAAGCAATCAACATACTTAGTCTGTATATCCCCTTCTCTCACCGATACACGATTGGGTTGCACATTGGCCACTGATTGCGCATGTTTGCTTATGTGTCTCTTGAAACCAAGATGCGGAGATTTGCAGATCGGCGCCAAATCGTCCTAGTAAGCCTCGTATTTCCATTGCCCCAGACCATCCAATTTGCCCAATTTCTCCACGTTCTTGAGCCATCGTGGACGTCTTTAATTCTGGCAGATTGTATTCAAGTAGATTTTATATGAGTAGAACTCTCTCACATAATCTGGCAACTCATCCAGCACCGAGACACGATGCCCCATGTTGCCTAATTCGGCAGACATTGAGAAACGCAATCTACATATGAAGAGTAAAACACATTGCATTTATTTGTATAGCAATCAAGGTAGATGTTACGCCCTAACTCAACTGCTTTATATACACATACAGGGATCTGTATTCTTCAAATGACTGGAAGATCTAACGACGTGATACTGGCAGATGCAGCACGTCTCAAGTCCTTTCCTATTAATGTTTAGAACTTATACTCACCCGGCTACTGGTGGCAGGGATCCTACAACGACAAGGAAGATGCCTGTACCCAGAAGATCCTGGAGTATAAATGAAACATTGCACAAAAGCGCCAGCAACAAGCAGCGTACAATATAAATTCTAGGCTAAAACAGAGAAAAGAGGAAGTCAGGGGGCTCATAGACGGCGCAAGTTTCCCCCAGTTGCCCAGGCTCACAACACAATAGCCATTGCTAACCGCTGTGCAACAGCCATACAATATTTGTTCGCCTACAGAGGCCCAGAAAAGCAGGAAACTGAACAAATGTATGGTAATCTTTACATCTAAGAATGCCTTTAGTACCCCTTTCACGAGATCGTTTCATCCCAGTCTCTCCCACACCTACGAGAAGCCCCTTTGCCATTGTTCTAGTCTTCTGCTCCACCACTGTTCTGCCTTTTGCTTTCCCTCTTATCATCCCTTGATTCGCAATTTGCCTACCATTTCACCGAATGTAGGCTTTATTAGATCTGATGCTTTGTTGCAAATTCTCTATTGGTTTATCTTTGCATCATCTCCTTTCTACTTCTTGCGAGCCAAACGGCTCACAAAACTTAAAAAAGGACGATACCTATTCTACTCTTATTAAATCTGCGAAATTGATAGAAAGCATGTATGATGCACACTTCCCAATATGTGTTTGGCTCATCTCAATTAGACTTTTGTCAGCTGAGAGGCTGCCAGCAAGATTGCGGCTCTGTATCTCACGTCGCCCACTACTTGTTATATATTTATCTTAGATCTAGTTACCAAGAGAGCTCTTCAACAAAGCACCATCTCAAACTTACATCTGCTCAATAAAGTGCCAACACTACCTACCATGTCGGACTCCAAGAAACCAACCCCTGATCCGCGATACCCAGATATCCGGCATGTCGCTGAGGCTCGCCGCCTTCAATCGCAAGGTGCCCTCATCATAGATGCTCTTGGAGGCATCATCTTATGCCCCCTAGACACGTCTCGCAAGGATTTGCGTATCCTTGATAGTGCGACTGCTGACGGACACCTTTTGACCTTGATCCGGAACCAGCTGGCACACCCAGAGAGCGCAGAGTTGATCGGCACAGATATCGCAGACTTTCCACCCCTCGATTTGCCAGAAAATATCACACTTGGAAAACAAGACATTCTGAAACCGTGGCCAGAGAAATGGGAGGCGCATTTCGACTTTGTACATCAACGAACGGGGCTCGCCATTACGGGTGGAATGGAGCGGGCCGTCGAGACGGTACGACGATACATAGATCTGCTCAAGCCTGGTGGCTGGATTCAGCTCGTAGATGGCACCTTGATTGACGAACCAATGGCAGAGGATGACAAGGCCTGGGTGAAGATGATGAAGGTGTTGAAGCAATGTGTGGCCCTTGTTGGGCTAGACACCACGTTGGGAGTGTCAACGGCTGACATCCTCAAGAACGCCGGAGAGGGTTTGCTTCGTAACATAGGCGAAAAGCAGGGTGTTAGTCCTTTGGGCAAGGGTGCAGCTTCACAAGAGCTTGAAGAGCTGGGATATGTGGAATTGAAAGGGATGCATAGCGGCTGCGTAACAATGCTGAAGGAAATGCCCAAAGACAAGCGGCCAATGGCCCCTGAACAAGTTGAAGGGCTTCTGCCGGAGGTGCTGAGAGAGGCCCAAGCTGGAGAGTGCGAAATGAGATGGTACGCAGCATGGGGACAGAAGATTTAAAGCTGGTATGGAAGGCAATTAATTGATTCTTACCTTCTAAATCATTGAAAAGGCCAAAAGCATAATCTTTAATGTCTGTATAATCTCACAGGCGAGCATATCTTCCTATAAGCTCATACAACGAGTGAAGAAATCTGGTAGACGAAGCCCAGGCAAAAAAAAAAAAAAAAAAAAAAAAAAAAAAAAAAAAAAAAAAACGTGTTTGTACTATTGATGATTCTAATTGAAAATCGGACTATATAACGATGGGCCTTGCTGCCACCACGGAGATGGGCCAGATACAGGTAATCAAACAGTAAACATCTCACCTGTGCCCTTCTCCGCTAAGCTACATGTAATCTTTCAACCTTTCCAATCCTTCACCCACCCCAATTTAGAACAAAGCCGTCCCTCAAAGCCCAATTTAGAAAATCTCGGCATAATTCCATCCATGTCTTCAGGCATATTGATGATCTCATGGTTTTTGAAGTATTGTGTCAGATTAGATGGCCGCGTTAGACTCGTGATACATATTTTGACTTTTGCTTCCCCCCCTTTTGCAGAAAAAAGGTCATAAATTCCCTTCACCTCCTCTTCAATATCTTCGCACCAGTCCGTAGGTCCACGATAACCGATTCCGTCAATAAAAATGAAGATGCTCGTCGTTGGGGGAAGTGCAGCCACTAGGTGATGCAAGAGATGCCATTGTCGCCTGGAGCTCCATTTTGAACCATTCTCCCTCAGCTTCTCCAAAAAGTCGTGTTCCAGGCCAGTAATATCGGGATCGTTCCATTGCAACAGGAGCTGCGTCACAAAGTCCTTTAACAAAGCACTCCCCTTTTGCTCTTTTAGATCTTGCAAGCCCGGATCCAGTATTCGAAGGCCACAAAAATGAGTCAAGACGATGGATTTGTCAGTTGGGCGAAATGGGTTGAGGCTCTGTCTAATCATAGCACAAAATAGCGACATTGGTGTAATCCACTCCAAGGAACCGTGGCCATTGATAAGAATTGTCTGTGATGTAGTTGAGGCATACCAACGAGAGGTCTTCTTATTATTCAACAGCCATTTGGCACATTTGTGTGCCTCTGCACACATGGAGACTCCTTTAAGTACTACTAGTAGGAGAGTATCTTTCCGACCAGTGCGTATAGCGGCAGCATCGAGATCCAATAGAAGCAACAACTCCTCCGGCGAAAGTTTCCCTCCCGGCGTCTGTTCCATGCCTTCACTGGCCTGACTCATGATATGCTGCTATAATTCTAGATACCCTTCATCATTTGTTAGACTGCTTCAACCAGAGTTTGGTGATCACTTACTAGCTGAACGCAATCTCTTAAAGAGAAGTGTCTGCGCAACCTTCTCAATCCAGGATTCCAGGTTGTTGTTTTTTTTTCGTCTTTTGATGTGAAATCTGGGATACTTGTTGCGCGGATACTCGGCCGGATGATTCGATAATGCGAGTGGAAGAGTTCCCAATATCTTTAATCCTCTCCCCAAGAGGACTGTAAGAACTTTGCTGCAACAAAGGCTTTAGCCACTCGACCCGGACAAAGGTCGGTATTCACGTAGCCAAAGTAGATGAAGAAGGCGTTAACACGTATAGTTTTTCATTGTTCAGTACATGATGAAAGGCCCCCTAGCGCAGACGGGCTTTGTTGAACGCACCGAGAACAAAGACCGGCGCTTGTCATTAGCCGCGATCAATGCTTGTTCAGTGGTATCATGATATCATCGTTTGAGGCGCAATGGAACACGCAAGCGTCGCATATGCAAATCCTTTGTTGGTATAGCCGCTGAGGTCGAAGGGGCGAAACGGATGTATCCAATAGCATGATTGTTCATAAAGAACATTGAAACCACATGTTTCACTAATTCACAGTAAACTCAAAGGAACACTCCAAAATTAGCCTATCAAAGCCTTGTGTACGGGTTTCTGGTCGTCAGTTTTTCTTCTTTGTTCATATCTCCGATCTCTGCTCTTCAGGCAGAAGTCGTTGGGATCCTTCTGGGCAACCAGTATAAATTATCATCAATAACGTTACATCAAAAAATAGACGGTCAGAGGAGCATCTACTTTTTGTTTTCTCAAACTTTCATCCAAGCTATACACCACGAACTCACTTGAAATGACTTTTCTTCATCAGGCTTTCTTGGAAGCTCTAGACGAAGGCCGCCGAATCTTTGACGTATTAGATTCTGAGGAAGTATGTGACGACGCTTGGACCCGTCGTCAGAAGATTGACTTCGAGTTGCTAAAAGATTGCATTGGGGATATAAGGCCACGCGAGAGACTATTCTTTGGGGAACAAAGTGACGTCGAGCGCATCTTGACAGCTCATCAGCAGGATGTCGCACGCAGCTTAATACCACATCAAATTCAGCTTCTCTCTGACCTTATGAATTATTACATAGACAAAAGTAAGGTTACACCATTACACATTTTTCCATCTGCACACTTACTAACCACAAGCTGTGAGCGGTCTTTTAGAGTATCCTAACATCCAACTATTTCCCAAGGGTGGCACCATCGATGATGCGGTGGTTAAACAGGTTACGCGGCAGATAAAGGAATATAAAAGTGCTCTGCAGGATAGACAAACGCCGATGAAGTTACCCCAGCCCACCAGCGATATTGAAATCATACATTTTATGAGGATCATATCTGTACTTATTAAACACACAAAAGAAGATTCTTATGCACCAATTAAAAGGCCAGCATTTCGAAATAGTCGACCAATCCCTAAACCTAGAAGTCACTCGAATCGCCCTCGCGAGAAACAAGAGTCTTTCTCCAGACAAGATCGCCCAAGCCGTTCTGACGAAAGACGAGACCCTACCCCTGAACGAAATCGATCGAATAGCCTTCCTGAGAGACGAGATTCTACACACAGACAAGGTCGCCCGAGTCGTTCTCTGGAGGGGCAGGATTCTGACCCTCAACGTGGACGAAGCCGTCCAAATCGCCCGAGTCATTCTCACGAAAGACAGGATTTGAACCCTAAACGCGGAGGAGGTCGTTCGGATCGCCCTGCCGAGAGACGAGATCCAGCCCCCAAAGAAAATTTCTCGAAACCCCCTCTCAGGATCGAAATAACATCAAATAGCAAAATTCGGATGACTGTTCAGATATGAGTTTTGCGAAAATATTTGACAGCCAAGATCAAAGATTGGACACCAAACAATGGCCGGCAGGCTATAGGGAAGCAGTATATTAACATTATATGTACACAAGTCAGCGTGCGGTAATTGTGTTTCAAGCTGGAGAGTTGAAAGACGGGGCAGTACATTAAATCGCGTTATAAATTGGAAACGCATATCGTGTAGAGTAGACGCCGGACATGCAATGACTTGAATTGTAGTACTAAATTGTCCAACCATGATTGAGAACATAGGATAATTAGATGGCTATAATATATCGGAATGAAGGAGGCCTGGATAACATTATGATTGCTAGCAACACTAACAGTGACAGAGAGCCTTATAACCAAAATAGCGATTCATATTTGCAACACGATGGGGCACGTAGGGAAATGAAACATTGCATTGGTGAAGCATAAAGATTGATAAAAACAAATAACAATTGTCTTGCTCTCCTCTTGTACCTACCTATAACCATATAAGCAGCGCCTAATTGCTCATCAACATGTAACATATACATTATGGCCAATTTCATAAACTATCTGATAGTGTCTGAACAAACGCCCCGACCTGTGGAATCCACCACAGATCTTCCAAAATTCCACACATACATCATCTACTGCAGGGTAGCCGTTCTTTAACACCACCAGACAGCCACCAAATAACCAAGCAACGAATAAACGTCCGCATCCTGCGCACACCTAAACAAACGCCCTCAGATTGGAGATGTGAGTCATGCGTGGCTGATAGTGACGGTGAAGGCTCCCGTCTCACCTAAACGATAAGTGATAGCACGGTGACTTTTATCTGCACGATAGGAGTAGCCTCGCTTCTCATGCAGGGCGTTTCTCTGCATACTACATACATGTACACGTGTGTATGTCCCCAGTGTATTTCTCTGTCTCTGCAAATACTACATAGGTCATATCTCGATATTCATCTCCAACTATATCCAACCAAAACGTATTTATTTATACCCGCCACTAGGAATCTACCATCATCTGTTTTCTCAGCGGCCCAAGATAGAAAACCCAAACACCCGCAGCTAATCAGACAAGGATTCAAGATGCACAACTCACTCCCAGACGCACGTCCTAAACCCCTTCCAGCATCGATCTTACTCCTCCAAATATACACACGGAGCATGTTCGAGCTAGTAGCAACCTCTCTCCACTGTTATGCATCATGTCAACGGTACTTGTCACCACTTTTACACAAATCTCGGATGCTGAAGCTGCAGTAGAGCCATCTATCCGACTTACACCGATTCCACGCAACTTCCACCACTCACATCGCCCGAGATAAAGGACATGACACTTATACCGTATTCTTCTCTTGGCTGTAATCTATTTGTACGCTGGCTCTTATCGCATCGACTTCCGACTTCGCATTCCCGACAAAGTCGGTCTGTATCAAGCACAGAATTGACATGGTTTCCAATCCATACGAAAGATTATACATTGTACCAGCAGTAAAATGCCACATAATAACGCTCGCTTGTGTCCATTCTACATGTACCTAGTTAGGCAGCGCTGAGTATTTGGCAGTGGAAAAATCGACTTGGTTTGTCGTCTCCGGGCCTTGGGAGGGATTAAAATTGCTGTGAAAATGACTAGAACGTGTCACGACACAAATAATCCTGTTGCATCTGGTCATTTGACTCACAGGATGACGGTTCAGCCTATCAATGAGTCAAGTCGGCCACTGCCTTGTTCAGTCGGAAAAAGCTCAAGCTACACCCCCAAGGAGAGAGATTCACCATCTTGGGTTCCTACGTAGCATTGCAGTTCCACGGTTGGACGATGATGCCCCCCTGATTTAATGTTCAGCAAGCTTGACCAGTTAGCAAGACAGAATAAAACAGATTCTTTAGTTCGTTT